TCAAAAGCCGCTGAGAGGTCTAATAGGACCAGGACAGAGGAACAACCCCTGTCCCGAGCCCTCCAGAGATCATCAACCAACGCGACCAATGCCATTTCCATGCTGTACCCAGGTCTGAAGCCCAACTGGAACGGATCTAGATAAACGGATCTAGATTGGGGGATTTTCTCCCATTCTTCCTTGCAAGTCCTCTCAAACTCAGTCAGGTTGGATGGCAACCTTAGGTGAATAGCCATTTTCAGGTCCTTCTGGAAATGTTTAATAGGGTTCAAGTCAGGGCTCGGGTTAGGCCACTCTAGGACATTCACAGAGTTGTCCCTAAGACACTCCTGTGTTGTCTTGGCTCTGGCTGAGATCCAAAGATCCTGTGTGGAGATGGGAGAAAGTTCCAGAAGGGCAATCATCACTGCAGCCCTCCATTGATCTGGGTTTTATGACAGAGTGGCTGGGCGGAAGCCTCTCCTCAATGCAAAACACATGAAAACACGCTTGGAGTTTGCAAAAAAGCACCTGAAGGATTCTCAGACTGTGAGGAACAAGATTTTCTGGTCTGATGAAACCAAGATTGAACTGTTTGGCCTCAATTCTATGGTAAATGGTCTGGAGAAAACCAGGCACCGCTCGTCACCTGCCCAATGACATCCGAAGAGTGAAGCATGGTGGTGGCAGAATCACACTGTGGGGGTGTTTTCAGCAACAGGGATGGAGAGACTGGTCAGGGTTGAGGGAAAGATGAATGGAGGGATTCATCAGGGATTTCCTCAATGAAAACCTGTTCCACAGTGCTCAGGACCTCAGACTAGGCTGAAGATTCACTTTCCAACTTGACAACAACCCTAAGCACACAGCCAAGACAACACAGGAATAGTTTAGGGACAACTCTGTGAATGTCCTAGAGTGGCCCAGCCAGAGACCTGATTTGAACCTTTTTTTTTTAAAATTTGATTTATATGCCGCCCTTCTCCGGAGACTCAGGGCGCCTTACAATGCATTAAGCAATAGCCTTCATACTTTTGTATATTTTATACAAAGTCAGCTTATTGCCCCCACAATCTGGGTCCTCATTTTACCTACCTTAGAAAGGATGGAAGGCTGAGTCAACCTTGAGCCTGGTGAGATTTGAACTTGCAGTAATTGCAGTCAGCTGATGTTAATAACAGTGCTTTAGTCTGCTGCGCCACTAGGACATTATTGAATGTCTCTGAAGGGACCTGAAAATGGCTGTCCACATAAGGTTGCCATCCAACTTGACTGGCCTTGAGATGACTTGCAAGGAAGAATGGCAGAAAATGCCCCAATCCAAGTGCGCAAAACTTCTCATGTCATACCCCAAAAGACTTGAGACTGTAATTGCTGCCAAAGGTGCTTCAACAAAGTATGGAGTTAAGGGTCTGAATGTCAATATGGTATTTGAGGGATTTTGGTTTTTAATAAATTTACAGACATTTCTAAACTTCTGTTTTCACTTTGTCATTATTGATGTAGATGAATGAGAAAAAATGCATTTCAACAAGTGTAAAATCAGGCTGCAAGCTTAACAAAATTGACAGAAGTGAAAGGGGTCTGAATGCTGTCTGAATGCACCGAACCTGTGTTCCTTTTCACAGAGAAATACACTCCGAATTTCTTTATGTAAACAATTATGTGTATTTCAGTCAGCAAAATGCCCCAGAAGTGCATTGAGTCAAATTTTTTTGATCTGATTTTAGAAAGGTGGGGAGATGAATAGATGAAATGGTGTCCAAATCCTGTGCAAGATTGAAAGCATCTCTTTTGCCCATGAAACTCCTCGGTTGGCAGGAAAGCAACATCTCAATAACATCACAAGGAATGAAGTGTTAGGTGAAGGTGAGGGAGGTGGATGGTTAAGAAAAAGGAAAAAATATATCAAGGTTTCTTTAAGTCTCCCAGCAGAAAATCACAGGCAGCAACTTTAGATCATGCAGCAAAAGGATGAAAACATTTGGGGAGAGAAAGAAAATGCAGCAGCAGCCCAGATGTTTCATTCTTGTCCCTTCGCTGCTTCCAGGCCATGGAGGAACCCAAAGGGCCCGACTTGCTCCCGGCTTCTGCTCCGACCTTCCCTCCACTCACCTCCCAGGAGCCTCTTCCACCCTCCAAGCAGCACAAGAGGTTCCGCCGACGCCATTATCCGCCACTGGGTGAGCCGTAAGAGGAAGTCCCTCCACGTCCACTCTAGTAATCTAATATCTATCGTTTCAATTGGTTCTAGCTCGCCTTCTCTCCCTCCGGTATAATGTCAACAGTAGCGAAGCCGCTGCTGTACTCTTACTCTCTACTCCGTTATTTCTTTCTACAGCGCCATCTAGCGACATAAGATTGAAGATCACCCTCGTTCTATCTCTAACCCTAAAACGTTTGCAAGAGGCTTTCATGGATTCCGTGGTTCCTTCTGTGTATTCGACTCCCACCGAGCACAGCTTTTGCCCATGACAATCTATGCTAAACCTTTTCTCCCAAGAGTTCACTCATTTTCCCTCTTCCTCCAACTAAACCAGTGGTTCTCAACCTGTGGGTCGGGACCCCTTTGGGGGTCGAACGACCCTTTCATAGGGGTCGCCTAAGACCATCCGAAAACACATATTTTCAATGGTTTTAGGAATAATTTTATGGTTGGGGGTCACCACAACATGAGGAACTGTATTAAAGGGTCGCGGCATTAGGAAGGTTGAGACCCACTGAACTAAACCAAAGGAAAGCGTCCAAGGGCGGGGGCGGAATGACGTATAACAGCCAACCTGAAAGGGAACCTCCCTTGGGGGCTGCTGAAGATTGTTCCAGCCAGATTTTAGCCTGGGATGTGTGTGTGCAGGAGAACTCCTCGAAACCTGCCTTGACAAATGAGTGAAGCTGTAATAGTTCAGCTGTTGAACGGAAGCCTCTAGCGCTAGTCTGTCCTTTGGGGTCTGGTAGGGAGGCCCTCATCCTCACTCCAACTGAGCCAGGAGTTTCTTTTGCGGGAACTAAACCAAGTGAAAGGATCGGTGGGGGGAACACAATGCGCCATCAGGCAGTGACAAAAAGCACCTCCCTGGTGGATCAGTGAAGACTATTCCAGCCATTCTTCATCTTGGGGGTGGAGAGAAACTCCCCAAAACTATATTTGCCAGTTTCATATCCCTTTAATGCAAGAATGAAATAGGGGACGAAACCTTGAAGTGGCCATCAATGTTGCTTCCAAACCGATCTAGGTAGGAGATATTATTTTTCCCTCTGCAATCTTGCAGCTGGAATTGCCAGGATTACCCTCAGTAAGCAACCTAGTTCAATACCTACATGGAACTACTAGGGGAGGCCATCCATCCTGTGATACCCAATTATGTACAAGTTGTCTTTGATTTACTTCATTTAGTGACCATTTGAAGTTACAAGGTTATTGAAAAAAGTGGCATGACCATTTTTCACACTTAAAGGCCACTGCAGCATTCTAACATAATGAAAATTCAGACTCTGGCCAATTGACTAGTCTTTATGACAGTTGCAGTGTTCTGGGGTCATGTGTTCCACTTTGGCGACTGAGCTGGAGGTCCTCCTGGACTCACAAGTCCTGCTCGGGGTGGGTATAGGCTGGGGGAGTGGTTTTCAACAGATTCATCTTGTGTGCCAATTGTGCCCTTTCCTGCACTTGGATGCCTTGTACAGGGGGTCACTCTTCCCTTGGTCACCTCGTTTGACTCTCTGCACTAGACCACTAGAACACTTCAACTGGTCCAGAATGTAGCAGCACACACAGTAATGGAAGCCCCCAGGTGGTCCATGTCACATCTTTGTGGTGGAAACCGCACTGGATTCAGTTCTTTAAGGTGCAATTCAAGGTTATCACCTTTAACAGTATTTATTGCAGCAATAGCGATCAGACATATATACCACCCCACTGTGTTTTGTTATCACTCTCAGTTTGGTGTCAGCATATTGTCTCCAACAATCTGGGTCCTCATTTTACAGATCTCAGAATGACAGAATCTAGAGGACCATCAGGATTGAATTCCCGGCTGTGGACAGAGGCCGGCAATGTCGCATTCTAACCACTGAGCCAACAGGGCACCTGTCATTATTTCCCCACCTTTATTTTTGCCATCTATCTGTTCTTCCAGGTCAGGTAGGACAGGCACACTCAGGGCCTTAACTCTGGTCAAACATTCCCTCTGAAATACTCTTCCCTCTGAAGTTGGGCAGGTCTTTATCGTCCCGTTCTTCCATAAAACAAAGAACAACTAGCTTTTCCCCTCAGGACTGGGAGAAGAGAGGACTGCACATCAGGTGGTGAACTGACACCAGGTTTTTCTTTTTATGCATTTGGTTTTAATACATTTTAAAGTTAATTATTTATTGGGAGCCTGCCAGAGATTGTTATAACATGGGTGGCTACTTAAATATTTTAAATAAATCAGAGGAAAAAGAAATGAACAAATGAACAAATGAATCTACTGAGGCTACCCTTCTGCAAGTTGCTTGAGGCAAATGAAGGTCTATACATTTATCAAATTTATAGGCTGCTAATAGCAATAGCACTTAGACATATATATTGCTTTACAGCCCTCTCTAATCATTTTGCCCACAACAATTTAGGTTCTCATTTTACCCATCTCGGAAGGATGGAAGACTGAGTCAACCTTGAGCCTGGTGAGATTTGAACTGCCAAATTGCAGGCAGCTGATAGTCAGCAGAAATAACCTGCAGTACAGCACTCTAATCACTGCGCTACCACGGCTCTTCCTAATCCTGAGAAGGTTAACTACTGCAATTTAACTCCTTTTATTTAATTTAACTCCTCACAAGGAGAATTATTATCAATTTTGAGGAAGAATAGCAGAAGAAATGAACATGGTTACTAATGTCTGGAGGCCTCGTTAACTTCTAAATTGAACAAAAGCAAGAATCATCTTTTTGGGATGCCTCGACCAGCCAAATGTCATCAACCTTCCTAGATGTGCCCTGTATTTTGAGAGCAAGAACATATTAAATGCGGAGGCTTTGAATTTTGTCATTTGCTATATAGATGGGGTTGATTAGTTTCTGTATTAAGGTTTTATTACTTTTAACCATGTGGAGTCATCATACGTTTGGCTGCCATATACATGCTAAGTAAAAATACATACATACATTTATTATTACTGCCCATGATAGGACTAAAGGAGGACGCCTACTAAAAGAAGCCTGATTCTCCAATAACAATTCCATCAACAGGCATATCGAACTGCCACCAGCCTACCAGGCTTTGAGACACCAGGAAAGAACCTGCAGGACCGCATTGCACCAAACTAAGGAAGCTCAGATCTCCTCCCTTTTGTTTAATAATAAGATATACTTAACTAAAAAGAATCGCACAAGAAATGAAATTATCCATTTCTCAGCTGGACTTTCGGTATGAGACAAGAAACATAATTCAAGATTCCTCTAAACAGATCAAATTTATACTCATGTGGAATTTCTTCTGTGATAAGGGAGGAATTTTGTGCAAAACACTGTCCACAATCTGGGCATTTGAATGGTTACTCCCCTATGTGTAACCTTACATGATTTATAAGGCTAGACCTACAACTGAAATCTTTTCCGCAATCTGGACACTCATACGGTTTTTCTCCTGTATGTGTCCTCTTGTGTATCACTAGGCTGGAACTGTGACTGAACCTTTTTCTGCAATCTGGACATTCAAATGGTTTTTCTCCTGTATGTGTCCTCTCGTGTGTCACCAAGTCAGAGTTTCGATAGAAACCTTTCCCGCAATCAGGACACTTATATGGTTTCTCTCCTGTGTGAATTCTCTGGTGCACCACAAGTTCGGAATTCCAATTGAAACTTTTCCCACAATCTGGACACTTGTGTGGTTTCTGTCCCGTGTGATTCCGTTGGTGAATCATCAGGTAATAATTCTCACTGAAACTTTTCCCACAATCCAGACACTCAAATGGTTTTTCTCCGGTATGAGTCCTCTGGTGTATCACCAGCTTTGCATTTTGGTTGAAACTCTTCCCACAATTCTGACACTTGTATGGTTTTTCTCCGGTGTGAGTCCTCTGGTGTATCACCAGCTTGCAATTACGCTTGAAACTTTTCCCACAATCTGGGCATTTATATGGTTTCTCTCCTGTGTGAGTCCTTTGGTGTTCCACAAGGTGGAAATTCCGACTGAAACTTTTCCCACAATCCGGGCACTCATACGGTTTTTCTCCTGTGTGAGTCCTCTGGTGTACCATCAGGTCGGAATTGCAACTAAAACCTTTCCCACAATCTGAACAAAAGAATTTCTCTCCTGTGTGTGTCGTCTGGTGTTTCACCAGGTGGGATTTGTGATTGAAACTTTTCCCACAATCCAAACACTCAAATGGTTTTTCTCCTGTGTGAATCCTCTGGTGTACCAACAGGTTCCAATTCTGACTGAAACTTTTCCCACAATAGAGACATTCATATGGTTTCTCTCCTGTGTGAGTCCTCTGATGTTTCACCAGCTTCGAATTCTGACTGAATTTTTCCCCACAATCTAGACACGCATATGATTTTTCTTCTGTATGAGATCTCTTGTGTATCCCCACTGCAGAATTCTGATTAAACATTTTGTCACAATACGGGCACTCATATGGTTTCTGTCTGGTGTATAACCAGGTCAGAATTCCAAGTAAATCTTTTCACACATCAGGACATTCAAAGAGGTTTTCTCCACTGTCAGCCTCCTTGTGACACTAAATTCGTTTGCCTGTTAAACCTTTGTCACATTGGGAGCACTGGTAGAGCTGTTCCTCCTGCATTGGCTGTTCCATAAATCATAGGAATCCCGTTCTGAGTAAAGTTTTTGCCACAATCCAAACATTTGTATGGGTTTTTAAGCTGCGATCTGCAATCTGTGTTTTTCCCAAAATAGGCAGCTGTTGAGGTTTTTCAAACACTGATATTCTTAGATTCATGAGGGGACCAAAAATATTTTTGATCCCATATGTGGTGGATGCTTTGATTCAAAACACTCTTTCCTTCCTCAACAGCTTTCATTAACGCCTTTGGCTATACAAGGGACCTTTTTCTTTCCACTGATATCCAACTATTCCCACGTTTTCTGAATTTGATAATTATATCTTTTTACTTTTTCATGCAATAGTTTCTTCAGTTCCACATAATCTATTTTTCCACCTGAAAACTCTGTTCCTGTTATTCTCGTGCTTGTCTCCATCTTCTGAGGAAAGACAAATTTTAACACTTTCTGGATGAAGAGGAAAATATTTTGATTGATGGTTTGTTTTGCATTTTAATGCTGCTCCTCATTCTCGGTTATCCAGAGCTCTTCTTGACATCCACTTTGTAAGATTCCTATTAATGGATTAGTTTCATTATTGTTTATAAAATGGCTGCAGAACCTGGGAGAACAGCAAAAAAAAAATTCCATATATTACCATCAAAAAGTAAAAATATCAAAATGCTGATTTAATCTCTAACATTCATTATGATTCATTAGGCACATAGAAGACTAGAAAAATCCAAGTTCAGATATCCACTCATATTTCAAATTTTAAAAAATACCTGAAAATACTGAGGTTTATACAGATACACATGTATGCACACATACAAACCTATAAATGTATGTATATAGAATTTTTTTTATTTCACTCCTAAAAATGCTTCAGAAGTGGATTCCTTCAATTTGCTTGATCTAATTTTAGAAAGGTAGGGACACTAACAGATGAGATGGTGCCCAAATCCTATGCAAATTTTAAAGCATCCGTTTTGCCCATGAAACTCCTCGCTTGCCAGGAAAACAACATGTCAATAAAATCACAAGGAATGAAGTGTTACGGGAAGACCGAAGCTGATAAAAATATGAAAAAAAATGCTTTTTAAATATCCCAAATCTTACCAGCAGAAAATCACAGGCAGCAATTCTAAATAGTGCAAGCCCAGAGGAATAAAATTTGGGAAGAGAAAGAATATGCAGTAAAAGCCCGCATGTTTCATTCACTTCGCTGCCTTTCCAAAGGGCCCGACTTGCTCCCGGCTTCCCCTCCAACCTTCCCTCCACTCACCTCCCAGGAGCCGCTTCCACCCTTCAAGCAGCCCAAGAGGCTCCGCTGAAACCTTCATCCTCCTCCCGTGGGTCAGCCGGAACAGGAAATTCCTCTGCCCTTCGGCTCGTCTCCTCCACATCCGCTCTAGCAATCCACTGTTCTATCGTTTCAACTTGTTCCATCTCCCCCTCTACCCCCTCCAGTAGACTAGGAATGCCACCCACTACTCTGCTGTATTCACTTCTTTCCAGGCACGAGTGTCGTTCATTTGTAGACCGCCATCTAGCGACATAAGGCTGAAAAACACGCTCGTCCTATCTTTACCCTAAGGCAGTGATGGTTAATCTTTTTGCTGTCACATGCCAAAAGCGGGGGGGGGGGCCACATGCGCATGCCCACACCCATAATTCAATGACCCCCCCCCCCGTGCATGTGCGTGGCTCCCCCCACTTTTGGCACACGATGGCACGGTGGGCCAAGTAGGCCTGTTTTTTTCTCTCCCCAGGCTCCTGAGGCTTTCTTGGAGCCTGGGGAGGGTGAAAACAGCCTTCCCCACCCCCAGGAGGTCCTCCAGAGGCCGGAAATGGCACGTTTCCCGACTTCCGGTGGCCCAAAAATCATGTGGCCGGCCCGCGCGGGAGCTGAGCTAGGGCAATGCCACAGATATGTATGTGCCATACTTATATATGTATACATGTGCCATAGGTTCGCCATCATGGCCCTAAGGCGTTTGCAATATGTTTTCATTGATTCTGTTATTTCTGTTTTCCTTTTAGGTTTTCTTACTGCTTTTTTATTGTTTTAATTGTTTTTAACCTGTAAAAATGAAGTGTTTTAATACTGTGTGTGACCAACCATACGCTAAATAAATAAATTCATTGATTCTGTGCCTCCTTCTGTGCCATCAACTCAAGTCGTATCCTACAGAGCACAGGAATAGTTTTTACAGTGTGGAGCGAACAAAACAGCCCTACTTGGTCCCGGCTTCTCCTCCGATCTGTCCTAAACTTATTATCCATCTGATGCTAACTCTCCAAAACTACCTTTGCAACTTAGGGAAGCTTGAAGAGTGATGCTTCACCATACTTAGCTTCACAAGATTAGTCAGGTGCTGCATCATAAAAGATAAAGGTCTTGTTTGTATGTGCAGCTTTAAACAATTGCCAGCTTCATCCCATTTATAAACAAATGAAATGAAAAAGGACACAACCATGAAGTGGTTTCCCAGGCAGCTTATGAAAAACATTTGGAGGGTGCTCGTTTATAGAAAGCTGATCTAAAGAGTCCTGCGCTTTAGGCGTTGGCTCTCAATTGCTCTCCCAGGCCCAGAAAGGAGCAGGCCTAGAGATCACCCACTTGCTCGTAACTCTCACCTGCTGGCCTGAGACTCCTACCTCTTCCCACATCAAAATCACATGTGCTCCTCACTTAATGACCCACGGGGTCCTGGAATTGCAATGGCCACTGGATGTGCCAGCATGGCCCTCACTAAGCAATGTGATCATATGATGTCACTTTTTATAATCTCATTGCATAGCAATGGAATTTCTGGCGCCAATTGCTGTCACAACCCGAGAAATACCACTTTTTTTCCCCAAGCGCAGGAAAAGTAATTTCCCCCTTTCTGGATAGTTGGCATCCTGACTGGCTTTATAACTTCAACAGCAGTTTGTAATGCATAATAAAATCATGGGAGGTTTTCCTGGCAGGAGTTCACAGCATTGCTGCAAATTAAGATCTCTTCTAAGTGCAGCTGAAGAGGGCAATGAAAGGTTGGTAGCCTAGGACTTCAACTCACCCTCTGCTTCCAGCTCTGACTTTTGTCACTTGGAGAAAGGGCTGTGCAAGAGAAAGACACCTGGGACCTCCTCAGTCTGGGTTCAGGCCGGGACACATCACCAAAACAGCTTTGGTTGCAATTCTCATGGACGGTTTGGAGATAGAAGGGGTGCAACCATTATGTCTTTCCTATACCTCTGATCAGATTTCAATATCATTGACCAGCATATCCTTCTGGACCATTTCTGGGGACTAGAAATGGGACGCACTTTATTACGGTGGTTCTATTTCTACTTTCAATCAGTGGAGGTTTATTGATTTCTGTATTTTATTGCTGTAAACCTTGTGGAGTCATAGGAGTTGGGCAGCAAAATACATTTTCTTACTAAGTAAAAATATATAGATAAATATAAGTTCATATCCCCCTGTATTATATATAGAAATAACTCAAGGTGGCAAATATACTTAATATAGATCCACACTGGCTTTCTCTCACCCAGTAAAGCAGTTCCCCTCAACTCCGTAAAAGTGAACTACCGAACTGGGCCAGAGAAAGGAAGCTCAGATCAGATTAGAGGCCTGATCTGAGCTTCCTTTCTCTGGCCCAGTTCAGTAGTTCACTTTTACAGCCTGCAGGCTAAAACATGAATGATTACAGGAACTGGGCATGGCTAGTCTAGTGAAGAGAATGACTAGTGGTCTTCCAATATGTGAGGGGCTGCCACAGATAGGAGGGGAGCACCCTATTTTCCAAAGGATCCAAAAGCCAGACAAGGAACAATGGATGGAAAGTGATCAAGGAGAGATTCAAAGTAGAAATAAGGAGACATTTTCTGACAGTGAGAACTATCAACCAATGGAACAACTTGCATTCTGTAGTTCTGGTTGTTTCATCATGGAGGTATTGAAGAAGAGATTCGATTCCCACTTTTCAAAAATAGTATTGGGCAGTGATGGCGACCTTTCCGAAACAGAGTGCCCAACCTGGAACACGTGTACATGTGTGCATTTGAGTGTGCCGGAGCGCCGGAAATCCGAAAACCAGCTGGCTGGTGTGCATGAGCACGCCAGCCAGCTAGTCTTTGGGTTTCCAGGATGCGCACTGGCCAGCTGGTCTTGCTACACGCGGGAGCACTGTAAACCCGAAGACCAGTTTGCCAGCGCGCTCAAAGACCAGCTGGCTGGTGTGCGTGCCCAGAGATGGTTCTGTGTGCTAACTCTGTTTGCCATCACGGGTATAGGGTCTACTGCATGAGTAGGGGGTTGGATTAGATGACATACTGTCTATTCTATTCATAATTCTTATTCTGTTCTATTCTCATAATTTTTATTCTATCAATAACTCTCTACTCATGTTTTACACTAAGACAAGTTTCACTAAAAAGAACCGTGCAAGTAATTAAATGTTTAATTGTGCAGCTGGGTTATCAATGAAAGTCAAAAAACCAAATTAAAGATTCCTGTAGACGCATCAAATTTTGCCTCTTGTGGAATTTCTTGTGCATGATGAGGGAGAAGAATTGTGTGAAACAAAGTCTGCAGCCTGGCCATTTGAATGGTTACTCCCCTATGTGTAACATTACATGATTTATAAGGCTAGAGGTAGTACTGAAATCTTTCCCACAATCTGGACATTCATACGTTTTTTCTCCTGTGTGAGTTCTCCAGTGTTTCACCAAGTCAGCGTTCCGATTGAACCTTGTCCCACAATTTGGACACAGATATGGTTTTTCTCCTGTGTGAGTTTTCTGATGCATCACCAGACTGGAATTCTGACTGAAACTTTTCCCACAATGACATTTATATGGTTTCTCTTGAGTGTGAGTCCTTTGATGTTTCACCAGGTCAGAATTGCAACTAAAACCTTTCCCACAGTCTGAACACTTATACGGTTTCTCACCTGTGTGAGTCCTCTGATGTCGTACAAGGAGGGCATTTTGAACGAAACTTTTCCCACACTGCAGACACTCATACGGTTTTTCACCTCTGTGAATCCTTTGGTGTATCACCAGATCAGAATTACATTTGAAACATTTTCCACAATCTGAACACTCATACGGTTTCTCTTCCGTGTGTGTCCTCTTGTGTGTCACCATCTCAGATTTCCGAGCGAAACTTTTCTCACAATCTGGACACTCAAATGGTTTCTCTCCTGTGTGAGTCCTCTGATGTTCCACCAGCAGAGAATTCCAAATGAAACCTTTCCCACAAAACAGACACTCATATGGTTTCTCGCCCATGTGAGATTTCTGATGTTTCACCAGGCTAGATTTCCGAGAGAAAACTTTCCCACAATCAGGACACTCATATGGTTTCTCTCCTGTGTGAGTCCTCTGATGTTCCATGAGAAAAGAATTCCAACCGAAACCTTTCCCACAATCTTGACACTTAAATGGTTTCTCTCCTGTGTGAATCCTCTGATGTCGCACAAGATTGGAATTTTGATTGAAACTTTTCCCACACTGCAAACACTCATATGTCTTTTCACCCGTGTGAATCCTTTGGTGTATCACCGGATCAGAATTGCAATTGAAGTCCTTTCCACAATCTGAAGACTGATGCGGTTTCTCTCCCATGTGAGTTCTCTGGTGTACCACCAAGTTGGAATTCTGACTGAAACTTTTTCCGCAATACAAACACACATATGGTTTCTCTCCCGTGTGAGTTCTCTGGTGCCTCACTAGGTCAGAATTCCGAGTGAAGCTTTTCAGACAATCAAGACATTCAAAGCGTTTCTGTGCAGTGTGAGTCCTCTTGTGTGTCACCAGACTGGTGTGCCTGCTAAATATTTTGCCACATTGAGAACACTGGTGGAGCTGCTCCTCCTGCATTATGGGAGTCCTATTCTGAGTAAAGCTTTTCCCACACTCCAAACATTTGTATGGGTTTTCGAGGGATGGATCTATTTCTGTATAATCAGCTGTGATCTGCAATCTGTGTTTTATCTACAATAGGCAGTTGGTGGGCTTTTTCCAACACTGATATTCTTGGACTCACGAGGAGAACAAAAATATTTCGGATTCCTTATGTAGTGGATGCTTTGATTCAAACGCTCTTTTCTTCCTTAGCGGCTTTCATTAATGCCTTTGGCTAGCCAAGGGACCATTTCCTTACCACTGATGTCCAGTTATTTCACAATTTTTTTGAATTTGCTAATTAAAACTCTGTTATTCTCTCCCTTGTCTCCTTCCATTTGCTGAGGAAAGACAAATTTTAACATTTTCTGGAGGAAGTGGAAAAGATTTTGATTGATGGTTTGTTTTGCATTTTAATGCTGCTTCTCATTCTCGGTTGTCCAGAATGCTCTTCTTGGAATCCTCTTTGTAAGATTCATATTAATGGATTAGTTTCATTATTGTTTTAAAAATGGCTGCATAACTGGGGAAAAACAAAAAAAAAAGCATCCATATATTACTATGAAAAAGCAAACATATCAAAATGGTAGTTTAATCTTTAATATTCATTATGATTTATTAGGCACATAGAAGAATATCAAAATCCAAGTTCAAATTTCCACTCATATTTCAAATCATAAAATTCTATTGTTGGCTTGGGTAAATCACAAATTATTATCATTGCAAACTGTTATTAAAATTACCTGAAAACACTGAAGTTTATACAGATACACATATAAATACACACCTATAAATTTATGGATGTAGAAAGCAACGTCAATAATATCACAGGGAATGAAGTGTTAGATGAAGGGCGAAGATGACGGAAACATGAAATAAAGACTTTTTAAATCTCCCAGCAAAAAATCACAGGCAGCAATTTTAAATGACGGAGGAAAAGGATAATAACATTTGGGAAGAGAAAGAATATGCAGCAAAAGCCAACATGTTTCAGCCTCGTTGTTTCCTCTGCTTCATACTCCGTGGAGGAACCCAAAGGGCCCGACTTGCTCCCGGCTTCTCCTCCGACCTTCCCTCCACTCACCTCCCAGGAGCCACTTCCACCCTCCAAGCAGCACAAGAGGCTCCGCCGACGCCATCTTCCTCCTCCCGTGGGTCAGCCGGAAGAGGAAGTTCTTCTGTCCTCCTTCTCCTCTCCGTTACATCCTCTCTAGCAATGCAATTCTCTATCGTTTCAACTCGTTCAACTCAGCGTCTACCTCCCCAGTAGACCAGCAATGCCACTACTGTATTCACTGCTTTCTAGGCACGAGTGTCGTTCATTGCTAGCGCGCCATCTAGTGACATAAGGCTGAAAAACACGCTCCTTCTATTTCTACTCTAAAGCGTTTGCAAAATATGTTCATTAATTCTGTGGTTTCTTCTGTGCCATCAAGTCATATTCGACCCCCCCCCCAGAGCACAGAAATAGCTGTTGTCCATGATAATCTATCCTAAAAGTTTTCACATTCAGGTCTCACTGTCTCTATTGCTGCAACTAAACCAAAGGAAAGAGTCCTAGTGGCAAAATGAGGTACAGACAGCCAACCAGAAAGTGCACCTCCCTTTTGTTTCAGCCAGTTTTTGGTCTTGTGGGGGGCAAGATAAGTCCTCGAAATCTGCCTCTGCAAATAATTGAAACTGTAAGAGTGACGGTTGATCCTACTAAGCTTCACAGATTTAGCCAAGTTCTGCGCCCTAAACATTCATGAAGTTCTTTCTATGTGGTCCTAAATGGTTGTCAGATACATCCTATTAACAGTCGAATGGAACAGGGGAGCAATTGGGAAGCACTCACTGGCATTTCCTCTGAACCCCATCTAGATAGGGGGTAGATGTGATCTTTCAGTCTGTATTATTATAGAGTCTAAATCCTGCTAGAAGGCAGAATTGCTCAGTGCGGCCTTTGCAATTCCCAGACTTATTATTACCTTTCAGCCTTATTTATTCCCAATGTGGGAAGTACACCCCAAAAGAATCAAGCTAAAAATTAACTCACCAAGGCAAAACCAAGAACTCCCCTTTTCCTGCCTCTGACAGGATTAACCCCCAGGATAGAAGAGACAAAAGGTCCCGAGACAGGATTAACCCATTAAGGCAGGGAGACAGAACTCAACTAGCAATCGCCTCAACTAGAGGCACATAAAAAAACCATCAAGATGTTTCTCCATTTCTCCCTTTGGGGATATATAACAATCTGCCCTTTTTAATATTCCTCAAAATATTTCATTCTTCTGGGACAGGGGTGTCAAACTGGATTTCATTGAGGGACTCATCAGGGTTGTTTTTGACCTCAAAGGGCTGGTGTCTGCGTGTGTGTGTGTGTGTGTGTGCACAGGAGTGGGTGTGGCCATGATGGGCATGGCGATGGTGGACATTTGACACAAGCTCAAGATGCATTTTTCTCCCTTCTTTCTTATTACAGTTCTTTACTATAACCATTTTCCTATCTCTTCTACCAGATATTACTGGCAAACATTTATTACTTATTCTAGATACTCCACTAAACTTTTTATTTCTAAATTTATATCCCATTATTTAATAGTAAATTGCTTTTCCAGGCAGAAAAGCAGATATTCTATATCCAATGTATATCTGGAAATGTTGGGGATAAGATTATACAGGTGCACATATATGCATCTAGAGAAATACAAACACACATACCTACAAATCAGCTGTGAAATCCTACCGGTTCACACCGGTTCGGGTGAACCAGTAGTGATAAAGACTACCAGATAAGCAAATTGATAGTAAAAAAAACCCTATTGGTCCTCCGAACTGGTATTTCCGATGATCAGCTGTGCCGTGTGATTTAAAATCGCTAGAAAGCAGGAAATCCTGCTTTCTAGTGAATATAAATCACACAGTACAGTTGTTCCCCCCCTCATTGTTCTACTTACTTTCTCAAGCCTTTTTCCGTATGAAGCGTGTGTTTGGAACACACCGCGCATGCATGGGCAGCAAACCGGGAAAGATTTCAACACTTACAAATGTATATATGTAGAAAATCCATTTGTATTTTAGCCTGAAAAATGTCCCAAAATTGTTACGGTCCAACCTTCTGCATTATTTTTTTGAGATGTGGGGCATTTAACTGATGGAATGATGTCTCAAACCTCAGCAAGATTTGAACCCATAATTTTCCCCATCGACATCCTCAGCTGCAAACAAAGACAGAAAATACTGTAGACAAGCCCTCTGGTGACATCCCCATTCAAATTGCCCTCACTTACTGACCATATTTGGGAGAGGAATGTGTCATTACAAAGCCAGATTATTAAAGATGTCAATTTACATCTGCTCCTCTGCAGATCTTAAACAAATCAGTGTGGGTTGTTAAAGGCAATTTCACGTGATCGTGATTGGCGACTTGCTGGCATCCCCTTGTCAAAAGTTAGCTGGGAACATTACAAATAGGATCATAAATGTGGACTGATTGGCAGCACCCGAATTGGTGCAACTCCTTTTCCTGCACCTTCAGAACTACAGGAACTACTGAAATGCAGTCACTGAAGAAGTGCCACGATGCCCACAAATCTGTGGGCTTTGGTGTATGTCTGTCTGCACAGTGCCATAGTAACTTGGAAGGCTAAGGGAATAAATAATGAGGACTTCCTATACAACTGAATCTTACAATAGTTCCTCTGCTACCAAACTGTATGGCTATATGACAATCCTCTGCTACCATTTCTACATAATAAAACAGAATTTCTAACATCCTCAGTGTTATTTCTTATAAAATAGTGGGTTAACCACAGATGAACCTGACTGATGGGGCTCCAGTAGAAAAAAATTGTTAGCTGTTTGTTAGCTAAACATGGAAATAGAAGTAAAATCCCAGAAGAGACCAGTAGCAGATCAGTCCCAAAATGTTGCCAAAACAATAAAATCCAAAGGAATCAATTTTTTTTTAAAAAATTGATTTATATGCCGCCCTTCTCCGGAGACTCAGGGCGGCTTACAATGCGTTAAGCAATAGCCTTCATACTTTTGTATATTTATACAAAGTCAGCTTATTGCCCCCACAAACTGGGTCCTCAATTTACCTACCTTAGAAAGGATGGAAGGCTGAGTCAACCTTGAGCCTGGTGAGATTTGAACTTACAGTAATTGCAGACAGCTGGTAATCACAATGCTATCAGTCTGCTGAGCCACCAGGCCCAATTTTAATTTGAAGGACTTTTTAAATCTTCCAACCGGAGGAAAATTGTGGGCATCAGTTTTAAGGACTGCAGCACTGGTGCAATAAAATACGGGAAGGTGGGAAGGAATATGTAGCAGCCGACAACTTTTAGTCTAGTTGATTCTCTTTTACACCGTCGAGTAAACCAAACAGATCTTCTTGCTCCTAGCTTCTCCACTAGACCTGTCTTAAACTCACCATCCACCTGATGGTAACTTTCCAAAACTACCTTTACAACCAAGGGAAGCTTGAAGAGGGAAGCTTGACCCTACTTACCTTCACAAGATTAGCCAGGTGCTGCATCATAAAAGCTGATAAAGGTGTTGTTTGTCCTGGACTCATGTGATCCCTTGTCAACTGAGCTAGTGCACAACCTGGGGCTCTTCTTGGACTCATAGCTCCTGCTTGAGAAGATGGCTGGGGGAGGGGTTTGCAGAGATTCATCTGGTGCGCCACTTGTGCCCTTTCCTGGATTAGGGAGGCCTTGCACAAGGGTCACTCATGATTTGGTCACCATTTGCTTAGGTCACTGCACTGGACTACCCAGAAACTTCAACGGGTGCAGAACACAGCAGCACACACAGTAATGGAGGCCCCTAGTTAGCCAATGTAAGGTATTTGTGGTGCAAGCTGCACTGGATTTATTCCTTAACAGGTGCAATTCAAAATCATCACCTTTAAAGCAATTTCTTCATTACAGCAATAGCACCTAACAAATATATATTCAACTGTGTTTTTCACTACTCTCGTTCTGGTGTCAGCATATTGTCCCCAGTAATCTGGATCCTTGTTTTACCAATCTCAGAAAGATGAAAAGCTGAGTCAATTTGAGCCCCATCACGATCGAATTCCACCCTGTGGTCAGAGTCAGCTGGCAATACTGCATTCTAACCAGAGCCAATATGGTACCTGACATTATTGTCCCACCTTCCTTATTTTTGCATGCATCTGTTCTACAAGTCAGCTAGGATGGGCACTCTCCTAGCCCCTTCCCTTAAAAATTGCTATTGGATAGGAGCTAGGAAGTCAGTTTTTTTCGTTGCAGAACTTCCGTAGGAAGCACACTTCCCTGTGTATTAGCAGGCCTTTATCCTCCTAGTCTTCTGAAAGGAACATATAGCTAAGCATTTGGATAACACGAGATGCCTGCACATCAGAAGCTTTATTAGGAACCAGGTGTTTTGTTTATATATATTAAATTTAGATGCCGCTAATCCTGTGGTGAACTTCTCCAATTTAAGGAGAAAGATAACCAGTTTTGAGCAAGAATGATGACAGGCATGAACATAATTAGTAAGGCCAAGAGGCCTGGTTAATTTATAAATTGAACAAAAGCAAGAATCACCTTTTTGGGATTCCCAGACCATCAAATTGCCACTAACCCTTCTAGAAGTGTCCTGTACTTTAGGACAAGTACATTTTAAAGACAGAGACTTTGAATTTTGCCATTTTCTATATATGGGGTTTATTGGTTTCTGTATTAAGGTTGTATTGCAATAAGCGATCTGGAATCACATTGGGTTGGGTTGCCATACACAATTTCTTAATAAATAACAATACATACATACATATCTATATTCTGCCTTTATTTAGAAACAACTCAAGATGGCAAACATATAGAGATCTGAGCGCCTTTTCTCTGGCCCAGAATGCAATTCCTCTCGACACTGTGAAAGGAAACAACCACACACCACCAGAGAAAGGACACTCAGTTCTCCTCCCTCATGTTTGATAGTAAGACATGTTTGACTAAAACAATTAAGGCAAGAAATTAAATGGTTAATTTTTCAACTGGGCTTCCAAAGAGAGAAGCGAAACAAAATTCAAGATTTGTCTTCAGACATCAAATTTTGCTTCATATGGAATTTCTTGTGTGCGGTAAGAGAAGAATTTTGTGTGAAACACTTCCTACAATCTGGGCATTTGAATGGTTTCTCTCCTGTGTGTAATCTTACATGATTTATAAGGTTCGATCTGACACTGAAATCTTTCCCACAATCTGGACACTCATATGGTTTCTCCCCAGTGTGAGTCCTCCAATGTATCACAAAGCCAAAATTCCGACTGAACTTTTTTCCACATTCAGGACACTCATATGGTTTTTCTCCTGTGTGAGTCCTTCGGTGTCTCACGAGGTGGGAATTCTGACTGAACCTTTTCTCACAATCTGGGCACTCATATGGTTTCTCTCCTGTGTGAGTCCTCTGGTGTTCCACCAGGAAGGAATTCCGACTAAAACTTTTCCCACAATGCAGGCACTCATATGGCTTCTCTCCTGTGTGAGTCATCTGGTGTTCCACCAGGTGGGAATTCTGACTGAAACTTTTCCCACAAGCTGGACACTCATATAATTTCTCTCCTGTGTGAGTCCTCTTTTGTATCGCCAGATTGGTGTGCATGCTAAAACGTGTGTCACAATGGGAGCACTAGTAGAGTTTCTCTTCAGTATGGGTCCTTCCACAAATCACGAGAGACCTGTTCTGAGTAATGCTTCTGCTGCAATCCAAACATCTGTACGGCTTTTCACCGGATGGTTCAGCTCATAATTTTCTCCTTTGTCTCATCAGCTGAGGAAGAAGTTTTTACACTTTCTGGAAGTGGAAGATATTGATTGATTTCTTTGACAGGTTTGTTTTACATTGTAATGCATTTAATGCATTTTAATCATTGTCGGTTGTCCAGAGTGCTCTTCTTGGCATCCTCTTTGTCTGTAAGATTCATATTAATGAGTTAGTTTCATTATTGTTTAAAAAATGCCTTCAGGACATGCAAAAGCAGCAAAAATACCCCATATGTTATCATGAAAAAACATCAAAATTCTAGTTTAATCTCTAACGTTAATTATGACTCATTTGGCATGTAGAAGACTAGCAGATCCAAATATCAACTCAATCACAAAATTCTCCTTTCGGCTTGAGTAAAACACACACAGAGTGCACCCAGAAAGTATTCAAAGCATTCAGACCTCCTTCACGTCTATCAGTTTTGTTACAGCAGTTTTAAGTCCCGCAGCCCCAGAGGAATAAAATTTGGGGAGGGAAACAATATGAAGCAGCAGCAGCCATGTTTCACCCTCGTTGCTTCCTCTGCTTCATACCCCGTGGAGGAACCGAAATGGCCCCACTTCCTCCGGGCTTCTCCTCCGACCTTCCCTCCACTCACCTCCCAGGAGCCGCTTCCACCTTTCAAACAGCACAAGAGGCTCCGTCGACGCCATCAACCTCCCGTGAGTGAACCGGAAGAGGAAGTTCTTCTGTCCTTCTCTTCTTTACATCCTCTCTAGCAGTACAATTCTCTATCATTTCAACTCGTTCAGCTCCCCAGTAGAGCAGCAATGCCACTACTGTACTGTATTCACTGCTTTCTAGGCACGAGTGTCGCTGGTTGGTAGAGCGCCATCTAGTGTCATAAGGCTGAAAAACACGCTCCTTCTATTTCCACTCTAAAGCGTTTGCAAAATGCTTACATTAATTCTGTGCTTCCTTCTGTGCCATCAAGTCGAATTTGACTCCCACAGAACACAGGAATAGTTTTTACAGTGTGGAGAGAATAAAACTGCCCTACTTGCTCCCAGCTTCTCCACCGGACCTGTCTTAAACTCACCATGCACCTGATGGTAACTTTCCAAAACAACCTTTACAACCGAGGGAAGCTTGAAGAGGGAAGCTTCACCCTACTTACCTTCACAAGATTAGCCAGGTGCTGCATCGTAATAGCTGATAAGTCTTGTGGTTACCCAGGCAGCTTGTGAAAAACATTTGGAAGGTGCTAGTTTGTTGAAAGCGGATCTAAGGAGTCTTGAGCTTTAGCAGTTGGCGCTCAATTCCTCTCCTAGGCCCAGAAAGGAGCAGGCCTGGAGACCACCCACTTGCCCATACCATGCCTGGGACTCCTACTTCTTCCCACATCAAAATCACATGAGGTCCTCAATTAATGACCCACGGACTCCTGGAATTGCAATGGAACTGGAACTGCCAGGTTGAGCAGGGCAGTTTACTGAAATCAGACCACTTGACATGGAATGACATGTATTAAATTTAGATGCCACTAATTCTGCAGTGAACGTCTCCAGTTTAACTCCTTCCAAGGAGAAACATAACCAGTTTTGCGCATGAATGGCCACAGGCACTAACATAATTGGTAAGGCCAAGAGGCCTGGTTAACTTATAAATTGAAGAAAAACAAGAATCACCTTTTTGGGATTCCCAGACCATCAAATTGCCACTAACCCTTCTAGAAGTGTCCTGTACTTGCAGGGCAAGTACATTTTTAAATGTGGAGACTTTGAATGTTGCCATTTTCTATATATCGGGTTTAATGTTGTATTGCTCTAAACCTTGTGGAGATATATGAGTTGGCCTGCCACATACATTTTCTTATTACGTAAAAATACATACGTACATACATGTTTATATCACCGTTTTGTGGAGACCTTGTATGTACAGCGTCCACCATAGCCAAACCGACCCCATTGGGGGGGGGAGGTTCAGTATGAGGTTTTGCACATCCTGGATTCCCGCATATATAGGGTCCTGCAATACCTGGTACACTGGAAGGAATATCCCCTGTAGGAGGCATCCTGCGTGAGGAGTCGCGATGTAAGGGCTGCACGGTTAGTGAGATGGTTCCACCGGGAGCACCCTCAAAAGCCAGTGGGGATATAAATGTGAAGCTAAATGTGGTCCTTGTTTACCTTCCAGATACCGTCTGCATGGTAGAGGGGAGCCACCTGTTAAATCCTAAAATGGTGAGTGTCCGGCGAGCCGTTTCGGGGTTGCCATTTGGGGGTGCTTGCCAATTGGGGGAAGAGGAAGGTGGAAGCCAGGTTAATGTGGACTTACATGGTGTGGGAGGCAGCAGGCAGTGGAGGAACTGGGCCGACGATCAGCTGGAGAATTGGTGCTGATCAGCTGGAGCGCTGGTTAGCTGGAGGTTCAGGGCACCAGTCTACTGAGAAGGTGGCTTGAAAGCAGGCAGGCCAGCAGAAAGATTAGGCGCGGCCAAAACCTCTCGGCTTTTCGCACCATCTGGAAGCCACGGGACAGGGCGGGTGCACACGGGGGTTTAAAGCAGTGGAAAAGCAGCAGCAGTTAATGCTGAGTTTGATCACAGTCACTTTATGATGAGTGTCCAAGCCTACATTTAACGCAGCAAACAAACTCTGCTGCTTGCTGTTTCCTGGTGCTGGAGGCTCAGAACCTGACACCTTTATTATACTGTATATAGAAAGAACTCAACATGGCAAACATACTTTCTACAGATCCACACTAGCTTTCTCTCGCACAGCAAAGCAGCTCCCCTCAACTCCGTAAAAGTGAACTACCAAACTGGGCCAGGGAAAGGAAGCTCAGATCAGATTAGAGGCCTGCAAGCTAAAACATATGAAGAACAGTTGCAAGAACTAGGCATGGCTAGACTAGTGAAGAGAAGGACTAGTGGTGACACGATAGCAATCTTCCAATATTTGAGGCACTGTCACAGAGAGGAGGGGAGCAACCTGTTTTCCAAACCACTCGGAGGCCAGACAAGGAATAATGCATGGAAACTGATCAGGGAAAGATTCAAAGGAGAAACAAGGAGAAATTTTCTAGTGAGAACAATCAACCAATGGAACAGCTTGCCTTAAGTAGTTGTGGCTGCTTCATCACTGGAGGCTTTCAAGAACAGACTCAATTGCCACTTGTCAGAAATAGTATAGGGTCTGCTGGATGAGTCCGTCCTGTCTCCCCCCCCAGCTCCCCGCCCCTCAGAGAACCACAATGCTGATCCAGCCTTTGAAGAAATCCAGTTTGACACACCTGGCATAGGGTCTGCTGCTTGAGTAGGGGGTTGGACTAGGTCAGAGGTCCCCGACCTTTTGGACCTCAGGGACCACCATGTTCATAATTTTAAATCCCGCGGACCACTAATATGAATCCAATGCGCTGCTTGAAATGCCTGGACTCCCAGTGACGGGATGGGGTCCTTCAGGCACTCTCCCTCCTCTTTCTCTCTCTCCCCTCATTCTCTCAGATTCCCTGTCTCTTTCTCTCATTCTTTCTCTTTCATTGTCTCTCTCTCATTCTGATTCTCTCATTCTCTTTCATTCTCTCCCCCCTCATCTCTCTTCCCCCTTTCTCCCTCATCTCTCTCCCCTTTTCTCTCTCCCACTTTCTCATTCTCTTTCTTTCTTTCTCTGATTCTCTCTCTCTCTAATCTCATGGGCCAGCCAGTGTCTTGGGGCTGAGAGGAAGTCAAGCATCTCCCTGAGAGACTGAGGTGTGCGGAGCACCAACAAGGGCCGGAAGAAATGGTTGCAAGATCCAAAGCTTCGCTCCTGTTCTGGAATATGGAGCGAATCTCCATCCCCTGCCCTTCCCTTGCCAGGCGAGGACTCGCAAAGGGAAGGGAGGGCAAGGGGTGGGGACAGCCACTGGTGGGTTCAGATGACAGGAAGCTACAGCAGGGGGAAGAAACAGCCCGGGGTTCCTGCTACCCATTGCTTCGGCCCCCCTGCACCTCATTCTGGCCGGCAAGAGCTGCGCTGCAAAGTTGCAAGTTGCACGAACCTCCCTCTACAGTGGAGATTTACAGCCCCACCATGCCTGGCCAGTCCCATATTCCAGAGCTCTAGTCACAGGACTGGCCATTGCTCATCCCGGAGCAGCTCCTCCACCCGGGTGCGCCATGGACCATCAGAGGTCTGGGGACCACTGGTTGGTGAACACTGGACTAGACGACAAAGTCCCTTCCATCTCATCTCATCTCACATATCCCTCATGTTTGATACTAAGACAAGTTTCACTAAAGAGAATCATGCAAGTAATTAAATGTTTAATTGTTCAGCTGGGTTTCCAATGAGAGACAACAAACGAAAATCAAGATTCCTCTCTACACACATCAAATGTTGCCTCGTGTGAAATTCCTTGTGTGTGATAAGGGAGGAACTTTGTGTGAAACAAAGTAGCAATCTAGCTATTTGAATGGTTACTCCCCTATATGTAACCTTACATGATTTATAAGGCTAGTCCTATAACGAAAATCTTTCCCACAATCTGGACATTCATACGGTTTCTCTCCTGTGTGAGTCCTGCAGTGTATCACCAAACTGGAATTCCAAGTAAAACTTTTCCCACATTCAAGACATTCATATGGTTTTTCTCCTGTGTGAGTCCTCTGGTGTTTCACCAAGTAGGAACTATAACAGAAACTTTTCCCACAGTCTGGACACTGATATGGTTTGTCTCCTGTGTGAGTTTTCTGGTGTATCACCAGATAGAAATTCTGACTGAACCTTTTCCCACAGTCTGGACACTGATATGGTTTTACTCCTGTGTGACTTTTCTGGTGTATCACCAGATGGGAATTCTGATTAAAACGTTTCCCACAATACAGACACTCATATGGTTTCTCTCCCGTGTGAGTTCTCTGGTGTCTCAACAGCTTGGAATACCAAGTGAAACTTTTCCCACATTCAAGACACTCATACATTTTATTTCCAGTGTGAGTCCTCTGGTGTTCCACCAGATAGGAATTCTTACTAAATTTTTTCTCACACTGCAGACATTCATACAGTTTCTCTCCTATGTGAGTCCTCTGGTGTATTATCATGTTAGAATTCTGACTAAAACCTTTTCCACAATCTGGACATTTATATGGTTTCTCTCCTGTGTGAGTCCTGTAATGTCGCAAAAGGAAGGCATTTTGAATGAAACGTTTCCCACACTGGTGACACTCAAACAGTTTTTCACCTGTGTGAATCCTTTGGTGTATCACCAGATGAGAATTAGAGTTGAAACATTTTCCACAATCTGAACACTCATATGGTTTCTCTCCCGTGTGAGTCCTCTGGTGTTTCACCAGGTCAGATTTCCAAGAGAAATCTTTCCCACACTCTGGACACTCATACGGTTTCTCTCCAGTGTGAGTCCTCTGGTGTTTCACCAGGTCAGACTTGCACCTGAAACCTTTCCCACAATGACATTTATATGGTTTTTCACCTGTGTGAATCCTTTGGTGTATCACCAGATCAGAATTCCCCTTGAAACCTTTTCCACAATCTGAACACTCATATGGTTTCTCTCCCGTGTGAATCCTCTGGTGTCTCACCAGGTCAGATTTCCAAGAGAAATCTTTCCCACACTCTGGACACTCATACGGTTTCTCTCCAGTGTGAGTCCTCTTGTGTCTCACTAGCTCAGACTTGCAACTGAAACCTTTCCCACAATGACATTTATATGGTTTTTCACCGGTGTGAACCCTTTGGTGTATCATCAGATCAGAATTAGACTTGAAACCTTTTCCACAATCTGAACACACATAGAGTTTCTCTCCCGTGTGAGTCCTCTGGTGTTTCACCAGGTAGGAATTCTGACTGAAACTTTTCCCACAATCAGAACATTTATATTGTTTCTCCACAATGTGGGTCCTCTGGTGTTTTACCAGGTAGGAATTCTGACTGAAACTTTTCCCACAATGACATTTATATGGTTTCTCTCCTGTGTGAGTCCTCTGGTGTATCACCAGATGAGAATTAGACTTGAAACCTTTCCCACAATCTGAACACTCATACGGTTTCTCTTGCTTATGAGTCCTCTGGTGCAACACCATGTCAAAACTCTGACTGAAACTTTTCCCACAATCTGGACATTTATATGGTTTCTCTCCTGTGTGTGTTCTTTGATGGCGCAAAAGGAGGGAATTTTGAATGAAACTTTTTCCACACTGCAGACACTCATATGGTTTTTCACCTGTGTGAATCCTTTGGTGTATCACCAGATGAGAATTAGACTTGAAACCTTTTCCACAATCTGAACACTCGTACGGTTTCTCTCCCATGTGAATCCTCTGGTGTTTCACCAAGTCAGATTTCCAAGAAAAATCTTTCCCACAATCAGGACACTCATATGGTTTCTCTCCTGTGTGAGTCCTCTGATGTTCCACAAGGTGGGAATTCCAACTGAAACCTTTCCCACAAAATAGACACTCATACGGTTTCTCTTGCATGTGCGTTCTCTGGTGTATCACCACATCAGAATTCCAAGTGAACCTTTTTCCACAATCAGGACACTCATATGGTTTCTCTCTCAGGTGTATAACCAGGTCAGAATTCCAAGTGAAACTTTTCACACAATCAGGACATTCGAAGATTTTCTCCCCAGTGTGAGTCGTCATCAGATTGGTGTGCATCCTAAATCCTTTGCCACATTGGGAACACTGGTAGAACAGCTCCTCCTGCATCGGCTGTTCCATGAGTCATGGGAGTCCTATGCTGAGTAAACCTTTTACCAATCTCTAAGCATTTGTTAGGGTTTTCACAGGATGGATCCTCCTGTCATAAATTAACTGTGATCTGCTATCTGTTTTTCCCCAAAATAGGCAGTCTGTGGGGTTTTTCCAACACTGATATTCTTGGATTCATGAGGGGGCAAAAAATACTTCTGATCCCTTATTTGGTGGTGCTTTGATTCAAGACACTTTTTCCTTCTTCAATGGCTTCCATTAATGCCTTTGGTTGTCCAAGGGATCTTTTCTATTTCTCACTTTTTCTGAATTTGGTAATATATCTTTTTACTTTTTCATGCAATATTTTCTTCAGTTCCATAAAATCTATTTCTTCTACTTGAAAACCCTGTTCCTGTTATTCTCTCCTTTGTCTCCCTCCATCTACTGAGGAAAGAGAAGCGTTTTAACACTTTCTGGAAGAAGTGGGAAAGATTTTGATTGATAGTTTGTTTTGCACTTTAATGCTTCTTCTCATTCTCTGTTTTGTAGACTGCCTCCTTTTTGTCTCTAAGATTCATATTAATGGATTAGTTTCATTATTGTTTAAAAAGTGGCTGCAGAATCTGGGGAAAAAGCAAAAAAAACCCCATCCATATATTACTGTGAAAAAGCAAAAATATCAAAATGCTTGTTTAACCATTAACATTCATTATGATTTATTAGGCACATAGAAATGTGCCTAGCAAAATCCAAGATAAAATATCCACTCTTGAAATTCTCTTGTTTGCTTGGGTAGATCACAAATTATCATCACTGCAAAGTGTTATAAAAATACCTGAAAATACTGAGGTTTCTACAGATACACGTATAAATACGCACCTATAAATTTATCTATGTACAAAAACTATGTGTACTTCATTCTTCAAAATGTGTCAGATGTGGATTCACTCAATTTGTTTGATCTAATTTAAGAAAAGTGGGGACTCCAAGAGATGAGATGGTGGCCAAATCCTATGCAAGATTTAAAGCATCTGTTTTGCCCATGAAACTCCTCGCTTGCCAGGAAAGCAACAGGTCAATAACATCACAAGGAATCAAGTGTTACACGAAGACCGAGGGAGATAAGAAATATGAAATAAAGACTTTTTAAATCTCCCAAATCTCCCATTGGTAAAAACACAAGCAGCAATTTTAAATCATGCAGCAAAAGGATAGCAACATTTGGGGAGAGAAAGAATATGCAGCAGCAGCCCTCGTGATTCTGCCTCGTTGCTTTCTCCGCTTCCAAGCCGTGGAGGAACCCAAACTTTCTCCCGGCTTCTCCTCCGACCTTCCCTCCACTCACCTCCCAGGAGCCGCTCCGACCCTCCAAGCAGCACAAGAGGCTCCGCCGACGCCATCCTCCTCCAGTGGTTCAACCGGAAAAGGAAGTTTCTCTACCCTTCTCCAAAGTCCTCTCTAGCAATCCAATCCTCTATCTTCAACTCGTTCCATCGCCTCCTCTAGCCCCACCCCCCGTAGACTACCAATGCCACTACTGTACTGTATTCACTGCTTTCTAGTCTCGAGTGTTTCTTCTTTCCTGAGCGCCATCTAGTGACATAAGGCTGAAAAACACGCTCCTTCTAGCTCTACTGTAAAGCATTTGCAAGAGGTTTTTATGGATTCCGTGGTTCCTTCTGTGCCATCAAGTCTTATTCGAGGACAGGAATAGTTTTCGTCCATGACAATGTATCCTATACCTTTTCTTTCAGGTCTCCCAAGAGTGCACTCATTGTTCTGTAGGAAGAAATAACCTTCTGGGTTCAGCTCCAAGTGGGGGAAAAGACACTGGAAAAATGGAGACTGCTTGGAAAGATGGTTTAATGGTGGACAGGATCACATGGTTTGAGTTCCTAAACAGAAAAGGGCAGAGATTTATTTATTTATTTTATTTAAATTTGTATACCGCCCTTCTCCTACTGGACTCAGGGCGGTGCACAGCCAAGTAAAAAATATTTCAATACAAAATTTAAAAATTTAAAAGAATTATACACTTTGGCCGAAAATTTAAAAACCTCGCAACTAAAACCCATTAGACAATTAAAAATCTAATATCTCAAAAAAAAGGGGGGTGGTGGTTCACGCCAGCCCTGCTTGATGGAAAAGAAAAGTTTTTAGGGCATGGCGAAAAGCCCAGAGATCTGATATCCTCCGTATCTCCGGGGGCAAATCGTTCCAGAGGGCAGGTGCTGCCACAGAGAAGGCCCTCCCCCTGGGGGTCGCCAGCTGACATTGCCTAGTTGACGGCACCCTGAGGAGTCCCTCTCTGTGGGAGCATACTGGCCGGTAGGAGGCTATTGGCGGCAGAAGGCGGTCCCACAAGACCGCCTTCAGAGATGCTGCGAGTCCCTTGGTTTTATGCTCTCTCTGGCTTTGAACTTCCTGGGGCCCCGAAAGAGTATCCCGATTGGTTGTCAGACTTCCAGGGGGTGGGTGTCTTAGCTAGCCTTACTGGCTGATGTAATCTTCCCCTGGTGACATGTGGGGAGTTTCTGTTGCTAGATGAGTCCTATTGTGTTGCAGATGATGGTCCTTTGACAAAGGATTGGGTTTCTGCCTCTGGCTCATTGACAAAAGGGAGGGAGGCAGGAAGGTGGGAGCTGCTTTGTCTTTAAAACATGTTTCTCCATTTCTCAACCAGGGAAATATAATATTCTGCCTTTTTAATATTTCCTAAAATATTTCATTCTTCTAGGAAAGGGGTGGGTGCTAACTTCCTACAGTCCCTCTTGCTGCAACTAAACCATCTGCTTCGGTAAAGATTGAAACTGTAAGAGTGAAGTTTGACTGTACTTAGATTCACAGGTTTAGTCCAGTGGCGTGCCCACGTGACTGATTGCAGCTTCTTGCCAGCATCCCCTTGTCAGAAGCTAGTTAGGAAGGTCAGAAATGGGACCATAAATGTGCACCCTTGGCAGCACTCAAATTGGTTGAACTCCTTTTCCAGCACCTTCAGAACCACAGGAAGTGCTGAAGAGTGGTCACTGATGAAGTGCCACCATGACCACAAATCTATGGACCGGTTGTTATACCTGCTTTTACAGTGCTGTTGGAAGGGAAATCCATCTGGTTCAGTTCCATGCTGGGAGAAAGACGCTGGAAACAATGTAGAGGCTGGGGGGCTGATTGGAAAGAAGGTCCATTTATTGATGAACAGAACCACCAGAGCTTGTGGTTCTGGTTCAGTTGACCAATTAACTAGATGAATGTCAGGGTTTTATACATGTCCTGAAATGCTGCTGGGGTGGGATGGGGTGGGGTCGTGGAATGTCTGAAATGCCCTTTAGGAAATTGTGCAATGTACGGAGCTAAATGGTAGTAAATTAATCTTATGATGTCCTAAATGGTCATGTCCTGTTCTTAGAATTTGTGTGGAGGAGAATGTAAATTTTTAATCTCATCGCTGGAGGTGAAAGTTTTTTGTTTTTGAATAGGCTGGCCCAGTCTTTCTTAATGGACACAAAATGTCTTCTAGGGGCTATTAAGAAAGATTGAGTCTGCTTTCTGCCTTTAAGAGCATGTTTCTCCACTTTTCCTTTGCAGAAATATAATATTCTGCTTTTTAAATATTTCCCAAAATATTTCATTCTTTGGGGGAGGGAGAGGCTTTACCATACTGCCATAGTAATTTTGAGGGCTCAGGGAGCAAATGGTGAGGGCTGCCTATAAAACTGAACCCTATAAAGGATCCTTTGCTACCAATCTGTATGGTTTTATGACAATCCTCTGCTACCATTTTTATATAATAATACAGAATTTCTAACATCCCTAATGATATTTTTTATAAAATTGTGGGTTAACCCCAGATGAACCTGGCTAATATACCGGCAGGGCTCTAATAGGAAAAAACAGATCTTGTTACAAACATACTGTAGGTTTAGAAAGAGAGCAGTGGCAGATCAGTCCCATAATGTTGCCGAGAAAACAACATGTCTGTAAAATCCCAAGGAATCACTCTTAAGTTCAAGATGTTTAAAATCTTCCAACCAGCAGAACATTATGGACTTTAGTTTTAAGAACTACAGAACCGGTGTAATAAAATCTTGGGTGGGAAGGAATACATAGCAGCCGACAATGTTCAGCCTAGTTGATTCTCTGCTTTTACACCATAGAGTGAACCAAATAGTCCTACTTGCTAACGACTTCTCCTCGGACCTGTTCTAAACTCACCATCTACCTGATGGTAACTTTCCAAAACTACCTTTACAACTGAGGGAAGCTTGAAGAGTGATGCTTCATCCTACTTACCTTCACAAGATTAGCCAGGTGCTGCATCATAAAAGTTGATAAAGGTTTTTTTTTTGTATGTGAAGCTTTATATGATTGCAGCTTCATCCCACTAATAGAAGAATGAAATATGGGACAAAACCATGAAGTGGTTTTCCTAGGCAGCTTGTGAAAACCATTTGGAGGGCGCTAGTTTGTTGAAAGGTGATCTAAAGAGTCCTGGGCTTTAGTCATTGTGTCTCAATTCCTCTCCCAGGCACAGAAAGGAGCAGGCCAGGAAACCACCCGTTGGCCTATAACTCTCACCTGTTGACCTACTTGCCTGGGACACCTACCTCTTCACACATCAAAATCACATGAGGTCCTCACTTAATGACTAACGGGTTCCTGGAATTGCAATGGCAACTGGAAGTGCCAGGATTGCCCTTACCAAGCAATGCGGTCATGTGTCACTTTTTATAACCTTATAAATTTACATTATAAGCAGTGTAAATTCTAGTGTCAATTGCTGTCACAACCCAAGAAGTCCCTAGGGAGAAGGGCGGCATATAAATCGCAATAAAGAAAGAAAGAAAGAAAGAACTACCCATATTTTTTTTTTTTTTTTTTTTTTTTTTATTGAAAAGGTTTTCAAATACAAATTTTTCCCCCTTTTTCCCCCCCCTCCCCCCCCTCCCTAACCCCTCCTCCCCACCCTTCCCCCCCTGTGACTTCTTCGTAACAAAAAAAAACCCTAATTCATAACAGATTACTTACTCCCTCCTCAAAATACTGACCTTTACTTACTAAAAGTATTATAAATCCCCCTTTATCCATACATTTCAGAAAAGAAGAAGAGAAAAAAAAACAAAACAAAAAAAAACAAACACATTATACTATAACTATTATAAAATAACTCTAATTTAGCATAATAGTGTTTTATATCTATGCATTATTGCAACAATTCAAAACCACCTTCCACTTTAAAACTATACAATAAGTCCTACTTTAATAACATTTCAAAGCGGGCTCCCCATAAAATCTAATTTAACATTTATTCCACTCTATCCATTTCCTCCACTCCCCTAAATGTATCACTTAAAAATCCCTTTTCTTAAACTAATCAGTCTGTAGCTAGCTTATTCACCCACTGTCTTACAAATTTACCATACACAACAATTCTTGATATCTTTAATTCACTGCCCACACTACTTAAAAATATATATATATATATATCCCATTATATCTAAATAAAAAAAAGAAAAGACAATAACTTTAAATTTATAGTCCATATAATATCTTCTTGAAGTCTTTCCACTGGATTGTTAAAACCAACATCCATAATAGGGTGACATAGCTTGCGGATGCAACAGTTTATTCAAGATCTCCAATCATATCTGCCCCCATCAGTAGTAAACATCTTCTTATATATATAAAAGTAAAAACAACCACCCGAGTGACATTATAATTGTATTCCATATAATAATAATTGTGGGTTTCATCAGGATTATTAATTTCCATCATCGTATTGGGTAACAACCCGATCTTCTGCATGTCCCAATGTGATTCTCTTGCCTTATAATTCAAGATAATTATAATATATTTATCAACACAAAAAGAAGTTTCAAAATAGATAATTCAAAACCATCAATTTGAGGCTCTTTCCATGTCCCAAAATTACGGCAATGCAGAGATCTGCCACTATCCTCAGGATGATATTGACCAATATGTCGCCTCCTCTATGTTTTCACATAATCATTCATATTTTAAAATCACTGGCTTCACTGTTGCTTGGGTTAGAAATTTCTATTTTTGTACAACCTATTTCTTTTTTTGTTTTCTTTTTGTGGGTTTGACCTCCATCCTAATTTTTTGTGTCTCGCATTTCTTTTTTATCCCTTGTATATCCTCTAATTGGTTTCCATGCTTGTCCTTGCCTTGATAAGTCATCACATTAAAATCAGATGGCACTTCTCTCAAATTTGTAGATAATCCAGCTGGGGTATCCGATAAATCCAAAGGCAATTTATCTGGTACAGTCTCTGTCTTTAGTTCCAGCTCCTTCTGCTTATCCTGTATTATATCTGAAGACGTTAAATTCATTTTCAACCTATTTTGATAAAATTCTTCCGCCCTTTCAACAGTATTTAACTGGTATCTTTCTCCTTGATATCTCAATATAATACCAACTGGGACGTCCCACCGGAATTGAATATTTCTCCTTTTTAACTCAGACACCAGAAAGCCAAATTTCTTCCTTTCCATTAATATCTTAGGTGGGAGTTCCTTGTAAATCCAAATCTTTCTTCCATACAATTGCAAATTAGAATTGAAGGAATTTTGCACAATTTTATTCCTAATTTCTTTATCTGAAAAATAGATTACCACATCTCTAGGCAATTGCCTTTGCTTGGCAGTCCAAGAGTTTATTCGATAAGCTCTGTCAATCCTACAAAACACTTCCTCAGGTTGAATCTTTAAAATCCCAGCTAGAAATTCAGAAGATATTTTCCTTAAGTCATCTCTGTTATTTTCCTGCAAACCTCTAAGTCTTATTGCATATTCTGTGAAATTATATTGTATCTTTAGAACCTCTTTTTGAATCCTCTGTTCCAGATATTCTACATTACCAGACTTTTGGTCAGCATCCATTTTAAATTTTTCTTCTGAACTATAATCCTGAATATTTAACAAATCATTTTCAATTTTTTGAAATCTATTGTCCAATTTATCTTGAATTTCATCCATTTTTGACTCTAGTAAATTAGTATTTGTATCCAACCGAATCATGAATTCTGGCAATTTTAAAATTTTTTGCTGCAAAAAGTCAAACTTGGATTTCACCAATTCCTTAGTTTCCTGCTTAAATTTTTCAAGTTGCTGATTCACAATCTCATCCCTTCTTTCAATCTCCTCTAAGAGAAATTCTATTATATTAAAATCAGGTTTCTGGGACTGAAGAGTTAAAACATATTGCTTTAAATTCTTGGTGGGGGAATCCCCCCCACCTATTTGTTTGTCTGACTTCACAAGCCTCAGTGCCATGTTTCCGCCTAAGCAGGCTTTGTTAGAAGAAGAAAAAAAAAAAAACAAGACAAAAGACTTCCAGCCAGCAACACTCAAGCCTCCAGGGAAAAAAGAGAAAAACAAAAACAGGAGCGGAGTTTTGTCTACAAATGTAGCCAGTGGTATTTATTCCGCTACATTGTAATAATAAAAAACGGAAGAACTTTCCCTCTCAAACTCTTCTCCAGCCGCGGCAGACGCCATTTTAAAAAGAAACTTTTTTCCTCTTTCTCTTCCTCTATTCTCTTAAGTAATTTTTAAAAGATAAGTAAAATACTTGCGCTTCAGTATTACAGGTCCAGCTCACATTTTCTTTGAGTAATCTGTCAAATTCGCAAGCTTGCTTTTGACGCCTGGCTCTGCATTAGCAGAGGTCTCCCAAAGCCCGGAGCAACGGCTGGGGATATGGGGCATCTCATCCGCTCCATCCCAAAAGTAAAAGAAAAACTTTTGGGACTCTGCAGAGAGTTCTACCCACCCCTGCCGGCTCTATCTCCGTTTCCTCATGGGAACGGAGTTTTTTCGAGCCGCCGTTCCGTTGTGAAGGCGGCTCTAACAGGCAGTGGAAGCTGACGATCCCTAAGGAACGTCTGGCGGCGGCCAGCAGCAAACAGGAAGTCCTACCCATATTTTTTTACAAGTGCAACAGAGGGTTGGTAGAGTAATTTCCCTCTTCTGGACAGTTGGAATCCTTACTCGCTTTATACCTCCAACAGCAGTTTGTAATGCATAATAAAATCATGAGGGGTTTTCGTGGCAGAGCAGTTCAAGGCATTGCTGCAGATTAAGATCTTTTATAAGTGCATCTGAAGAGGGCAATGAAAGGTTGGCAACTATAACTCACCCTCTGCCTGCAACTCTGACTTTGCCACCTGGAGAAAGGGTTGTGCAGGAGGAGAAAAACACCTGGGCCCTTCTCAGAGTGGGTTCAAGCCAGGGCACATCGCCAAAACAGCATTGGTTACAATTGTCATGGACTTTTGGAGGGTTTGAGATAAAAGGGGTATTGTGTCCCTCATAGGCCTCTCATCAGGTTTCAATACTTCAAGCAGGATATCCTTCTGGACTGGCTTTGGGGACTAGAAATGGAAGGCACTTTCTTACGGTGGTTCTACTTCTGTCTCCGTGGCGGTTCTAGGCAGTGTGAGTAGTAGAAGAGAGGCAAAGTGTTGGTCCCTGCAGTTTGGGGTGCCCTGAGGCTCAAGTCTTTTGCTGTTCCTTTTTAACATCTACATGAAACCACTAAGGGAGGCCAGCCATACTATGACACCCAATTATGTACAAGTAGACATTTCATATAACATTTCATGTAACAACCATTTAAACATATAAAGAACGGTTGCTGGAATTGGGAATGTCTAGTTTAATGAAAAGAATTACTAGGGGTGACATGATAGCAGTGTTCTGATATCTCAGAATTTGCCACAAAGAAGAGGGAGTCAAACTATTCTCAAAAGCACCTGAGGGCAGGACAAGAAACAACGGATGGAAACTAATCAAGGAGAGAAGCAACCTAGAACTAAGGAGAAATTTCCTGACAATTAGAACAATTAATCACTGGAACAACTTGCCTCCAGAAGCTGTGAATGCCCCAACACTGGAAGGTTTTAATAAGAGATTGAACAACCATTTGTCTAAGCAGGGGGTTGGACTTGAAAACCTCCAAGGTCCCTTCCAACTCTGTTATTCTCTTCTATTCATTTGAAGTTACAACAGCACTCAAAATAGTGACTCATGACCATTTTTCACACTTACAACCATCACAGCATCGCCATTGTCACATGATCAAAATTCAGACACTTGGCAATTAAGTGACAGATGTGTGACAGATTCCGTGTCCTGGGGTCATGTGATAATCTTTGTAGACGGAGCTGGTGCACAACCTGGGGGTTCTCCTCTACTTGCATGAGAAAATCATGGCTGGGGGAGGCGCTTTGCAGATTCATCTATTGCACCAATTGTGCCCTTTCCTGGACCAGGGAGGCCTTGCACACGAGTCACTGATGCCTTGGTCACCTTCTGTGTGAATCCCTGCACTGGACCACTAGAAACTTCAACTGGTGCAGAATGCAGCAGCGCACACAGTAATGGAAGCCCCTAGGTTGCCCATGTTAACATCTTTGTGTTGTGAGCTGCACTGAATTCGTTCCCACACAGGTGAAATTGAAGGTCATCATGTTTAACAGTATTTGTTTATTATAGCAACAGCCGTTAGAATTATATACCACCACAAAGTGCTTTATACCACTCGGTTTATAGTGTCAGCATATTGCCCCCAACAATCTGGGTCCTCATTTTACCGATCTCAGAAGGATGGAAAGCTGAGTCAACCTGGAGCCTAGTCAGCATTGAACTCCAGGCTGTGGGCAGAGTCAGCCAGCAATACTGCATTTTAAGCACTGAGCCAACAGGGCACCTGTCACTATTGTCCCACCTTTATTACTTTTGCACCCATCTGTCCTACTAGGTCTCATAGGGTGGGGACACTCCTAAACCCTTCCCTTAAATATTGCCATGTGAAAGAGGCTAGGAAGTGAGCCTTTTCCGTTGCAGACCCTGCCCTATGAAATACTCTTCCCCCTGAACTTTGGCAGGCCTTTATCCTCCTGGTCTTCTCTAAAGCAAGGAAGCTCTAGCTCTTCCCCTGGGATAAAAAGAGAGGATTACACATCAGAATACTGAATTTTCACCAGATTTTTCTTCTTATGCATTTGGTTTTAATATGGTTTTTGAGTCAATAATCGATTGGAAGCCGGCCAGAGTTTGTTATTACATGGGTGGCTACATATATATTTTAAATACGTCAAGAAGAAAAAGAAATGAATCCAAAATACGGCCCCAGTGAGGCTGCCCATCTGCAACATCCTTGAGGCACTGAAGTTTGATGCATTTCTTTTATTATCAAATTTATTTGCCGCTAATCCTGTGGTTAACTTCTCTCCTTGCAAGGAGAAAGACTACCAGTTTGGAGAAGGAATACCACCAGGCACGAATGTAATTAGTAAGGCCAAGAGGCTGGTTGACTTCCAATTTGCACAGAAGCAAGAATCACCTTTTTGGGTATCCCTAACATCAACATTCAATCAACCTTGCTAGAAGTGCCCTGTATTTGCACGTAAGAACGTGTTAAATGTGCCGTTTTGCTACTTGAAATATATGGGGTTTATTTGTTTCTGCATTAAGGTTTTATTACTGTAAAAAATGGGTATCAAACTTGATCACGTCACGGGCTGGATTGTGACGTATCACATTTTTTGTCTTTCAACTTGAGTTGGATTGCCATATACATTTTCTTAATGAATAAAAATGCATTAAAAACATATTTATATCCCCTTTTATTATATGTAGAAATAACAAAAGGCAACAAGCATACCTAATAGAGATGTAAGCTCCTTTACATCTGTACTCCGTGAAAGGGAACAATTGCACTGGGACAGAGAAAGGAAGTTCAGATCTCGTAACTCATGTTTAATACTAAGACACGTTTGACTAAAAAGAATAAGGAAAGAAATTAAATAATTATCTCAGTTGGCCTTCCAATGAGAGACGAGAAACAAAGTTCAAGAGTTCTCTACACACATCAAATTTTGCCTCGTGTGGAATTTCTTGTGTTTGATAAGTGAGGAATTCCCTGTGAAAGACTTTCCGCAATCTGGGCATTTGAATGGTTTCTCCCCTATGTGTAACCTTACATGATTTAGAAGACTAGACCTACTACTGAAATCTTTCCCACATTCCGGACATTCATACGGTTTCTCTCCTGTGTGAGTCCTCCAGTGTATCACCAAACTGGAATTCCTTACGAAACTTTTTCCACATTCAACACACTCATATGGTTTTTCTCCTGTGTGAATTATCTGGTGTTTCATCAGGTAGGAATTCTGACTGAATCTTTCCCCACAATCCGAACATTGATATGGTTTTTCTCCTGTGTGAGTTCTCTGATGTTTCATCAGGTAGGAATTCCGAATGAAACATTTCCCACAAAACAGACACTCATATGGTTTTTCTCCTGTATGAGTCCTCTGATGCACCACAAGGTTGGAATTCCGACTGAAACTTTTCCCACAATCTGGGCACTCATATGGTTTCTCTCCTGTGTGAATCCTCTGGTGTTTCACTAGATAGGAATTCTGACTGAAACTTTCCCCACAATCAGAACAGTGATATGGTTTTTCTCCTGTGTGAGCTCTCTGGTGTATCATCAGGTTGGAATTCTGACTGAAACTTTTCCCACAATATAGACAGTCATATGGTTTCTCTCCCGTGTGAGTTCTCTGGTGTATCACCAGCTTGGAATTCCGAGTGAAACTTTTCCCACAATCTGGACACTCATATAATTTTGCTCCTGTGTGAGTCTTCTGGTGTATCACCAAGTCACACTTTCGAATGAAACTTTTCCCACAGTCAGGACATTCAAAGGGTTTCTCTCCTGTGCGAGTCTTCTGGTGTTTCACCAGGTAGGAATTCTGACTGAACCTTTTCCCACAATTTGGACACTGATATGGTTTTTCTTCTGTGTGAGTCCTCTGGTGTAGCACCAGGTTGTAATTCCGAGAGAAACTTTTCCCACAATCACAACAGTTATAAGGTTTCTCTCCTGTGTGAGTCCTCCGGTGTATTACCAGGTGAGAATTCCTAGTGAAACTTTTCCCACAATCAGGACATTCAAAGTTTTTCTCTCCATTGTGAGTCCTCTTTTGTCTCACCAGATTGCTGTGCATTGTAAATCTTTTGACACATTGGGAGCACTAGTAGAGCTTGTCTCTAGTGTGGGTCATTCCACGAATCACAAGGAAGCTTTCCTGAGTAAAGCTGTTACCACACTCCAAACATTTCTATAGCTTTTCACAGGATGGATTCTCTCGTGCATAAGCAGCTGTGACCTGCAATCTGTGGTTTTCTCATAATACGCAGTCTGTGCAGTTTTTCCAACACTGATATATTTGGACTCTAAAGGAGGTCAAAAATATTTCTGATCTATTACTTGAAGGTAATTTGATTCAAGCCACTTTCCTTGAGATTTGAACTGCCAAAATGCAGGCCGCCGGCAGTCAGCAGAAGTAGCTTGCAGTGCTGCCCTCTAACCACTGAACCACCACGGTTCTTGTTTCCTTCAGTTCCACACGTTGTAATGTTTCTTTGAGTTCCACATACCCTATTTTGTCCAGCTCAAAACTTTGTTCTTGTTATTCTCTCCCTTGTCTCTGATCTCCTGAGGAATGAGAAGCGTTTTTACACTTTCATGAAGAAGTGGAAAAGATTTTGATAGATGGGTTTGTTTTGCATTTTAATGCTGCTTCTCATTCTTTGTTGTCCAGAGTGTTCTTCTTGGCATCTTCTTTGTCTGTAAGATTCAAATTAATGCGTTAGTTTCACTATTGTTTAAAAAATGGCTGCAGGACATGTCATAGCAGCAAACAGAAAACCCCCTATATTGCCATGAAAACATCAATATTCTAGTTTAACCTCTAATTATGATTCACTTTGCAGATAGAAGACTAATGAGATTCAAGTTCAAATTGTAAACTCGATTGAAAAATTCTTTTTTTGGGTTGGAGAGATCACACATATACGCACACAAATGCACACAGAAATACATGTAAGAAATTTATGCATGTAGAAAATACGTATTTAAGAGTTCAAAATATCCCAGAAGTGAATGAAATGATTCCTAAATCTTAGGCAGGATTTAAATTTTGCCCATGACACTGTTCACTTGCCAGGAAAGCAACATGTCAATAAAATTGCAATGAATAAAGTGTTATATGAAGTGTGAGTGAGATGGGCGGAAATGAAATATATAAAAAATTTTTTAAAAAAAAATCTCCTAAATCTCAAATTCAGAACTGGAAGCCTCCTTGTAGGTCATCTAGCCCACCCCCGTCTCAAGCAAGAGAGCTTATATACCAGTGGTGGCGAACCTCTTACTCACTGAATGCCAAACCGGTACATACGTCGCTTACACGCAGCTCCCCCCGTGCCCTGTACGCGCAACCACCATCTGCATATGTACTGTGCGTGCAATTGCACCATCTCCGCATGCGTGTGGCTTTCACGCTCCACCCGTGCGTTGCCTGTGCAGTTGCACCATCTGCGCATGCCTATGGCTTCTGCGCACGCAATGCACACACGTGAACATCATCTGCACATGCACATGCTACGCGCAGGTACTCATGCGCGCATGCACAAACAGGAGAGCTCCGTACCCAGCTGGGTCTCCGGAATTGTGCACATGCGCACCGGAGGCCCGAACACCAGCTGGGCCGAGCGGGCATGCACAGCAGCTGCAGGTGAGTTGGCCGACAGCTCGCGTGCTCGGAAAGATGGCTCTGTGTGCCACCTCAGGGATGCGTGCCATTGGTTCGCCATCACGGCTATATACCATTTCAGACAAGTGGCTGCCCAGTCTTTTCTTAAAAACTTCCTTTGATAAAGCACCCACAACTTCTGAAGGCAAAGTTGTTCCACTGATTAATTGTTCTCACTATTTCTCCTTGCTTGTAAGTTGGTTTTGAACATGATTAGTTTCCACCCATTGCTTCTTGTCTTGCCTTCTGGTGCTTTGAAAATGAACTGCCCCCCTTCTTTTTGTGGCAATCTCTCAAATACTGAAATACTGCTATCAGGTCCCTCCTAGACTAAGCCATGCCCAAATCCTGCAACCCTCCTTCATATGTTTTCGTCCCCAGCAGGGGTGAAATCCAACAGGTTCTGACATGTTCTGGAGAACCGGTAGCAGAAATTTTGAGCAGTTTGGAGAACCGGCAAATACCACTTCTGGCTGGCTCCAGAGTGGGGTGGGAATGGAGATTTTGCAATATCCTTCCCCCAAGAGTGGGGAGGGAATGGGGATTTTGCAATATCCTTCCCCCTACAGTAGGGAGGGAATGGGGATTTTGCAATATCCTTCCCCCAAGAATGGGGAGGGAATGGGGATTTTGTAATATCCTTCCCCTGCCACGCCCACCAAGCCACACGAACAGAGCCGGTAGTAAAAAAAATTGGATTTCACCACTGGTCCCCAGGCCTTTCAATTTCAGCTGCTGCTTCGGCCCTTGGAAGAACAGAACTGCCACCCTCCAGGCCTCCATCCTCCCATGGATGAACCGGAAGAGGAAGTTCCTCTGCCCTTCTCCTCCCCTCGACATCTTTTCTAGCAATACTCGATGGTTTCAATGCCTTTCAACTCAGCCGCTCTCCGTTTTCTAGGCGCTGGAGTCGTCTTTAGAGCGCCACCTAGTGACGTGAGGCTGAAAATACGCTCCTTCTGTCCCTGGTGTTTCTAAGATTATTATTTTTTTTTGTAATGAAGGGCTGTTTTTCCACTCTTAGCGACCACATCGGTGGTGAAATGTAAAATTTGTTACTACCGGTTCTGTGGGCGTGGCTTGGTGGTGGTGGGGTAATGTGACTGGTGGGCATGGCCAACTTTTTTTTTTTTACTTTTAAAACCATTTTTTCTTCAACCTCTTGGCTGAAGAGGTTGTAAAAAAAAATGCTTTTAAAGCCTCTGACAATCCCAGCTGGATTCCAGCTGACTTGCCTGATTGGCAGAGGCTTTTTTTCCTTTTAAAAACATTTTTTCTATAACCTCTTCGGCCTAAGAGGTTGTAGAAAAAATGCTTTTAAAAGCATCTGATGATCCCATCTAAGCCGCGTGATCATCAGGGGCTTGTTTTTTACTTTTAAAAGCATTCTTTCGGCCAAAGGTTGTAGAAAAAATGCTTTTAAAAATTAAAAAAAAGCTTCTGAGGATTGCATGGCTCAGCTGGGCAATGGGGGCAGGGATTTTTGCTACCAGTTCTCCGAACCACCCGCCTCCATTGCTACCGGATCGGGTGATCCGGTCTGAACCAGGAGCATTTCACCCCTGGACCACATGCATAACTTTTATCCTGGACCATCTAGCCCTAGTCTGTCCTGTTGGGTCTCCTAGGGACGCCCACATCGTCACTGCAACTGAGCCAGGCGCTTCATCTCCAAGAGCTAAACCGAGAGAAAGCATCCATGAAGGGAACACAATGTGCCATCAGGCAACAAGAAAGCGCACCTCCCTTGGGGACCAGTGGAGAGTCTCCCAGCCAGTTCTCCCTCTTGGGGGTACAAGATAACTCCCCAAAACAATCTTGGCGACAGAGGAAAGCCTGAAGAGTGAAGCCTGACCCTACTTACCTTCACAAGATGAGCCATGTGCTGTATCATAGAAGTTGATAAAGGTCCTGTATGTGCAGCTTTATACAATTACCAGCTTCATCCTATTAATAGAATACAGGTAGTCCTTGATTTACAACAGTTTATTTAGGGACTGTTTGAAGTTACAACAGCACAGAAAAAAGTGACTTATATAACCAGTTTTCAGACCTACGACTGTTGTAGCATTCCTGTCGTCAGGGGTGAAATGCTCCCGGTTCGGAGCGGATCGCCCGATCTGGTAGCGATGGTGGTGGGTGATTCAGAGAACCGGTAGCAAAAATCCCTGTGGCCCCCCTCCCACCATGCCCAGCTGAGCCGCACAATCATCAGAGGCTTTTTAAAAAAAACTTTTAAAAGCATTTTTTCTACAACCTCTTCCGACGAAAAAATGCTTTTAAAAGTTAAAAAAAAGCCTCTGATGATCGCACAGCTCAAATGGGATCGTCAGAGGCTTTTCAACGCATGTTTTTCTGCAACCTCTTCGGCAAAAAAAATGCTTTTAAAAGTAAAAAAAAAAGCCTCTGATGATAATGCGGCTCAGCTGGCCCCTTCAGAAGGTTTTAACAGCATTTTTTCTATAACCTCTTCGGCTGAAGAGTAGAAAAAAGGGTTTTAAAAGTTAAAAAAAAAAAGTTGGCCATGTCCACCCAGTCACATTACCCCCACCAAGCCACGCCCACGGAACCGGTAGTAAGAAATTTTACATTTCACCCTGACTAGGGGTGACATGATAGCAGTGTTCTGATATCTCAGAATTTGCCACAAAGAAATGGGAGTCAAGCTATTCTCCAAAGCACCTGAGGGCAGGACAAGAAACAACGGATGGAAACTAATCAAGGAGAGAAGCAACCTAGAACTAAGGAGAAATTTCCTGACAATTAGAACAATTAATCACTGGAACAACTTGCCTCCAGAAGCTGTGAATGCCCCAACACTGGAAGGTTTTAAGAAGAGATTGGACAACCATTTGTCTAAGCAGGAGGTTGGACTTGAAAACCTCCAAGGTCCCTTCCAACTCTGTTATTCTCTTCTATGCATTTGAAGTTACAACAGCACTCAAAATAGTGACTCATGACCATTTTTCACGCTTACAACCATCACAGCATCGTCATTGTCACATGATCAAAATTCAGACACTTGGCAATTAAGTCATATGTGTGACAGATTCCATGTCCTGGGGTCATATGATCACCTTTGTAGACTGAGCTGATGCACAACCTAGAGGTTCTCCGGTATCATGGCTCTTGCTTGAGAATATCATGGCTGGGGGAGGCGCTTTGCAGATTCATCTATTGCACCAATTGTGCCCTTTCCTGGACCAGGGAGGCCTTGCACACGAGTCACTGATGCCTTGGTCACCTGTTTGAATCCCTGCACTGGACCACTAGAAACTTCAACTGGTGCAGAACGCAGCAGTGCACACAGTAGGAGGCCCCTAGGTTGCCCATGTTAACATCTTTGGGTTGTGAGCTGCACTGAATTCGTTCCCACACAGGTGAAATTGAAGGTCATCATGTTTAACAGTATTTGTTTATTATAGCAACAGCCGTTAGAATTATATACCACCACAAAGTGCTTTATACCACTCAGTTTATAGTGTCAGCATATTGACCCCAACAATCTGAGTCCTCATTTTACCGATCTCAGAAGGATGGAAAGCTGAGTCAACCTGGAGCCTAGTCAGCATTGAACTTGTTGTGGCTCCATCCTCCGAGCCTATCTTATCGGAGGAAGAAGGCTCCGAACATGAAGGAGAGGAGATGGCCAGGCCTCCCTCTCCAGGACCCTCGTCTCTGGCAATGCCTCAGGTGTCTCCCGAAGGAGATTGGCCAGGAGCCAGGTGTTTCCGAGCCGTCGGATAGTGACGAAGAAACATTGTGGTTGGACTCACGCCAGCGTCGGAGAGACAAGCGTGCGCAGCAGAAAAGGAGGCGTGCCAGAGATTAAGATGAGTCACTGGACCACCCCACACAGGCTATAAAAGGGAGTGTGGTGGCCATTCGGACTCTGTGACGGACAAAGCTAAATCTCTGGCGAGTCACTTTGCACCTTTGGACACAACGCCTATTTGCTGTGGATTTAATTACAAACTGGACTATTCAAACTGTGTGTATTTTTGTCTGTGTTATCGGAGTAAAAGTTCTTGGCAGGCAGCTACGGAGTTGCTGCCAAGTTCCTTATCACTGACGTTGAGTGTTTGAAGAGTTTATTTAACCCTCGGCTGTCTGGTTGGGTGCGTGTGTGGGACGGGGACAGAACAGAACTCCAGGCTGTGGGCAGTCAGCCAACAATACTGCATTTTAACCACTGAGCCAACAGGGCACCTGTCACTATTGTCCCACCTTTATTACTTCTGCACCCATCTGTCCTACTAGGTCAGATAGTGGGGACGCTCCTAAACCCTTCCCTTAAATATTGCCAGGTGATAGAAGCTAGGAAGTGAGCCTCTTCCGTTGCAGACCCTGCCCTATGAAACACTCTTCCCCCTGAAGTTTGGCAGGCTTTTATCCTCCTGGTCTTCTCTAAAGCAAGGAAGCTCTAGCTCTTCCCCTGGGATAAAAAGAGAGGATTACACATCAGAATACTGAATTTTCACCAGATTTTTCTTCTTATGCATTTGGTTTTAATATGGTTTTTGAGTCAATAATCGATTGGGAGCCGGCCAAAGTTTGTTATTACATGGGTGGCTACATATATATTTTAAATACGTCAAGAAGAAAAAGAAATGAATCCAAAATACGGCCCCAGTGAGGCTGCCCATCTGCAACATCCTTGAGGCACTGAAGTTTGATGCATTTCTTTTATTATCAAATTTATTTGCTGCTAATCCTGTGGTTAACTTCTCTCCTTGCAAGGAGAAAGACTACCAGTTTGGAGAAGGAATGGCACTGGGCACGAATGTAATTAGTAAGGCCAGGAGGCTGGTTGACTTCCAATTTGCACAGAAGCAAGAATCACCTTTTTGGGTATCCCTAACATCAACATTCAATCAACCTTGCTAGAAGTGCCCTGTATTTGCACGTAAGAACATGTTAAATGTGCCGTTTTGCTACTTGCAATATATGGGGTTTATTTGTTTCTGCATTAAGGTTTTATTACTGTAAAAAATGGGTGTCAAACTTGATCACGTCACGGGCTGGATTGTGACGTATCACATTTTTTGTCTTTCACCTTGAGTTAGATTGCCATATACATTTTCTTAATGAATAAAAATGCATTAAAAACATATTTATATCCCCTTTTATTATATGTAGAAATAACTCAAGGCAACAAGCATACCTAATGGAGATGTAAGCTCCTTTACATCTGTACTCCGTGAAAGGGAACAATCGCACTGGGACACAGAAAGGAAGTTCAGATCTTGTAACTCATGTTTAATACTAAGACACGTTTGACTAAAAAGAATAAGGAAAGAAATTAAATAATTATCTCAACTGGCCTTCCAATGAGAGATGAGAAACAAAGTTCAAGAGTTCTCTACACACATCAAATTTTGCCTCGTGTGGAATTTCTTGTGTTTGATAAGTGAGGAATTCCCTGTGAAAGACTTTCCGCAATCTGGGCATTTGAATGGTTTCTCCCCTATGTGTAACCTTACATGATTTAGAAGACTAGACCTACTACTGAAATCTTTCCCACAATCCGGACATTCATACGGTTTCTCTCCTGTGTGAGTCCTCCAGTGTATCACCAAACTGGAATTCCTTACAAAACTTTTTCCACACTCAACACACTCATATGGTTTTTCTCCTGTGTGAATTATCTGGTGTTTCATCAGGTAGGAATTGTGACTGAAGCTTTCCCCACAATCTGAACATTGATATGGTTTTCCTCCTGTGTGAGTTCTCTGATGTTTCATCAGGTAGGAATTCCGAATGAAACATTTCCCACAAAACAGACACTCATACGGTTTTTCTCCTGTATGAGTCCTCTGGTGTATCACAAAGTCCAAATTTTGAATGAAACTTTTCCCACATTCCATACACTCATATGGTTTTTCTCCTGTGTGAATCCTCTGGTGTTTCACTAGATAGGAATTCTGACTGAAACTTTCCCCACAATCAGAACACTGATATGGTTTTTCTCCTGTGTGAGCTCTCTGGTGTATCATCAGGTTGGAATTCTGACTGAAACTTTTCCCACAATATAGACAGTCATATGGTTTCTCTCCCGTGTGAGTTCTCTGGTGTATCACCAGCTTAGAATTCCGGGTGAAACTTTTCCCACAATCTGGACACTCATATAATTTTGCTCGTGTGTGAGTCTTCTGGTGTATCACCAAGTCACACTTTCGAATGAAACTTTTCCTACATTCCAGACACTCATATGGGTTTTCTTCTGTGTTAGTCCTCTGGTGATTCAATAGGTACGAATTTCGAATAAAACTTTTCCCACAAAACAGACACTCATATGGTTTTTCTCCTGTGTGAGTTCTCTGGTGTATCACCAGGTTGAAATTCCGAGAAAAACCTTTCCCACAATCACGACATTTATATGGTTTCTCTCCCATGTGAGTTCTTTGGTGTATTACCAGGTGAGAATTCTGCTTGAAAGTTTTCTCACAAACCAGACACTCATATCGGTTTTCTACTGTGTGGGTCCTCTGGTGTTTCACCAGGTAAGAATTCTCTCTGAAACTTTTCCCACAGTCAGGACATTCAAAGGGTTTCTCTCCTGTGTGAGTCTTCTGGTGTTTCACCAGGTACGAATTCTGACTGAACCTTTTCCCACAATTTGGACACTGATATGGTTTTTCTTCTGTGTGAGTCCTCTGGTGTAGCACCAGGTTGTAATTCCGAGAGAAACTTTTCCCACAATCACAACAGTTATAAGGTTTCTCTCCTGTGTGAGTCCTCTGGTGTATCACCAGGTGAGAATTCCTAGTGAAACTTTTCCCACAATCAGGACATTCAAAGTTTTTCTCTCCATTGTGAGTCCTCTTTTGTCTCACCAGATTGGTGTGCATTGTAAATCTTTTGACACATTGGGAGCACTAGAAGAACTTGTCTCTAGTATGGGTTATTCCACGAATCACAAGGAAGCTTTTCTGCGTAAAGCTATTACCACCAGGTACTTTGATTCAAGCCATTTTCCTTCCTCAAAGGCTTTAATTTATGCCTGCCAATTTTGGCTACCAAGGAATATTTTTTATTCTCACTGATTTCCAGGTATTTCCAACTTTTTCTCTAAGATTTGGAAATTATCCCCCTTGACGTCTCATGTAATAGCAATAGCAATAGCATTTAGACTTATATACCACTTCACAGTGCTTTACAGCCCTCTTTAAGCAGTTTACAGAGTCAGCATATTGCCCCCAACAATCTGGGTCCTCATTTTTCCCACCTTGAAAGGATAAAAGGCTGAGTCAACTTTGAGCCTGGTGAGATTTGAACTGACAAATTGCAGGCCACCGGCAGTCAGCCGAAGTAGCCTGCAGTACTGCCCTCTAACCACTGAACCACCACGGTTCTTGTTTCCTTCACTTCCACACGTTGTAATGTTTCTTTGAGTTCCACATACCCTATTTTGTCCAGCTCAAAACTTTGTTGTTGTTATTCTCTCCCTTGTCTCTGATCTCCTGAAGAATGAAAAGTGTTTTTACACTTTTATGAAGAAGTGGAAAAGATTTTGATAGATGGGTTTGTTTTGCATTTTAATGCTGCTTCTCTTTCTTTGTTGTCCAGAGTGTTCTTCTTGGCATCCTCTTTGTCTGTAAGATTCAAATTACTGCGTTAGTTTTACTATTGTTTAAAAAATGGCTGCAGGACATGTCAAAGCAGCAAACAGAAAACCCCCTATATTGCCATTAAAACATCAATATTCTAGTTTAACCTCTAATTATGATTCACTTTGCAGATAAAAGACTAATGAAATTCAAGTTCAAATTGTAAACTTGCTTGTAAAATTCTTTTTTTTGTGTTGGAGAGATCACACATATACGCACACAAATGCACACAAAAATACATGTAAGAAATTTATGCATGTAGAAAATACGTATTTTAAGCGTTCAAAATATCCCAGAAGTGCATTTTCTCATTCTTTGAATCTAATTTTAGAAAGGTGGAGACACTAAGAGATGAAATGGTTCCTAAATCTTAGGCAAGATTTAAATCGTCCATTTTGCCCATGACACTGTTCACTTGCCAGGAAAGCAACATGCCAATAAAATTGCAATGAATGAAGTGTTAAATGAAGTGTGAGTGAGATGGGCGGATATGAAATATATAAAAAAAAATTAAAAAAAAAAATCTCCTAAATCTCAAATTCAGAACTGGAAGCCTCCTTGTAGGTCATCTAGCCCACCCCTTTCTCAAGCAAGAGACCTTATATACCAGTAGTTGCGAACCTTTTACTCACTGAGTGCCAAACAGGTACGTGCTTCACTTAGGCTCAGCTCTCCCCGTGCCCTGTACGCACAGCCACACCATATGCACATGTGCATGACTTTTGCGTGGCTCCCCATGCACTGAGTGCAATTGCACCATCTGCGCATGCATGTGGCTTTCGCGTGGCTCCACCTGTGTGCTGCCTGTGCAGTTGCATCATCTGCGCATGCCTATGGCTTCTGCGCATACAAGTGTACATCATCTGCATACGCACATGCCTGCACAAAGAGGAGAGCTCCGTACCCAGCTGGATTTCGCAGTATCCTTCCCCTGCCACGCCCACCAAGCCACGCCCACAGAACCTGTAGTAAAAAAAAATTGGATTTCACCACTGGTCCCCAGGCCTGTGATGAAGCACCCACAACTTCTGAAGGCAAAGCTGTTCCACTGATTAATTGTTCTCACTATTTCTCCTTGCTTGTAAGTTGGTTTCCACCCATTGCTTCTTGTCTTGCCTTCTGGCGCTTTGAAAATAAACTGCCCCCCTTCTTTTTGTGGCAATCTCTCAAATACTGAAATACTGCTATCAGGTCCCCCCTAGACTAAGCCATGCCCAAATCCTGCAACCCTCCTTCATATGTTTTCGTCACCAGCAGGGGTGAAATCCAACAGATTCTGACATGTTCTGGAGAACCGGTAGCAGAAATTTTGAGCAGTTTGGAGAACTGGCAAATACCACCTCTGGCTGGCTCCAGAGTGGGGAAGGAATGGAGATTTTGCAGTATCCTTCCCGTAGGAGTGGGGAGGGAATGGGGATTTTGCAGTATCCTTCCCCCTAGAGTGGGGTGGGAATGGTGATTTTGCAATATCCTTCTCCCAGGAGTGGGGAGGGAATGGGGATTTTGCAGTATCCTTCCCCCTAGAGTGGGGTGGGAATGGTGATTTTGCAATATCCTTCTCCCAGGAGTGGGGTGGAAATGGGGATTTTGCAGTATCCTTCCCCTGCCACGCCCACCAAGCCACGCCCACAGAACCTGTAGTAAAAAAAAATTGGATTTCACCAGTGCCTTTCAGTTTTAGTCTCTCCCATTTCCCAGAAAAAAATTACAGGCAGCATTTTAAAACCGTGCAGCATAAGTGTCAGAACATTTGGGGAGAGAAAGAATATACAGCAGCAGCAGCAGCAGCAGCCGACAACTTTCAGCCTTCTCCCTTCGCTGCTTCCAGGCCGTGGAAGAACCGAAAAGGCCCGACTTGCTCCCGGCTTCTCCTCCGACCTTCCCTCCGCTCACCTCCCAGCTACTGCTTCGGCCCTTGGAAGAACAGGACCGCCCCCCTCCAGGCCTCCATCCTCCCACGGATGAACCGGAAGAGGAAGTTCCTCTGCCCTTCTCCTCCCCTCGACATCTTTTCTAGCAATACTCGATGGTTTCAATGCCTTTCAACTCAGCCGCTCTCCGTTTTCTAGGCACTGGAGTCGTCTTCAGAGCGCCACCTAGTGACGTGAGGCTGAAAATACGCTCCTTCTGTCTCTGGTGTTTCTAAGATTATTATTTTTTTTGTAATGAAGGGCCGTTTTTCCACTCTTAGCGACCACATGGATCACTTTTATCCTGGACCATCTAGCCCTAGTCTGTCCTGTTGGGTCTCCTAGGGACGCCCACATCGTCACTGCAACTGAGCCAGGTGCTTCATCTCCAAGAGCTAAACCAAGAGAAAGCATCCATGGAGGGAACCCAATGTGCCATCAGGCAACAAGGAAGCGCACCTCCCTTGGGGACCAGTGGAGAGTCTCCCAGCCAGTTCTCCCTCTTGGGGGTGCAAGATAACGCCCCAAAACAATTTTGGTGACAGAGGAAAGCCTGAGGAGAGAAGCCTGACCCTACTTACCTTCACAAGATGAGCCATGTGCTGTATCATAAAAGTTGATAAAGGTCCTGTATGTGCAGCTTTATACAATTGCCAGCTTCATCCTATTAATAGAATACAGGTAGTCCTTGATTTACAACAGTTTATTTAGGGACTGTTTGAAGTTACAATAGCACTGAAAAAAGTCGCGGGTGATTATGGAAGCAACATGGCGCTCCCATGTGACACCTCTCCTGCGCGAGCTGCACTGGATCCCGGTGGTCTTCCGGGTGCGCTTCAAGGTTTTGGTTACCCCCTTGAGAGCGCTCCATGGCTTAGGACCTGGTTATTTACGGGACCGCCTACTACCACAAACAGCCTCCCACCGGCCGGTACGCTCTCATAGAGAGGGGCTTCTCCGGGTGCCGTCAGCCAAGCAGTGTCGACTGGCGGCCCCCAGGTGGAGGGCCTTCTCTGTGGGGGCACCCAGTATCTGGAATGAGCTCCCCCTGGAGATACGGAGGATCCCGGATCTACACACTTTCCGACGTGCTCTTAAAACCCTCCTATTCCAGCAAGCCAGCCTGGCCTAATTTTCTCCCCTTTCTTTTAAATTTTTAAATTGGAATTTTAATTTGTTTTAAATTATTGGGATTTTTAATTGTCTTGGGCTAAATTATTTAATTTGGTTTTAATTATGTTTCTAACTATTGTATTTATGTATTTTATTCTGTACCTGTTCACTGCCCTGAGTCCTTCGGGAGTAGGGCGGTATATAAATTTAATAAAACAAACAAAACAAACAAACTCATGTAACTGGTTTTCAGACTTATGACTGTTGCAGCATCCCCTTGGTCCTTTAATCAAAATTCAGTCGCTTGCAAATTAACTCATATTTATGACGGTTGCAGTGTCCTGGGGTCATGACCTTCTGACAAGCAAAATCAATGGGTAAGCCAGATCACTTAACAGTTTTTTTTTGGGGTGGGGGGTTTAATACTAGGTACATATGGAGATTAGGATTAGAGAAATGTAGAGGTTAGGAATAGAAAAAGGAGGTATAGTGACAGAAGCCGTTTGAAAGTATAGAGTAGACATAGATCATACAGAAAGTAGGAAACTTGAGATAGAAGATCTTATATGAGAAGCATTTGGGTGTACTTCCCCTCCCAGACCCAGAAAGGAGAAGTCCTGGAGATCACCCACTTTCCCGTAACTCACCTGCTGGCCTCGGACTCTTACCTCTTCCCACATCCAAATCACATGAGGTCCTCACTTAATGATCCACAGGGTGCTGGAATAACCATGGCAACAGGGATGGCCAGGATTCCCATCACTAAATAATGTGGTCGTTGTATAATTTGATGTCACGTAACATCAACAATAGAGATTACGGTGCAAATTGTTGCCGCAACCCCAGAACTACCCATATTTCTTTTCCAAGCTCAGGAGAGGCCTGAAAGAGTCATTTCTCCCTACTGGGCAATTGGAATCCTGGCCCACTTTATACCTCCAACAGTTGTTTCTTATGCATAAGAAAATCATGAGAGGTTTTCCTGGCAGAGGAGTTTATTTATTTATTTATTATTTATTAATCAAATTTCTATACCGCCCTACTCCCGAAGGACTCAGGGCGGTGAACAGCCAAGATAAAATACAGACAATACAAATATTAAAAATCCCTTAAAATTATTAAATATTTCGGCCGAAACACAGATTAAAACACCCAATTTATAAAATCACGAATTAAAAAATTTAAAATTTAAGAATTTAAAAGAGGGGAGTTAGGCCAGGCCAGCTTGTTGAAATAGAAAAGTTTTGAGAGCACGGCGAAACGTGCGCAGGTCCGGGATCTTCCGTATCTCTGGGGGGAGCTCGTTCCAGATGGTAGGTGCCCCCACAGAGAAGGCTCTCCCCCTGGGGGCCGCCAGTCGACACTGTTTGGCCGACGGCACCCTGAGGAGCCCCTCTCTATGGGAGCGTACTGGTCGGTGAGAGGCTATTGGTAGCAGAAGGCGGTCTCGTAGATACCCCGGTCCGATGCCATGGAGCGCTCTAAAGGTGGTAACCAAAACCTTGAAGCGCACCCGGAAGACCACCGGGAGCCAGTGCAGCTCGCGCAGGAGGGGGGTCACATGGGAGCGCCACGTCGCTCCCATAACCACCCGCGCGGCCGCATTCTGGACCAGCTGGAGCCTCCGGGTGCTCCTCAAGGGGAGCCCCATGTAGAGAGCATTGCAGTAGTCCAAGCGGGAAGTGACAAGAGCATGAGTGACCGTTTTTAACGAGTCCCGATCCAGAAAGGGACGCAACTGGCGAATCAGGCGGACCTGATAAAAAGTCCCCCTGGCCACGGCCGTCATATGCTCTTCTAAAGACAGCCGTGAGTCCAGGAGGACACCCAAGTTGCGAGCCCTCTCCGTGGGGGGCAATGACTCGGCCCCAATAGTCAGTGATGGCGCCAACTGACTATATCGGGATGTCGGAAACCACAGCCACTCGGTCTTGGATGGGTTGAGCCTGAGTCTGTTTCTCCCCATCCAGATCCGCACGGCCTCCAGGCACCGGGACATCACTTCAAGGGCATCATTGGGGTGGTCCGGGGTGGAGATGTACAGCTGAGTATCGTCAGCGTACTGGTGGTACTTCACCCCGAAACCACGGATGATCTCACCCAGCGGCTTCACATAAATGTTGAACAGAAGGGGCGAGAGGACCGACCCTTGTGGCACCCCACATACAAGGGGCCTCGGGGTCGACCTCTGCCCCCCTGTCAACACAGACTGCGACCGGTCAGAGAGAAAGGAGGAGAACCACCGTAGGACGGTGCCCCCCACCCCTAACTCCTCTAGCCGGTGCAGCATGATACCATGGTCGATGGTATCAAAAGCCGCTGAGAGGTCTAATAGGACCAGGACAGAGGAACAACCCCTGTCCCGAGCCCTCCAGAGATCATCAACCAACGCGACCAATGCCGTTTCCGTGCTGTACCCAGGCCTGAAGCCCGACTGGAACGGATCCAGATACGACGATTCATCCAGGTACTGGGGGAGCTGTCGCGCTACCACACTCTCAACAACCTTCGCAATGAAGCGAAGGTTGGAGACTGGACGATAATTTGCCAACACTGCCGGGTCCAGGGAAGGTTTCTTGAGGAGAGGCCTCACCACCGCCTCTTTCAAGGCGGCAGGGAAGACACCCTCACTCAAGGAAGCATTTATAATCCCCTGGAGCCAGCCTCGTGTAACCTCCCGAGAGGCCAGCATCAACCAGGAGGGACACGGGTCCAGTAAACATGTGGCTGCGCTCAGTCTGCCCAGTATCCTGTCCACGTCTTCGGGCGTCACAGAATCAAACTCTTCCCAGATAATACTCACAAGACCTGCCTCTGTCCTCCCCGCTGAATCTATCCAGTCAGAGTCCAGATGTTCCCGAATCTGAGCGATTTTGTCATACAGATACTGTACAAAATCCTCGGCTCTACCCTCCAAGGGGTCCTCCCGCGCTTCCTGGTGGAGCAGGGAGCGGGTCACCCTAAACAGGGCAGCCGGGCAATTATCTGATGACGCAATAAGAGTGGCAAAATAGTTATACTTCGCCACTTTTATCGCCACCAGGTAGGTCCTAATATGAGACCTTACCAGTGTTCGGTCAGATTCAGAATGGCTGGCCCTCCAACCACTCTCCAGGCGTCTTTTCCGGCGCTTCATCTCCCTCAGCTCCTCGGTGAACCAAGGAGCCAGGCGAGATCGACGCCGGGTCAGAGGCCGCAAAGGCACGACCCGATCCAAAGCTCCAGCGGCCGCCCTATCCCAGGCGGCCACCAGCTCCTCAGTCGAGCCGAGTTCAAGGCTTTGCTGCAGATTAAGATCTTTTGTAAGTGCAGCTGAAGAGGGCAATGAAAGGATGGCAGCCTTGGACTTCAATTCACCCTCTGCTTGCAGCTCTGACTTTGCCACCTGGAGAAAGGGCTGTGCAGCAGGAAAGACACCTGGGCCCTTCTCAGTCTGGCTTCAGGCCGGGTCACATCACCAAAATGGCATTGGTTGCAATTCTCGTGGACGTTTGGAGGGTTTGGGTTAGACGATGTACAACCATTTTGTCCCTCCAACACCTCTCATCAGGTTTCAATACCATTGACCATGATATCCTTCCGGACAAGCTTTGGGGACTGAAAATAAGAGGCATGTTATTGTGGTGGTTCTACTTCTACTTCTATGACTAATTGAAGTCAGTGTGGATAGCAGAAGAGCAGCTGCATCCTAAGGGTCTCTCCTCCCCCCCAATGTGGGTTACCCTGGGGCTCAAGGATTCGCAGCTTCTTTTCAACATGTACGTGAAACTGCTAGCAGGGGCCATCCATCCTGATACCCAACTATGTACAGGTAGTCCTTGACTTACAAAAATGGTAACTTAGTGACCATTTTGTAGAAGTGCCCCATACAGTACTTGCAGAGCAAATACATGTTAAATGTGGTGGCTTTGCATTTTGCAGTATGCATCGGCAGCCAAAATAGCTGATACAATCCTTGGTTGTATATACAGAGGCGTAGAATCAAAATCATGTGAAGTATTAGTACCAATTTATGAAGCCTTGGTAAGGCCACACGTGGAATATTGCATCTTTGTGTACAAAGAAAACCTATACAAAATGTTTTATAGGTGGCATATTCCACCTACAAGGTTAGCAAAAATGAACAAGAATTTATCACCGCAGTGTTGGAAATGTAACTCACTGTTAGGATCATTTTATCATATGTGGTGGCCATGTACGAAAGCCAAGGAATTTGGCATCTGATAAAGACATGGTTGGAAGAGATTCTAGACCAAAATATAGATTTGAAACAAGAACTATTCCTATTAGGAATTATAAAAGAAATATAGTAAAGAAGTGATATATTTAATGCTGCATGTCATAACAGCAGCAAGATTAGTGTATGCGCAAAATTGGAAAAATAAGGATACTCCCTCTGAAGATACAATAAAGAAAATAATGGCTTGTGCAGAAATGGACAGACTAACACTAGAACTTAAAAATAAAGGTGAGACAGAGTATTATAAAATTTGGAACACAATGTATCAATGGTTGGAAACGAGGAAAAGGAGTCAAAACAGAAAATATTTAGGATTCATAGAACTGAAATTGGACAATACTTAGACAAATATTCAAATGAGGATAAGGGATATGTTTATAATACCAAAGTAACAATGTACAATGAGTGGGAATTGTATCTGTAGTTATGTTAAAATATGTATGGAAATGACAAAGCCAGGATGGTCGCACTGTGTCCATTGTTTTAATGTTTATTTAATAAAAAAATTTTTTTAAAAAAAGAACATTGCATCCAGTTTTTGTTACCACATTACAAAAAAGATGTTGAGACTTTGGGGAAAAATGCAAAGAGCAAGTAAGATGATTAAAGGCCTAGAGAGTAAACATATGAAGAAAGGTTGCAGAATTTTGGTTTGGCTAGAGAAAAGGACTAAGGGAGACATTATAGCAGTATTTCAGTATTTTAGAGGTGGCAACAAAGAGGAGGGGCCCCACTTATTTTCCAAAGTGCCAGAGGACAGGACAAGAAACAATGGATGGAAACAAATCAAGGAGAGAAGCAACCTGGAATTAAGGAGAAACTTCCTAAAAGTGAGAATAATTAACCAGTGGAACAGCTTGCCTTCAGAAGTTGTGGGTACTCCATCACTGCAGGTTTTTAAGAAGAGACTGGACAGCCACTTGTCTGAAATGGTCTACCTGAACAGAGGGTTGGACTAGAAGACCTCCAAAGGGCCTTCCTGCTCTATTCTGATTGATTGCACATATGGGGTTTATTGGTTTCTGTATATGGCTCTGCATTTTGCCATTTGCAATATTCAATATTAAGGTTTTATTACTGTAACTGCCTGGAGTCACCTTCAGTTGGGCTACCATATAATTTTTTTTTAATAAATTAAAAATACAGTACCTACGTGCATAAATATTTATATCCTGCCTTTATTATATGTAGAAATACACTGCTTGTTAGCTAAACATGGAAATAAAGTAAAATCCCAATAGAGACCAGTAACAGATCTGTCCCATATTGTTGCCAAGAAAACATGTCCATAAAATCCCAAGGAATCCATCATAAGCTAAAGGAGACTTTTTCCAACGTAGAAAATTGTAAGTACCAGTTTTAAAGTCAGCGCAGGTGGAATAAAATCTGAGGTGGGAAGGAATATAGAATATAGAAGCAGCCTAGCTCCTTCTCTGCTTTTACAATGTGGAGGAAGCCAGGCAGCTCTACTTGCTCCCAATTTTTTCTCTGACCTGATTTCAACCCACCTTCTAGCTACTGTTTCGGCCCTGGGAAGAGCAGGACAGCCATCCCCCACACCATCTGACAGGAGCTAGGAAGTGAGTCTTTTCCGTTGCAGATCCTGCCCTATGAAAAACTTTTCCCCTGAACTTTGGAGGTCTTTATCCTCCTAGTCTTCTCTAAAGCAAAAAAGATCTAGCTGTTTCCCTAAGTACTGGGATAAGAAGAGATACATGCTCATCAGAAACTTCATTTTGAACCAGATGTTTGCTTATATTTATTAACTTAATATGCCGCTAATCCTGCAGTGATTTTGAGCATGCGGTTTGACTAGATGACATACAAAGTCTCTTTCAACTTTGTTATTCTATTCTATTCTATTCCTCCCTCGTGTTTGATACTAAGATGTTTCCTAAAGAGAATCAGGCAAGTAATTAAATGTTTAATTGTTCAGCTGGATTTCCAATGAGACAACAAACAAAATTCAAGATTAGTCTACACATATGAAATGTTGCCTCATGTGGAATTTCTTGTGTGATAACGGAGGAACTTTGTGTGAAACACTGCCTGCAATCTAGCTATTTGAATGGTTACTCCCCTATATGTACCTTTACATGATTTATAAGGCTAGACCTACTACTGAAATCTTTCCCACAATCCGGACATTCATACGGTTTCTCTCCTGTGTGAGTCCTCTGGTGTATCACCAAATGGGAATTCCAAGTAAAATGTTTCCCACATTCAAGACACTCATATGGTTTCTCTACAATGTGAGTCCTCTGGTGTTTTACCAGGCAGGAGTTATGGTAGAATTTTTTCCCACAATCTGAACACTGATATGGTTTTACTCCAGTGTGAGTTTTCTGGTGTATCACCAGGTTGGAATTCTGACTGAACCTTTTCCCACAATGCAGACACTCATGTGGTTTCTCTCCTGTGTGAGTCCTCTGGTGTATCACCAAATGAGAATTCCAAGTAAAACTTTTCCCACATTCAAGACACTCATATGGTTTCTCTGCAGTGTGAGTCCTCTGGTGTTTTACCAGGTAGGAATTATGGCAGAATTTTTTCCCACAATCTGAACACTGATATGGTTTTTCTCCAGTGTGAGTTTTCTGGTGTTTCATCAAGTAGGAATTCTGACTGAACCTTTTCCCACAATACAGACACTCATGTGGTTTCTCTCCTGTGTGAGTCCTCTGGTGTATCACCAAATGGGAATTCCAAGAAAAACGTTTCCCACATTCAAGACACTCATATAGTTTCTCTACAGTGTGAGTCCTCTGGTGTTTTACCAAGTAGGAATTATGGCAGAATTTTTCACCACAATCTGAACACTGATATGGTTTTTCTCCTGTGTGAGTCCTCTGATGTTTCATCAGGTAGGAATTCTGACTGAAACTTTCCCCACAATGACATTTATATGGTTTCTCTCCTGTGTGAGTCCTCTGGTGTTTCATCAGGTAGGAATTCTGACTGAAACTTTTCCCACAATGACATTTATATGGTTTCTCTGCTGTGTGAGTTCTCTGATGTTTCACCATGTCAGGATTGCAACTGAAACCTTTCCCACAGTTTGGACACTTATATGGTTTCTCTCCTGTGTGAATCCTGTGATGTCGCACAAGGTGGAAATTTTGAATGAATCTTTTCCCACACTGCAGACATGCATACGGTTTTTCACCTGTGTGAATCCTTTGGTGTATCACCAGGTTAGAATTCCCCTTGAAACCTTTTCCACAATCTGAACACTCATATGGTTTCTCTCCTGTGTGAGTCCTCTGGTGTTTCACCAGGTCAGATTTCCGAGAGAAATCTTTCCCACAATCAGGACACTCATACGGTTTCTCACCTGTGTGAGTTCGGTGATGTTCTACCAGGAGAGATTTCCAACTGAAACTTTTCCCACAATCTTGGCAGTCATATGGTTTCTCTCCTGTGTGACTCTTCTGGTGTTTCATCAGGTAGGAATTCTGACTGAAACTTTTCCCACAATGACATTTATATGGTTTCTCTGCTGTGTGAGTTCTCTGATGTTTCACCATGTCAGAATTGCAACTGAAATCTTTCCCACAATCAGAACACTCATACGGTTTCTCTTGCGTGTGAGTCCTCTGGTGTATCACTATGTCATACTTCTGACTGAAACTTTTCCCAGAGTTTGGACACTTACATGGTTTCTCTCTATGTGAGTCCTGTGATGTCGCACAAGGTGGGAATTTTGAATGCATCTTTTCCCACACTGCAGAGTCTCATACAGTTTTTCACCTGTGTGAATCCTTTGGTGTATCACCAGGTCAGAATTCACCTTGAAACCTTTTCCACAATCTGCACACTGATACATTATCTCCCCAGTATGAATCCTTGTGTTTCACGAGATTGGTGTGTATGCTAAAACTTTTGCCACATTGAGAACACTGGTAGAGCTGCTCTTCCTGCCTTGGCCAATCCACAAGTCATGGGAGTCCTATTCTGAGTAAAGCTTTTACCTGTCTCTAGGCATTTGTTACATTTTTTACGGGATGGATCCTCTTGTGAATAAATGAACTGTCATCTGCAATCTGTGTTTTTCCCACAATAGCTTGTCTTTGGCATTTTTCAAACACTGATATTCTTGGATTCATGAGGGGGCGAGAAATACTTCTGATCTCCTTTCTATAAGATTCATATTAACGGATTAGCTTCATTGTTTTAAAAATGGCTACAGAACCTGTGAAAATAGCAAAAAAAATAAAAAATCCATACATTACTAGGAAAAGCAAAGATATCAATATGCTGGTTTAACCTCTAATGTTCTTTATGATTCATTAGGCTCATAGAAGTGTAGCAAAATCCAAGTTCAAATATCCAGTCATATTTCAAATCATGAAATTCTTGTTGGCTTAGGTAAATCAGAAATTATTATCATTGCAAACTGTTATTAAAATTACCTGAAAACACTGGGGTTTATCTGTGCACACATAAATACACACCTATAAATTTATCTATGTAGAAAATTATGTCAGTCTTCAAAAAGTTTCCGAAAGTGGATTCACTGAGTTTGTTTGATCTAAATTTTAGAAAGGTGGGGGACACTAACCGATGAGATGGTGCCCAAATCCTATGCAAGATTTAAAGCATCCGTTTTAAATCATCCATGAGACTCCTCCCTTCCCAAGAAAACAACATGTCAATAACATCCCAAGGAATGAAGTGTTAGGCGAAGGGCGAGGGAGATGGAAATATGAAATAAAGACTTTTTAAATCTTCCAGGAGAAAATCACAGGCAGCAATTTTAAACTATGCAGCAAAAGGATAATAAAATTTGGGGGGAGGAAGAATATGCAGCAGCAGCCCACATGCTTCACCCTCGTTGCTTGCTCTGCTTCCAGGCCGTGGAGGAGCCCAAAGGGCCCGACTTGCTCCCGGCTTCTCCTCCGACCTTCCCTCCACTCACCTCCCAGGAGCTTCTTCGACCCCTTGAAACAGCACAAGAGGAACCAGCGACGCCATCTTCCTCCCCGTGGGTGACCCGGAAGAGGAAGGTCCTCTGCCCTCCTCCACATCCACTCTAGGAATCCAATACTCTATCATTTCCACCTGTTTCATCTCCGCCTCCCCAGTAGACTAGCAATGCAGCTACTGTACTGTATTCGCTGCTTTCTAGGCACGAGTGTCGCTGTAAGATTGAGGCTTGACCCCACTTAGGTTCACAGGTTTAGCCAAGTGCGAAAAGTCCCCTAAAAGTTCATGAAGTTCTTTTTTTCTGTGTGGCCCTAAATCAGAGGTCTTCAAACTTGGCAGCTTTAGGACTTGTGGACTCTTTTAACTCCCAGAATTCTCCAGCCAGCTATGCTGGAGAATTCTGGGAGTTGAAGTCCACAAGTCTGAAAGCTGCCATGTTTGAAGACCTCTGCCCTAAATGGTTGTTAGCTACATCCCATTAACAGACGAATGGAACAGGGGAGCAATCGGGGAGCACTCACTGGCATTGCCTCTGTACCCCATTTAGATAGGGGGTAGATGTAATCTTCCTCTCTATTGTTGTGGAGTCTAAATCCTGCTAGAAGGCAGAATTGCTCAGTGCGGCCTTTATTTATTTATATTTTATTTATTTATTTTTGTCGAGTACCTATTAGATAATATATATTAGCGTGAATTGAATATATAAAATGAATACTATTAAAGGGACATTAGGACAGGGACGGTAGGCACGCTGGTGCTCTTATGCACGCCCCTTCACAATTCCCAGCCTTATTACCTTTCAGCCTTATTTATTCCCAAGCAGCTTGAGCAAAACACTTGGAGGAAGCCAGTTTGTAGAAAGCTGGTCTAAAGATTCCTGCCCTGCATGCTGTGATAAAAATCAAAAAGTGCTTCTAGAAAGTATTAGCTTTTAAGGGTGCACATCTTTGTGAAACTGTTGTTGTAAGTTTTTTTATTGTCATTTCTTCCCCAGGAAAGATTTCATTTTGAATTTCAATTGAATTATATATTGGTCTAATTTGTTTTACATCTAAAAACCTGGCGTTTTACAAGGAGTGTGTAGATGTTCTATATCCAATGCGTATCTGGAAATATTGGGGACAAAATAATACAGGTGCAGATATATGCATCTAAAGAAATACAAATGCACACACCTACAAATGTATGTATGTAGAAATCAATTTGTATTTTAGCCTGAAAAATATCCCAAGATTGTTACAGTCCAACCTTCCTCATTACTTTTTGAGATGTGGGGCCTTTAACTGACGAAATGATGCGTTTAACCTCAGCAAGATTTGGACCAAGTTTTCCCATGGACATCATCAGTTGCAAATAAAGGCAGAAAATACTGTCCACAACCTCTCTGGTGACATCCCCGTTGAAGTAGTCCTCACTTACTGGTGATATTTCAGATTGGCATCTCTGTCACTAAGATGCCTGATCATTAAGCATGATATCACATGACAGTGCCAATTTACATGATCTACTCCTCCGCAGATCTTAAATCACTGTGGGTTGTTAAAGGCACTTTCATGCGATTGTGACTGGAAGCTTCTTGATAGCATCCCCTTGTCAGAGGTTAGCTGGGAAGGTCACAAACGGGATCATAAATGTGGATTGATTGGCAGCACCAGAATTGGTGCAACTCCTTTTCCTGCACCTTCAAAACCACAGGAAGTGCTGAAATGCGATCACTGAAGAAGTGCCACGATGTCCACAAATCTGTGGGCTTAGGTGTATGTCTGTCTTTACAGTGCCATAGTAACTTGGAAGGCTTAGGGAACAAATAATGAAGACTGCCTATACAATTGAACCTTACAATACTCTGCTACCAAGCTGTATGGCTATATGACAATCTCCTGGTACCATTTCTATAGAATAAAACATAATTTCTAACATCCTCAATGGCATTTTTTATAAAATAGTGGTTTAACTACAGATGAACCTAGCTAATATACTGATGGGGCTCCAATAAGAAAAAAATGTGTTTGTTAGCTAAACATGGAAACAAAAGAAAGTAAAATCGCAGAAGAGACCAGTGGCAGTTCAGTCCCATATTGGTGCCAAGAAAACCACACGTCCGTAAAACTGGCCTGGTGCACAATCTGGGGGTCCTCCTGGACTGATGGCTACTGCTTGAGATTGTGACGGGGGAGGGGCTTTGCAGATTGATCTTGTGCACCAATTGTGCCCTTTCCTTGCACACAGGTCACTCATGTCTTGGTCACCCTCCTTTTTGGATCACTGCATTGGACCACCCAGAAACGTCAACTGTTCCAGAACGCAGCAGCGCACACAGTAATGGAGGCCCCTAGGTTGCCTATGTAACATCTTGTGATGCAAGCTGCACTGGATTCATTCATTTACAGGTACAATTCAAGGTAATCCCCTTTAAAGTTATTTGTTACAACAAAAGCAGTCAGACCTATGTACTACCTATATACCACCCCACAGTTCCTTATAGCACTCTCGGTTTAGTTAGAATATTGTCACTAATAATCTGGATCCTCATTTTACCAATCTCTGAAGGACTGAGGGCTGAGTCGTCGAGCCCTATCAGGATCGAACTCCAGGCTGTGAGAAGAGTGAGCTGGCAATAGTATATTCTAACCAGTGAGTCAACAGGGCACCTGTCATTATTGTCCCACTTTTAATATTTTTGCATCCATTTCTTTTACAAGGTCAGATAGGGTGAACATGCTCGTAGCCGCTTCACTTAAATTTTCATACTGGATAGTGAGTCTTTTCTCTGGCAGACCATTCCTCTGAAACACTCTTTCCCCTGAAGTTTGGCAGGACTTTATCCTTCTGGTCTTCCATAAAGCAAGGAAGATCTAGCTGCTCACCCTAAGCACTGGGATAAGATTAGATGCCTGTACATCAGAAGCTTGTTTTGGAACCAGTTGTTTGTTTATATTTATTAAATTTATATGCCATTAATCCTGCTGTGAACTTCTCCAATTTAACTCCTTGCAAGGTAAAAAATACCAAACGGCACCAGGCGCGAAGGTAATTAGTAAGGCCAGGAGTCCTGGTTAATTTCTAAATTGAACAAAAGCAAGAATCTTCTTTTGGGGATTCCCAGACCATCTAATTTGTATCAACCTGGTTAGAAGTGCCCTGTATAGGCAGGGCAAGTACATACTCTATGAGGCTTTGTTATTTGCTATTTGCTATATATGGGGTTTATTGGTTTCTGTATTAAAGTTGTATTGCTGTAAACCATGTGGAGTCAAATGAGTTGGCCTGCCATATACATTTTCCTACTAAGTAAAAATGCATACAGACATGTTTATATTCCCCTTTATTAGATATAGAAATAACTCAAGGCGACAAACATACTTAACTGATCAATGTTTACTTTCTCTCACCAAGCAAAGCATTTCCCGTCAACTTTGTGAAAGGGAACGATGACACGGGGCCAGAGAAAGGAAACTCAGATCAGATTAAGAGGCCTGCAGGCTAAAATATATAAGGGACGGTTACAAGAACTGGGTATGGCTAATCTAGTGAAGAGAAGGACCAGTGGTGACATGATAGCAGTCGTCCAATATTTGAAGGGCTGCCAGAGAGAGGATGGAGGTCAATCTATTTTCCAAGGCACCTGAAGGCCAGACAAGGAAGAATGGACAGACACCGATCAAGGAAAGATTCAAACTAGAAATGAGAAATTTTCTGACAGTGAGAACAATTAACCAATGAAACAGCCTGTCTTCAGTAGTTGTGGGTGCTTCATCACTGGAGGCTTTCAAGAAGAGACTCGACCACGTGTCAAGAAACGGTGTAGGGTCTCCTCCTTGAGCAGTGGGTTGGGCTAGATGACCTATAAGGTCCGTTCCAACTCTGTTAATGTGTTAATCTGTTAGTCAACTTTCAGTCATTGTCAAAACCTTTCTAAATAATCACTTTATTATTGATTTCCTGTGGCTCCCAAGGGGCACCAGCAGGCAAAAGTCTCCAAGGGAACTATCATCAGTCCCAGCCAGGGCTCTGTCTAAGATTTTAAGTCTGCTAAATGACATGTACATGTGTAATTTCCTTAGCACAGAAATCAAAGTCAAAGTGAGTGAGACATGCACACAGCAGAGCCTAGAAAAAGGGCCTGTCTACTGTATTTGGTAATCAACACTAATATACTTTTCAAAGAAATGTTTGAAAGTGTTTTAAAAAGAATGGTAGCATGCATGTGCACACATAAGTGTTTCTGCCTGACACTTATTTTTTAAATTAAAATTTTAATGATCAAAACACACAAAAACCATAGAAAAATCAGCAATAAACAAGAAATTTGGGGGAAAACAGGTCATTTATGCCTTCCCTCCTTCTTTCTATTAAGTCATATACATTCCTGTTTGGAAATTGAGTCCCGTCAGTCAGAAGAAAACTCTTCTTAAAAACAGATCCTGGCCTTAAGTCCATTCCTTGGAGAAATCCAGACCAATGTTTTCCTTCCACATTGCTCACATCTGTGCAAAAGAACAGGGTTAGCTAGCTAAATAGAGGATGAGGAAAGAGACAGAGGAAGGGGGGGAGAGGGAGAGACCAGTAACATATCTGTCCCATATTGTTGCCAAGAAAACATGTCCATAAAATCCCAAGGAATCCATCATAAGCTAAAGGAGACTTTTTCCAATGTAGAAAATTGTAAGTACCAGTTTTAAAGTCAGCACAGGTGGAATAAAATCTGGGGTGGGAAGGAATATAGAATATAGAAGCAGCCTAGCTCCTTCTCTGCTTTTACACTGTGGAGGAAGCCAGGCAGCTCTACTTGCTCCCGATTTCTTCTCTGACCTGACCTCAACCCACCTTCTAGCTACTGTTTCAGCCCTAGGAACAGCACGATTGCCATCCCCCACACCATCTGACAGGAACTACGAAGTGAGTCTTTTCCATTGCAGATCCTGCCCTATGAAAAACTTTTCCCCTGAACTTTGGAGGTCTTTATCCTCCTAGTCTTCTCTAAAGCAAAGAAAATCTAGCTGTTTCCCTAAGTACTGGGATAAGAAGAGATGCCTGCTCATCAGAAACTTCATTTTGAACCAGATGTTTGCTTATATTTATTAACTTAATATGCCGCTAATCCTGCAGTGATTTTGAGCAGGCAGTTCGACTAGATGACATACAAAGTCTCTTCCAACTTTGTTATTCTATTCTATTCCTCCCTCAAGTTTGATACTAAGATGTTTCCTAAAGAGAATCAGGCAAGTAATTAAATGTTTAATTGTTCAGCTAGGTTTCCAATGAGACAACAAAATTCAAGATTAGTCTACACACATAAAATGTTGCCTCATGTGGAATTTCTTGTGTGATAAGGGAGGAACTTTGTGTGAAACACTGCCTGCAATCTAGCTATTTGAATGGTTACTCCCCTATGTGTACCCTTACATGATTTATAAGGTTAGACCTACTACTGAAATCTTTCCCACAATCTGGACATTCATACGGTTTCTCTCCTGTGTGAGTCCTCTGGTGTATCACTAAATGGGAATTCCAAGTAAAACGTTTCCCACATTCAAGACACTCATATGGTTTCTTTACAGTGTGAATCCTCTCGTGTTTCACCAAGTAGGAATTATGGCAGAATTTTTTCCCACAATCTGGACACTGATATGGTTTTTCTCCAGTGTGAGTTTTCTGGTGTATCATCAGGTAGGAATTCTGACTGAAACTTTTGCCACAATCTGGACACTGATATGGTTTTTCTCCAGTGTGAGTTTTCTGGTGTATCACCAGGTTGGAATTCTGACTGAACCTTTTCCCACAATGCAGACACTCATGTGGTTTCTCTCCTGTGTGAGTTCTCTGGTGTCTCAACAGCTTGGAATTTTGAGTGAAACTTCTCCCACAATCTGGACACTCATACAATCTCTCTGCTCTGTGAGTCTTCTGGTGCTTCACTAGTTGAGACTTGCATCTGAAACATTCCCCACATTCTGGACACTCGTACGCTCTCTCTTCGGTGTGAGTCCTCTGGTGTTTCACCAGGGAGGAATTCTGACTAAAACTTTTTCCACAATCATGACATTTATATGGTTTCTCTCCTGTGTGAGTCCTCTGGTGTTTCATCAGGTAGGAATTCTGACTGAAACTTTTCCCACAATGACATTTATATGGTTTCTCTGCTGTGTGAGTTCTCTGATGTTTCACCATGTCAGAATTGCAACTGAAACCTTTCCCACAATCTGAACACTCATACGGCTTCTCTTGCGTGTGAGTCCTCTGATGTATCACCAGGTCAGAATTCTGACTGAAACTTTTCCCACAGTTTGGACACTTATATGGTTTGTCTCCTGTGTGAATTCTGTGATGTCGCACAAGATGGAAATTTTGAATGAATCTTTTCCCACACTGCAGACACACATACGGTTTTTCACCTGTGTGAATCCTTTGGTGTATCACCAGGTCAGAATTCCCCTTGAAACCTTTTCCACAATCTGAACACTCATATGGTTTCTCTCCTGTGTGAGTCCTCTGGTGTTTCACCAGGTCAGATTTCCGAGAGAAATCTTTCCCACAATCTGGACACTCATATGGTTTCTCACCTGTGTGAGTTCTGTGATGTTCTACCAGGAGAGAATTCCAACTGAAACTTTTCCCACAATCTTGGCAGTCATATGGTTTCTCTCCTGTGTGAGTCTTCTGGTGTTTCATCAGGTAGGAATTCTGACTGAAACTTTTCCCACAATGACATTTATATGGTTTCTCTGCTGTGTGCGTTCTCTGATGTTTCACCATGTCAGAATTGCAACTGAAACCTTTCCCACAATCTGAACACTCATACGGTTTCCCTTGCATGTGAGTCCTCTGATGTATCACCAGGTCAGAATTCTGACTGAAACTTTTCCCACAATTTGAACACTTATATGGTTTCTCTCCTGTGTGAGTCCTGTGATGTCGCACAAGGTGGAAATTTTGAATGAACCTTTTCCCACACTGCAGACACTCATATGGTTTTTCACCTGTGTGAATCCTTTGATGTATCACCAGGTCAGAATTCCCCTTGAAACCTTTTCCACAACCTGCACACTGATACATTTTCTTCCCATGTCCTCATGTCTAACCAGACTGGCGTGCATGCTAAATCTTTTGCATCCTCCTGCATCGGCCATTCCATGAGTCATAGGAGTCTTATTCTGAGTCAAGCTTTTAGCTGTCTCTAGGCATTTGTTACGTTTTTTACGGGATGGATCCTCCTGTGAATAAATTAACTGTGATCTGCAATCTGTGTTTGCACCACAATAGGCAAGTCTGGGGATTTTGCAAAACTGATATTCTTGGATTCATGAGGGGGTGAAAAATATTTCTCATCCCTTATCTGGTGGTACTTTGATTCAAGACACTCTTTCCTTCCTCAACGGCTTTCATTAATCCCTTTGGCTATCTAAGGGACCTTTTCCTTCCCACTGATGTCCAGGTATTTCCCACTTTTTCTGAATTTGGTAATTATATCTTTTTACCTTTTCATGCAAAATTTTCATGAAGTTCCACATAATCAGTTCCACCTGAAAACTGTTTCTGTTATTCTCTCCATTGTCTCCTTCCAACTGCTGAGGAAAGAGAAGAATTTTAACACATTCTGGAAAAAGTGGAAAATATTTTGAGTGATGGTTTGTTTTGCATTCTAATGCTGCTTCTCATTCTCTTTTGTTCAGATGACTCTTCTTGGCATCCCCCTTGTCTCTAAGATTCATATTAATGGATTAGTTTCATTCTTTTAAAAATGGCTGCAGAACCTGTGAAAATAACAAAAAAAATATTTCCATATATTACTAGGAAAAGCAAAGATATCAATATGCTGGTTTAAGCTCTAACATTCTTTATGATTCATTAAGCACACAGAAGTGTAGTAAAATCCAAGTTCAACTATCCACTCATATTTCAAATCATGAAATTCTCGTATGGCCTTAGGTAAATCAGAAATTATCATTTCAAACTGTTATTAAAATTACCTGAAAACACTGAAGAATATCTATGCACACATAAATACACACCTATAAATTTATCTATTTAGAAAATTATGTCAGACTTCAAAATGTTTCAGAAAGTGGATTCACTGAGTTTGTTTGATCTAAATTTTAGAAAGGTGGGGGACACTAACAGATGAGATGGTGCCCAAACCCTATGCAAGATTTAAAGCACCCGTTTTGCCTATGAAACTGATAGGAAAAAAATATCACAAGGAATGAAGTGTTACCGAGGGAGATAGGCGGTTAAGAAATATGAAATAAAGACTTTTAAATGCCCCAAATCTGCCATCTCCCAGTAGGAAATCATGCGGCATAAGGGTAATAAAATTTTGGAAGAGAAAGAATATACAGCAGCAGCCCACATGCTTCAGCCTCGTTGCTTGCTCTCGCTTCCAGGCCGTGGAGGCACCCAAAGGGCCCGACTTGCTCCCGGCTTCTCCTCCGACCTTCCCTCCACTCACCTCCCAGGAGCCTCTTCGACCCCTTGAAACAGCACAAGAGGAACCAGCGACGCCATCTTCCTCTCGTGGGTGACCCGGAAGAGGAAGTTCCTCTGCCCTACTGCAAAATTCCCCCCTAGCAATCCAAAACTCTATCGTTTCAACTCGTTCCACCTCAGGCTCTACCCCTCCAGTGGACTGCCAGTAGCAATGCCACTACTGTACTGTATTCACAGCTTTCTAGTCTGGAGTGTTTCTTCTTTCTTGAGCGCCATCTAGTGACATAAGGCTTTAAAACACGCTAGTTCCATTTCTACCCAAAAGCTTTTGCAATATGGTTTCTCTCCTGTGTGAGTCCTGTGATGTCTCACAAGGTGGGAATTTTGAATGATTTTTTTCCCCCATATTGTAGACACTTGTATGTTTTTTCACCTGTGTTAGTCCTTTGATGTATCACCAGATCAGAATTCCCCTTGAAACTTTTTCCATAATCTGAGCACTCATATGGTTTCTCTCCTATGCGAGTCCTCTGGTATTTTAACAGGTCAGATTTCCAAGACAAATCTTTCCCACAATTAGGACACTCCTATACAGTAGTTTCTCTCCTCTTTGAGTTCCCTAATGTTCCACAAGGTGGGAATTCCAACTGAAACTTTCCCACAAAATAGACACTCATATGGTTTCTTTCCAGTGTGAGTCCTGTAGAAACATTTCCCACAATTAGGACATTCAGAGTTTCTCCCAATGTAAGCCCCCTTGTGACTCATCCCATTAGTGTGCAAGAACTGGTAGAGCTTTTCTCCAATATGGGGAGATTAGTGCACTGGACCACTCAGAAACCTCAACTTGTCCAGAACACAGCAGGACACACACTAATGGGGGATCCTGGGTTGCCCATGTAACATTTTTGTGGTGTGAGCTGCCCTGGATTCGTTTCTTTAAGGTACAATTCAACATGCTGCTCGTCACCTTTAAAGTTATTTCTTTATCATAGCAATAGAGCATAGAATTACTATACCACCCACAGTGATTTATAGCACTTTTGGGTTTATTGTCCCCAACAATCTGGGTCCTCATTTTAGGAATCTCAGAAGGACGAAAGGCTGAGTCAACCTCGAGTCCTGTCAGGATTGCATTCCAGGCTATGGGAAGAGTCAGATGGCAATACCACATTCTAACCACTGAGCCAACAGGGTGCCTGTCATTATTGCCCCACATTTATTATACTTGCATATTTCCATCTGTTCTACAGATCAGATAGGGTGGGCACACTCCTAGCCTCTTCCCTTAAATATTGCTATTGGATAGGAGCTAGGAAGTGAGTCTTTTCTGTTGCAGACCCTGTCCTGCGAAACACTCTCCCCGTGATGTTTGGCAGGCTTTTAGCCTCCTAGTCTTCCGAAAAGAAGGAAGCTCTAGCTCTTCCCCTAAGCACTGGGATAAGAAGAGATGCCTGCTCATCAGAAGCTTGATTTGGAACCAGGTTTTTGTTTTTATGCATTTGGTTTTAATGTGGTCTTTAATTACTGATTGGGAGCTGGCCAGAGTTTGTCATAACATGGTTGGCAGTGTAGTTTAAATAAATCAGAGGAAAAAGTAATGAATCTGAAAAATGGCCCCACTGAGGCTGCCCATCTGCAAGTTGCTTGAGGCACTGAAGTTCAATGCATTTCTTTAATTACCAAATTTATATGATGTTAATCCTGCAGATAACTTCTCAAATGTAATTCCTTGCAAGGAGAAAGTCTACCCGTCTTTCACCAGAAGGAATGGCACTGGGCATGAATGTAATTAGTAAGGCCAAGGAGGCCTGGTTAACTTCTAATTTGAACAAAAGCAAGAATCAAAAGCAAGATTCACCCTGATCGTCCAAATGCCATCAACCATGCTAGAGGTGCCCTATATTTACAGGGCAAGTACATGTTAAATGTGGAGGCTTTGCATTTTGCCATTTGCAATATACGGGGTTTATTGATTTCCATATTAATAAGGGATTACAGGGTCATTAAAAGACACAAAAATTGGTTTTCGTATTAAGATTTAATTGCTAAAAATAATGTGAGTTGGGCTGCCATGTTTTTTTTTTGCTAAATAAAAATACATGCATACATGTTTATATACCCCTTTATTTTATAGAGAAAAAACTCAAGGCGGCAAAAATACCTAATTCAGATCCACGCTCATTTTCTCTCACCCAGAAAAGCAGTTCCTGACTCCATAAAAGGGGAGTACCATACTGGGCCAGAGAAAGGAAGCGCAGGTCAGATTAAGAGGCCTGCAGGCTAAAACATATGACGAACGGTTACAAGAACTGGGAAAGGTTAGTCTAGTGAAGAGAAGGACCAGTGGAAAAATGATAGCACTGTTCCAACATTTGAAAGGCTGTCACAGACAAGGGAATAACCTATTTTCCAAAGCAAAAAAAGGGCAGACAAGGAACAATGGATGGAAACTTATCAAGGAGAGATTCAAGCTAGAAATCATGAGAAATTTTCTGACAGTGACAAAAATCAACCAATGGAAGAGCTTGCCTTCAGGAGTTGTGGGTGCTCCATCACCGGAAGCTTTTAAAGAAGAGACTGGACAGCGATTTGTCAGAAATGGTATTGAGTCTGCTGCATGCAAAGTTCCTTCCAACTTTGTTATTTTATTGTATTCCTCACTGATATTTGATACTAAGACATGTTTCAACTAAAAAGAATCATGCAAGAAATTAAACAGTTAATCAGAGTCAAGCAACGAAATACAAGGTTCATTTATACACATCAAATTTTGCCTCATGTGGAATTTCTTGTGTGTGATAAAGAGAGGAATCTTGTGCAAAAAACTGTCTGAAATCTGGGTAGTTGAAGGGTTACTCCCCTATGTGTAACCTTACATGATTTATAAGGCTAGACCTACTACTGAAATCTTTCCCACAATCCGGACATTCATAAGGTTTCTCTCCTGTGTGAGTCCTCCAGTGTGTCACCAAATTGGAATTCCGACTGAAAGTTTTCCCACATTCGAGACATTCATAAGGTTTTTCTCCTGTGTGAGCCCTCTGGTGTATCACCAAGTAGGAATTTTGAATGAAACTCTTCCCACACTCCAGACACTCATATGGTTTTTCTCCTGTGTGAGTCCTCTGGTGTTTCATCAGATAGGAATTCTGACTAAACCTTTCCCCACAATCTGGACACCGATATGGTTTCTCTCCTGTATGAGTTCTTTCATGTATCACAAGGTTGGAATTTTGACTGAAACTTTTCCCACAATACAGACACTCATATGGTTTCTCTCCAGTGTGAGTTCTCTGATGTCTCACCAGCTTGGAATTTCGAGGGAAGCATTTCCCACAATCCAAACACTCATAGAGTCTCTCCCCTCTGTGAGTCCTCTGATGCTTCACCAATTCAGATTTGCAACTGAAACTTCCCTGACATTCTGGACACTTGTACAGTTTCTCTCCTGTGTGACTCTTCTGGTGTATCACCAGGTGGAAATTCCAACTAAATCTTTTCCCACAATCCAGGCACTCATACGGTTTTTCCCCTCTGTGAGTATTCTGGTGTTGCCTCAGGTTGGAAGTCTGACTGAAACTTTTCCCACAATCAGGACATTCATATGGTTTCTCTTTCCTGTGAGTCTTCTGGTGAATAAGCAAGTTGGAATTTCGAATGAAACTTTTCCCACAATCCAGACACTGATACTGTTTGTCCCCCGTGTGAATTCTCTGGTGTACCACCAGGTGAGAATTCCGATGGAAAATTTTCCCACAATCTGCACACTTATATGGTTTCTCTCCTGTGTGAGACCTCTGGTGTTTCACCAGGTAGGAATTCTGACTGAAACTTTTCCCACAATCACATTTATATGGTTTCTCGCCTGTGTGAGTCCTCCGATGTTTCACCAGATCGGAATTACAACTGTAACTTTTCGTACAATCTGAACACTCATACTGTTTCACTCCTGTGTGAGACCTCTGGTGTTTTACCAAGTAGGAATTCTGACTGAAACTTTTCCCACAATCATTACATTTATATGGTCTCTCTCCTGTGTGAGTCCTCTGATGTTTCACCAGGTCGGAATTGCAACTGAAACCTTTCCCACAACCTAGGCACTCATACGGTTTCTCTCCTGTGTGAGTTCTCTGGTGTATCACCAGGTAAGATTTCTGACTGTAACTTTTCCCACAATCTGGACACTTATATGGTTTCTCTCCTGTGTGAGTCCTCTGATGTTTAACCAGGTCATAATTGCAGGTGAAATCTTTCCCACAATCTTGACACTCATAGGGTTTTTCTCCTGTGTGTGTCCTCTGGTGTTTCACCAGGTAGGAATTCTGACTAAAACTTTCCCCACAATCACGACATTTATATGGTTTCTCTCCTGTGTGAATCCTCTGATGTTTCACCAGGTCACATTTCCACGAAAAATCTTTCCCACAATCAGGACACTCATATGGTTTCTCTCCTGTGTGAGTCCTCCTATGTTCCACCAGGTGGGAATTCCAACTGAAACTTTTCCCACAATCTGGGCACTCATATAGTTTCTTTTCTGTGTGAGTCCTCTTGTGTCTTACCATATTAGTGTGCTTGCTAAATCTTTTGCCAAATTCTGAGCACTGGTAGAATATCTCTCCAGTAAAGTTTTTGCCACAATCCAAACATTTGTATCACTTTTCATGGGTGGTTCATCTCATGCATAATCACCTGTTATCTACAACTTCTATTTCTCCCAGATTAGGCAGTCTGTGGGCCTTTTCAAATTCTTGAGCAGGCCAAAAATGTTTCTGAGCTCTTATTTGGTGGTTCTTTGCTTTAAGTCACTCTTTCCTTCATCATTAATTTATACCTGCCCATTTTGGCTATCCAAGGGTGCTTTTCCTTCCCATTCACTTCTAGTTATTTGCAATTTTTTATTTTGATATTATCCCCCTGGAGTTATCACGTAATGTTTCCTTGAGTTGCACGTATTTTTTCCAGGTCAAAACTTTGTTCTTGTTATTCTCTCCCTTGTCTCTCACCTGATGAGGAAGGAGAAGAGTTTTTACACTTTCTGGAGGAATTGGAAAAGATTTTGACTGATGGTTTGTTTTGCATTTTAATGCTGCTTCTCATTCTCTGCTGTCCAGAGTGTTCTTCATGGCATCCTCTTTATCTGTAAGATTCATATTAATGGATTAGTTTCTTTATTGTTTAAAAAATGGCTGCAGGACATGTGAAAGCAGCAAAAAAACCCTCTCATATATTACCATGAAAAGAACAATATTCTAGTTTCACCTCTAACATTATGATTCAATTGGAATATAGAAGACTAGCAAAATTAAAGTTCAAATATTGTTTCAATCAAAATTATCTTTCTGGCTTGGATAGATCACACATATATACACATATACAGAAATAGACACCTAAGAATGGATGTATTTCTGTGTACACATGCATGTGTTTATCAATTAGAATAAGTCTTTTAGCCCAACTCCCTGCTCAAACAGGAGACTCTATACTATTTCAGACAAGTTGCTGTCCAGTCTTTTCTTAAAAACTTCCTTTGATGAAGCACCCACAACTTCTGAAGGCAAAGCTATTCCACTGGTTAATTGTCCTCACTGGTAGGAAGCAGGGTGGATAAAAATCAATGGTTTTTAAAAAAAAAATTAAAAAAAACAGATTTTTTTGATTTAAATTGGATTTTTTTTATTTAAATTGGATTTATTTTAACAAAAAACTTTTGGGGTAAAAATCTATCGTAAGATAGTTTTCTATTTAAGATACATAAATAATTTAGTTTATTCAGCATGAAATGGAGCTTAGTTATGTAGCATGAGGCTGTATATTCTGCAACACTGGGACTATCGGTGAGTGGGTCAAAGGAGTAGCAGAGATGACAGTTGCTCTTTAGAAATTATGATTTAAATCGAGTTGATTTAAATCAAGCCTTTTTACTAGTGATTTAAATCATGATTTAAATCATGATTTAAATCAACTCGATTTAAATCAAATCCACCCTGGTAGGAAGTGTCTCCTCAATTCCAGGTTGCTTCTCTCCTTGATTGGTTTCCCTCCATTGCTTCTCGTCGCGTGTTCTGGTGCTTTGGCTAATAAATTGATCCCCTCCTCTTTGTGGCAGCCCCTCAAATACTGGAATACCGCTATCATGTCCCCACTAGACCTTCTTTTCTCAAGACTGGTCATACTCAAATCCTGCAAGTCTCCTTCATATGTTTTACTCTCCAGACCTTTTAATTTTAGTCTCTCCCATCTGCCAGAAGGAAATTACAGGCAGAAGTTTTAAATCATGCAGGATCACTGTAACAGCAGCTGGGGAGAGAAAGAATATTCAGTAGTAACCGACATATTTCAGCCCAGTTGCTTCACTGCTTCCAGGCCGTGGAGGAAACCAAAGAGCCCGACTTGCTCCCGGTTTCTCCTCCGACCTGCCTTCCACTCACCTTCCAGCTGCTGCTTCCACCCTGGGAAGAGCACGACTGCCACCTTTCTGGCCTCCATCCTCATCCATAGATGAGCCGGAAGAGGAAGTTCCTTTGCCCGTATTCTCTCCTTGACATCCTTTCTAGCAATACTCGATGGTTTTAACTCCATGTCACCTCTGCTGCTCTCCCTCCGTTTGGATATCCCAACAAAGCCATTAGCGATGCAGATTATATTGACGGTATTCTAAGGCCCTGGCGTTGTGTTAGAGCTCCTCCTAGTGGCGTGAGACTGAAAATACGCTTATTTTGTGGCTGGCGTTTCGAAGACTTTTTTCTTTTCTTTTCTTTTCTTTTCTTTTCTTTTCTTTTCTTTTCTTTTCTTTTCTTTTCTTTGTCATTATTATCTATGCCTCCCACTCTCCAAGGACTCTGGGCGGCTTACACCAAAGACAGTATACTAAATAGCATATTGCCTCCAATAATCTGGGTCCTCATTTTACCCACCTCGGAAGGATGGAAGGCTGAGTCAACCTTGAGCTGGTGTCAGTGGTGGGTTCCTCCGGTCGGTTCAGCCAAGCCGGTAGCGGTGATGATATGACGTCACCGAACCGGTTCTCACCGCCCCCCCACGGTATTCTTACCTTTTATTTGGTCCCACCCCCAATCTATTGCTGCCTCCTGAGTCCCAGCTGATGACTAGAGGGAAAAAACTGTTTAAACTCTTGCTGAGGGGCTTCAAAGGGCTGTCCTACAGCTGATCAGTGTTAAAAGCAAACAAATTAGTCAGGTCGTAAGTACGAGGACTGGTCGTAAGTGCGAGGACCTTTCAGAAATGACTCTGACCAGCTAGCCATGCCCACCTAGACACATGACCTCCAAGCCACACCCACAAAATAAGCCCCACCCACAGAACCGGTAGTAAAAAAATTTAGAACCCACCCCTGGCTGGTGTGATTTGATCTGCTGAACTAGCAGTCAGCTGAAGTAGCTGCAGTAATGCACTCTAACCACTGCGCCACCTTGGCTCTTTTCTTTTTTTAATGAAATGCCGTTTTCCAACTCTTAGCCATCATATCCATAACTTTTTTCCGGGACCATCTCTAGCCCTAGTCTGTCCTATCGGGTCTCGTAAGGGACGCTCTGATTGTTGCTCCAGCTGAGTCAGGAGCTTCATTTGAAAGATTTGGCCTGGCTAGGTGGTTCAGTGGCTAAGACACTGAGCTAGTCGATCAGAAAGGACGGCGGTTCAAATTCCTAGTATAGGTCTCCTGCGTGAGCAGGGGGTTGGACTAGATCAGGGGTCCCCAACCTTTCCGACCTCAGGGACCACTAAATTCATAATTTTAAATCCCACGAACCACTAATATGAATTTTTTAAAAGACCAATAGTATTTAATCAGGGGGTAGGTTCTAAATTTTTTTACTACCGGGTTTGTGGGTGTGGTTTATTTTGTGGGCGTGGCTTGGTGAGGGGGTAATGTGACTGGGTGGGCGCGGCCAACTTTTTTTTTTTACTTTTAAAAGCATCTTTTCTACAACCTTAAGAGGTTGCAGAAAAGAAAATGTTTTTAGATGCCTCTGATGATCCCAGCTGAGCCGTGAGATCATCAGAGCCTTTTTTTCTTAACTTTTAAAAGCACTTTTTACACTGAAGAGGTGGTAGAAAAAATGCTTTTAAAAGTAAAAAAAAAAAAAAAAGGCTGATGAGGTGGGCGGGGTAAGCGAGCGGTGACCGGTTTGAGGACATGGCCAGCCAATGTTATTACCGGTTCTCCGAACTACTACAAATTTTTACTACCGGGTTCTTGCGAACTGGTGCAAACCGGGAGCAACCCACCACTGTATTTAGTGCAATATAAAAATGCAAATAATTTTTCTGTGGACTACCAAAATTTCCTCACGGACCACCAGTGGTCCATGGACTAGATCAGCGGTCACCAACTGGTGGTCCATGGACCAGGGGTGGGTTCTACTTACCTTTACTACTGGTTTGCAATGGGGCCGCGTGCGCGCTCTTCTGTGCATGCGCAGAAGCATTCTGATGACATCAGGGTCGGTGGGCGGAGCCTCCCGCTGGTTTTACTACCGGTTCTATAGAACCGGTACGAACCGGAGGCAACCCACCACTGCCGTGGACCACTGGCGGTCCACAAGCAAATTTTGGTGATCCACAGAAAAATTATTTGCATTTTTTATATTGCACTAAATCAGGGGTCCTCAAACTACACCCCCTGGGCTGAATACATGCAATGAACATTTGTGTTGCTGCATAGAGTCTCGCCCCTTTGGGGTCTTGTGTGGTCAGAGGGGGGAAGAAATTCCGACTTGGGGTCTACTTCAGCCTCCTGGTGTGGGGCTTTGGATGAAGGCTGGAGAGAAGTGCCTCTGGTGGCGAAGAGCTGGAGGGCCTTGTTCCAGTGGGACTGCATCATGGCCTGGAACTGGCTAGCCCGCTGAGCCTCCAGGCGCCGACACCTGGTCTTGCACTCCCGCAGGTCTTCCCTCTGCTTGGAAAGCCTATGCTCATAGTCCTCAGTGAGGTGCTTCTACTGAGCCTCCTTCTCAAGTCAGATCCAATTTGAACTGAGCTATTTTGCCAACTTTTTTTTCGTGGTGGCTGCTTAGCTCCAACAACTGCTTCCTGTTGGGGCCCTAAGAAGCCCAGGTGGGGAGGCGAGGAGGGGCAAGTAGAGGCCAGCAAGGCACCCCTCAACGTAACATCAAGTTGACTATCCCCATCCAGTCACATGATCATCTCACCACGCCCACCCAGCCAGTCATTAGGCAGATCATATTAGTGGTCCGTGGGATTTGAAATTATGAATTTAGTGGTCCCTGAGGTCCAAAAGGTTGGTGACCCCTGGACTAGATGACCTCCAAGGTCCCTCCCAACTCTGTTACTGTTATTATTAAGAGCTAAACTGAGGAAAAGCATCTGTTGGGGGGGAGCACAATGTACCATTGGGCAACAAGAATGGGCACCTCCCTTGAGGATCAGTGAAGACTCTTCCAGCCAGTTCTCTCTCTTGGGGGTGCAGGATAACTCCCTGAAACTATCTTTGCAAGTGAGGGAAGCCTGAAGAGTGTAGCTTCACCCTACTTACTTTCATAAGAGTAGCCAGGTGCTGCATCATAAAAGTTGATAAAGGTCTTGTTTGTATGTGCAGCCTTAAACAATTGCCAGCTTCATCCCATTAATAAAATGAAATAAAGGACAAAATCTTGAAGTTCCCACCTACATTGCTTCCAAATACATCTAGACAGGAGATATTATTTTTCCTTCTGCACTAGAGGGCAGAATTCCTCTGAGCAACCTTCCCAATTTCCAGAGGAGTTAAGATTCCAGCATTGAATATTCTCAGGCAGCTTGCGGAAAAACATTTGGAGGGTGCTAGTTTGAAGAAAGCTGATTTAAAGAGTCCTGGTTTAAGCAGTCGCCTCTCAATTCCTCTCCCAGCCTCAGAAAGGAGACCACCCACATCCCCATAGCTCTCGCCTGCTGGCCTGGAACTCCTACCTCTTCCCACACAACAATCACAAGAGGTCCTCACTTAATGACCCACAGGGTCCTAGAGTTGCAATGTCAACTGGAACTGTCCAGCTCGTCCTCAGCAAGCAACGTGGTTTAACATCTACATGAAACTGCTAGGGGAGGTCATCCATCCTGTGATGTTCCAATTAGGTACAGGCTAGCGCTCGATTTACAACACTTCGTTTAGTGACCATTTGAAGTTACAACGGCATTGACAAAAATGACGTGACCATTTTTCACACTCAAAGACCAATGCAGCATGCCCATGGTCATTTGTTCAAAATTGAGATGCTTGACAAGAGGGAGGCCTTGTACATGTGACACTCGTGCCTTGCTCACCTCCTGTGGATCCCTGCCCACCCAGAAACTTCAACTGGTCCAGAACGCAGTAGCAGCAGCAGCAGCACACACAGTAATGGGAGTCCCTAGATTGCCCATCTATCAGTTTGGTTGTGCGAGATCCGCTGGATTCATTTCTCTACAAGTGCAACTGAAGATGTTGGTCATCGACTTTAAAGTTATTTATTATAGAAATAGCGCTTAGAACAGAGTTTCTCAACCCTGGCAACTTTCAGATGTATGGACTTCAACTCCTAGAATTCCCCAGCTAGCACGGTTGGCTGGGGAATTCTGGGAGTTGAAGTCCATGCATCTGAAAGTTTCCAACGTTAAGAAACTCTGGCTACCACCCCACAGTGTTTTATAGCACTTTCAGTTTATTGGCCCCAACAATTTGGCTCATTTTATCAATCACTGAAGGACGGAAGGCTGAGCAAACCTTGAGGCCCGTCACGATCAAACTCCAGGCTGTGGGCAGAATCAGCCAGCAATACTGCATTGTAACCACTAAGTCACCAGGGCACCTGTCATTATTGTCCCACCTTTATTATTTTTGCATCTATCTCTTTTACCAGGTCAGATAGGGTGAGCACGCTGCTAGCCTCTTCCTTTAAATATTCCTATTGGATAGTGAGTCATTTCCATTGCAGACACTGCATCAGAAGCTTGATTTGGAGCCAGCTGTTTTTACTTATTAAATTTATATGCCGCTAATCCTGAAGTGAACTTCTCCAACTTAACCCCAGCGAGGTGAAAAAAATAACCAGTTCTGAGCAAGAATGGCACCAGGCACAAACGTAATTAGTAAGGTAAGTAAATTTATAAATTGAACAAAAGCAAGAGTCACCTTTTTGGAATCTTCAGATAATCAAATTGCCATCAACCTTGCTAGAAGTGCCCTGTATTTGCAGGGCAAGTATATTTTAAATGTGGAGGCTTTGCATTTTGCCATTTGCTATATATGAGGATTTACTGGTTTCTCTATTAAGGTTTTATTGCTGTAAATCGTGTGGAATCATACGAGTTAGGCTGCTATATACATTTTCTTAGTAAGTAAAAATACATACATTTATTTTATATATATATATATATGATATAGTTTATATCCCCCTTTATTATATATAGAAATAACTCAAGGCAGCAAACATAATTTCTAGAGCCAATTTCGTATTTTTGTCCAAAACTTTTTTGTCTCGGGGCAAGACCACCACATATGAAAGAAGGTGCCAACCTCCTTTCCACACTTCCAACATATCGCTGAAGCACTGGGAAATATTTTTGCTAATCTAGCAAACATAATTTCTAGAGATCCATATTCGCTTTTGCTCGCCCAGCAAAGGAGTACCCCTCAACCACACTGGACCAGAGAAATGAAGCTCAGCTAAAACATATGAAGAATAGTTGCAAGAACTGGGAATGTTTAGTCTAGTGAAGAGAAGGACCAGTGGTGACATGATAGAAGTCTTCCAATATGTGAGGGGCTGTCACAGACAGGAGAGGAACAACCTATTTTCCAATGGAAGAGCTTGCCTTCAGTAGTTATGGTTGCTACATCACCGGATGTTTTCAAGAAGAGACGCGACTGCCACGTGTCAGAAATGGTATAGGGCAGTGATGGCTAATCTTTTTGTCGACAGCACGCACGTGTGCCAGCACCCATAAGGCAATGCACACATGCCCCACACTCCCCCTGCACATGCGGGCACGACCCTCCCGTGCCCCTCCGCCCATGCACACATGAGCCCCCACACTTCTCCACCACCCGCCCCCCATTTTGGGCCTAGTGGGCCTCCCTGCAGCCTCCCAAGACCAAAAATGGGCCGTGGGGGGGGCACACCGCTCTCCCCTGCGCCCTGTTTTGGGCCTAGTAGACCTACCTGCAGCCTCCTGGGAACAAAAACGGGGCGTGGGGGGATGTGCAACACCCCCCCCCACGGGCACGTCACCTCAACAATTGTGTGCGTGTCTCCCCCATGCGCCCCGCCCCCTGCACATCTCAAAAATCAGCTGGCCGGTGGGAGGCGTGCACGTATGCATGGTTGAACTGAGCTGCGTGATGGCTTGCATGCCCGCAGAGGGCTCTGCGTGCCAGCTGTGGCACACGTGCCATAGGTTAGCCATCACAGGCATATAGATGACAAAGTCCCTTCCAACTTTATTATTCTATTCTATTCTATTCTATTCTATTCTATTCTATTCTATTCTATTCTATTCTATTCTATTCTATTCTATTCTATTCTATTCTATTCTATTCTATTCTATTCTATTCTATTCTATTCTTAGTCTAGTCTAGTCCTCACTCATTTTTGATACGAAGACAAATTTCACTAAAAAGAAACACATAAGTAATTATTGTTCAATGGGGCTTCCAATGAGAGACAAGAAATGAAAATCAAATTTTGCCTCACTTGGAATTTCTTGTGTGATAAGGGAGGAACTTTGTGTGGGAGGAACACTGCCCACAATCTGGGCATTTGAATGGTTACTCCCCTATGTGTAACCTTACATGATTTATAAGGGTAGACATATAACGGAAATCTTTCCCACAATCCGGACATTCATACGGTTTCTCTCCTGTGTGACTCCTCAAGTGTATCATCAAATGGGAATTCCGACTGAAACTTTTCCCACATTCAAGACACTTATACGGTTTTTCTCCTGTGTGAATCCTCTGGTGTTTCACCAAGTAGGAATTCTGATTGAAACTTTTCCCACAATCTGGACACTGATATGGTTTTTCTCCTGTGTGAGTTTTCTGGTGTATAACTCGGTTGCAATTCTGACTGAAAGTTTTCCCACAATACAGACACTCATATGGTTTCTCTCCCGTGTGAGTTCTCTGGTGTCTTAACAGCTTGGAATTCCGAGGGAAGCATTTCCCACAATCAGGACACTCATACAGTCTCTCTCCTCTATGAGTCTTCTGGTGCTTCACCAATTCAGATTTAATAGTGAAACTTTCCTGACATTCTGGACATTCGTACAGTTTCTCTCCTGTGTGTGTCTTCTGGTGTATCACTAGGTAGGAATTCTGACTGAAACATTTCCCACACTCTGGACACTCATACTGTTTCTCTGCCATGTGAGTTTTCATGTGTTTCACCAGATAGGAATTCTGACTGAAACTTTTGCCACAATCATGACATTTATATGGTTTCTCTCCTGTGTGAGTCATTTGGTGTTTCACCAGGTAGGAATTGTGACTGAAACTTTTCCCACAATCAGGACATTTATATGGTTTCTCTTTTGTGTGAGTCCTCTGATGATTCACCAGGTTAAATTTCTGAGGGAAATCTTTCCCACAATCAGGACACTCATATGGTCTCTCTCCTGTGTGAGTCCTCTGATGTTTCACCAGGTTAAATTTCTGAGGGAAATCTTTCCCACAATCAGGACACTCATATGGTCTCTCTCCTGTGTGAGTCCTCTGATGCTTCACCAGATTAAATTTCCGAGAGAAATCTTTCCCACAATCAGGACACTTATATGGTCTCTCTCTTGTGTGAGTCCTCTGATGTTCTACCAGGAGAGAATTGCAAGTAAAACCTTTCCCACAATCTTGGCACTGATATAGATTTTCTCCTTTGTGAGTCATCTGGTGTATCTTCATGTGACAAATCCAAATGAAACGTTTTCCACAGTCGGAACACTTATATGGTTTCTCTTGCATGTGAGTCCTCTGGTGTATCATCAGATCATAATTCTGTGTGAATCTTTCCCCACAATCAGGGCATTCAAAGTTTGTCTCCCCAGTCTGAGTCCTCTTCTGTCTCACCACATTGGTGTTCATGTTTAATATTTTGTTGTATTGGCAGCACTAATAGATTTTCTCTCCGATATGGGTCATTCAATGAATCTTGAGGAAGCTTTTCTGAGTAAAGGCTTTTGCCACACTCTAAACGTTTATATCATTTTTCACTGGATGGATCTTCTCATGCATAATCAGGGTTTTTTCCAAAACTGATATTTTTGGATTCTTGAAGAGGCAAAAAATATTTGTGATCCCTTACTTGGAGGTTCTTTGATTCTTTTTTTTTTTTTTTTTTGGCTTTAATTTATATGCCGCCCTTCTCCAGAGACTCAGGGCGGCTTACAATGCATTAAGCAATAGCCTTCATACTTTTGTATGTTTTATACAAACTCAGCTTATTGCCCCCACAATCTGGGTCCTCATTTTACCTACCTTTGAAAGGATGGAAGGCTGAGTCAACCCTGAGCCTGGTGAGATTTGAACTTGCAGTAACTGCAAGCAGCAGATGTTAATAACAGTGTGCTTTAGTCCACTGTACTACCAAGGCTCCTAGCCATTATTTCCTTTACCAAAGGCTTTAATTAATGCCTGCCCATTTTGGCTATCCAAGTGACATTTTTCTTCCCACAGATTTCCAGGTATTTCCCTCTTTTTCCTTATTTGGAAATTATCCTCCTTGACTTTTCATGTAATATTTTCTTGAGTTCCAGATCCTGTATTTATTTCCAAGTAAAAAAATTCTTGATTTTATTCTCTCCCTTGTCTCTCATCTGCTGAGGAAAGAGGTGAGTTTTTACCATTTGCAGAGGAAGTGGGAAAGATTTTGATTGATGGCTTGTTTTACATTGTAATACTGCTTCTCATTCTCTGTTGTCCAAAGTGCTCTTCTTGGCATCCCCTTTATCTGTAAGATACATATTAATGAATTAAGTTTCATTATTGTTTAAACATTAGTACAGTACATGAGAAAGCAGCAAAAATACCCCATACATTTACATGAAAAAACAAATATCAAAATTGTGGTTTAATCTCATAAAATTCTCTTTTTGGCTTAGATAAATCACATAAGTATGCATGCATATTCATGCAGACATAAAGACTCATGAATTTATGTTTGTAGAAAATGGACGTATATTTATTTCAGTGTGCAAAATCTTCCCAAAGTGCATTCGCTCAAAATTTTATCTAAATTTAGAAAGATGCAGACAATAATGGATGAAATGGTGCCCAAATCCTATGCAAGGTGTAAAACACCTCTTTTGCCCATGAAACTCCTCACTTTCCATCAAAACAACTTGTCAAAAATATCACAAGGAATCAAGTGTTACGTGAAGGATGAGGGAACTGGGCTATTAAGAAATATGAAAACTAAAGAAAGTGTCCTAAATCTCCCAGCAGAAAATCACAGGCAGTTGTTTCAAACCATAGAGCATAAGGATAACAGCATCTGGGGAGAGAAAGAATATGCAGCAGCAGCAGCCCCCATGTTTCAGATTTGTCCCTTCGCTGCTTCTACCTACAACATGGAGGAACCCAAAGGGCCCGACTTCTCCTCCGGCTTCTCCTCCGACCTTCCCTCCACTCACCTCCCAGGAGCCGCTTCCACCCTCCAAGCAGCACAAGAGGCTCCGCCGACGCCATTATCCTCCCGTGGGTGACCCGGAAGACGAAGTTACTCTGCCCTTCGCCTCTTCTCCACATCCTCTCTGGCAATCCAATACTCTATCGTTTCAACTCGTTCCAGCCAAGCCTCTCCCAGTTCCCTAGAATAGTTCGGCCGCCGCTGCAGCATACCTACTTTCTTAGCGGAAGTGTTGCTTCTTTGTAGAGCGCCATCTAGCGACACAAGGCGGAAGAACATGCTCGTTCTACCCTAATGCAGGGGTGGGCAAATATGGCCCCTTTATGACCTGTGGACTTCAACTCCCAGAATTCCTGAGCCAGCTTGGCTGTCTCAGGAATACTGGGAGTTGAAGTCCACAGGTTCTAAAAGGGCCACAGTTGTCCACCCGTCCTAAGGCGTTTGAAGATGATCTCATTGGTTCCCTCCTATTCGACTCCCACCGAGCTCATCGATAGCTTTTCTCCCTGAAGATCCACCCCCCCCAAAAAAACTTTTATTTCAGCCCCCCCCCCCCCCCAAAAGGGTGTCCACTGTCCCTGGAGCTGCGACCGAAGCTTCGTTTGCCAGAAACGGCAACTAAACCAAAAGAAAGTTTCCTTTCCATCTGTATATTAAGGGGTGTGGGGGGAATGACGTGCAAATTGGAAAGGAGAAAGGATGCCCTTGGATCCAGGCACTTTTTCCTCGTGGGTGGGGCCCAGGATAACTGCTCGAAACTTGCCTCTGAAACTTAACGAAGCTGTAAGAATGAAGCTTGACCCCTTGTCTCTGTTGGGTGGTTGTTGTTTTTTTTGCCCATGAAATTCCTCACTTGCCAGGAAAACAACATGTCAATAAAGTCACAAGGAATCAAGAAGACTGAGGGAGATGGGCGGTTAGGCAATATGAAAAATAAAGGCAATATGAAAAAAAAATCTCCCAAATCTCAAAATTCAGATTAAGAGCCGGAAGGGTCTTTATAGCTCTTTTAGCCCAATCCCCTACCCAAGCAAGAGACCCCCCCTATCATTTTAGACAAGTGGCTGTCCCGGTTCTTCTTAAAAACCCCCAATGATGAAGCACCCACAACTTCTGAATTCAAGCTGTTCCACTGATTTAATTGTTCTCTCTATTAGAAGTTTCTCCTTAATTCCAGAATCCTTCTCTCCTTGATTTCTTTCCCAACAATTGCTTCTTGTCTCATCTTCTGGTGGTTTGGAAAATAAACTGACCCTCTTCTCTTTATGGCAGCCCCTCAAATACTGGAATACTGCTTTCATGTCCTCCCTGGTCCTTCTTTTTTCTAGAGAAGCCATACCAATATTCCGCAACCTTTCTTCATGTTTTTGTCTCATACCCTTTAGATTTTGGTCTCTCCCATCTCGCAGCAGAATTACAGGTAGAAGTTTAAAATTATGCAACATAAATGTAATAACAGTTGGGAAGAGAAGGAATATGCAGCAGCAGACTACATAGTTCAGCCTTGTTCCTTCGCTGCTTCTACTCAATAGAGGAAACCAAATGGACCTACTCACTGTTCTCACTGTCAGAAAGTTCCTCCTCATTTCTAGGTTGAATCTCTCCTCGGTCAGTTTCCATCATTCCTTGTCTGGCCTTCAGGTGCTTTGGAAAACAGCTTGACCCCCTCCTCTCTGTAGCAGCCCCTCAAATATTGGAAGACTGCTATCATGTCTCCTCTCTGTCCTTCTCTTCACTAGACTAGCCATGCCCAGTTCATGTAAGCGTTCTTCATATGTTTTAGTCTCCAGTTCCCTAATAATCCTGGTTGCTCTCCTCTGCACGAGTCTCAACATCTATTTTATAGTGTGACCAAAACTGGATACAGTACTCTAGTTGTGAGAACTGAGACTTGCCCATACTGCTTTCCCAAGCTCAGGATAGGTCTGAAAGAGTCATTTCCCCCCATCTGGATAGTTGGCATCCTGGCAGGCTATATACCTCCAACAGCAGTTTCCTATGCATAAGGAAATGATTAAAGGTTTTCCTAGCAGAGGAATTCAAGTCATTGCTAAGATTAAGATATTTTGTAGTGTATCTGAAGAGGGCAATTAAAGGTTGGCAGCCTGGGACTTCACCTTATCCTCTGCTTCCAGCTCTGACTTTGCCACCAGGAGAAAAGGCTGTGCAGGAGAAAGACAACTGGGCCCTTCTTGGTCTTGGTTCAAGGCGGGGTATATTGGTTGCGATTCTCATGGATTTCTGGAGGGCTTGGAATAGACGGGCTACAACTATTATGTCCCTCCTAGACCTCTCATCAGGTTTCAATAACAATGAACATGATATCTTTCTGGACTGGTTTTAGGGACTGGAAATGGGAGGTACTTTTATTATGGCAGTTGTACTTCTATCTCCATGCCCACTTCTAGTCAGTGTGTGTAAGAGAAGAGAGGCAGTCTCTTGGCCCCTGGAATTTGGGGTGCCCTGGGGATCAAGCCTTTTGCTCTTTTTAAACATGAAATCACTAGGGGTGGCTATCCATCCTGATACCCAATTATGTACATGTAGTCCTGGACTAATAACATTTCATTTAGCCACCATTTGAGGTTACAATAGCACTGAAAGAAGTGACTTTTGACCAATTTTCACACAACCATTGTTACATAATCTAAATTCAGAAGGTTGGCAATTGACTTATATTTGTGGCAGGTGCAGTGTCCCGGGGTCATGTGATCACCTTTTGTGACTGAGCTGCTGCACAACCTGGATGTCAACCCTGAATAGAATAGAATTCTTTATTGGCCAAGTGTGATTGGACACACAAGGAATTTGTCTTGGTGCATATGCTCTCAGTGTACATCATCAAGAATCATAAGGTACAACACTTAATGATAGTCATAGGTACAAGTTGTTGGCTGAACTCTGGCCATTTTATTTTTTGTAGTTTTTAGGGAGGGTTCTTTTCTCACTGCTTCAGGGCTGACAGAGACTGGAGTGAAGGGGCCGGGGAGGGGGGTAGAGATTAGCTGGGGTGTTGTAGCCTAAATAAAATTCTTTCCCCTGGAAATCAAGGACGTTCGTGCAGGCATCCGCAAGTTGGAGACTGTGATCATCTAGCAATTGGGTTGTATGCTGATTGGATCATGTGACTGGGGGAAGTGATGAAATTTTACTTTTAATTGGGGGGAAAAACCAGCACCAATTTAGAGCTGGTTTTACACTAGGAATATACCAATTTTATATGTCCTAATAAAATGTCCTTTGAGGAACCTGCCTGCCTCAGAGTTCTTATTGAATAGGATGTATTACTTGGAACCCTGACATTAAACTGACTCCCAAACCCTTAAAGCTCCAGATCTGGAGCTGCTGTCTGGGGTCTTGAGCTCCGGCTGCTTACCTGGTCTACCTGGGCAGCGGAAAAGACTCAGGGAAGATGAAGAAACTGGAGAAGCAACAGGTGCCAACGGGGCAAGCGGGGGAATTGTGCAGAGCCTTATCTACCCCTCAACACCCAAGTGAACAGCCGCAGCCACGGGATGTATTACTTGGAACCTTGACACTGGGGTCCTCTGGACTCACGGCTCCTACTTGAGATCGTGACCAGGGAAGGAGCTTTGCAGAGATTTATCTATTGCACCAAATGTGCCCTTTAGTGGAAAGGGAGGCCTTGCATATGGTTCACTCATAACTTGGTCACCTATTTGGATTACTAGCCTGGGCCATCCAGAAACTTCAACTGGTAGAGAAAGCAGCAGCGCACACAGTAATCGGGGGCCCTAGGTTGCCCATGTGGCATCTTTGTGGTGCGAGCTCCACTGGATTCACTTAATGTGCAGTTCAACATGCTGGTCATCACCTTTAAAGCTATTTCTTTCATAGCACTTATAATTATGTAACACCCCACAGTGCTTTATACCACTCTCGGTTTAGTGTCAGAATATGGTCTCCAACAATCCTGTCCTCACTTTACAGATCTCAAAAGGATGGAAGGCTGAGACAACCTTGAGCCCCGTCAGGATCGAACTCCAGGCTGTGGGCGGAGTCAGCCAGCAATAATACTGCATTGTAACCACCGAGTCCCCAGAACACCTGTCTGTTCCGAGTCCCCAGAACATTACTGTCCCACCTTTATTATTTTTGCATCTATCTGTTCTACCAGGTCAGATAGGGTGGGCACGCTCCTTCCCTTAAATATTCCTACTGGATAGTGAGTTGTTTCCATTGCAGGCCCTGCATCAGAAGCCTGATTAGGAACCAGGTGTTTGTATTTATTAAATTTTATGTCTCTAATCCTAAAGTGAAGTTCTCCAATTTAACTCTTTGCGAGGTGAAAAATAACCAATTTTGAGCAAGAGTGGCAACTCACACGAACATAATTAGTAAGGCCAAGAGGCCTTTTTAACATATAAATTGAACAAAAGGAAGAATCACCTTTTTGGGATTCTCAGACCATCAAATTGCCATCAACCTTGCTAGAAGTGCCCTGTACTTGCAGGGCAAGTGTATTTTAAATGTGGAGGCTTTGCATTTTGCCATTTTCTATATATGGGATTTACTGGTTTCTCTATTAAGGTTTTATTGCTGTAAACCGTGTGGAGTCATATAAGTTGGGCTACTATATACATTTTCTTACTAAGTAAAATTACATACATGCATAGTTTATATCCCTGTTTATTATATACAGAAATAACTCAAGGCAGCAAACATACTTCCTACAGATCCAAACTCACTTTCTCTCTCCCACCAAAGGAGTTCCCAGATTAGAGACCTGCAGGCTAAAACATATGAAGAATGGTTACAAGAAGTGGCCATGGCTACTCTAGTGAAGAGAAGGACCAGCAGTGACATGATAGCAGTCTTCCAATATGTGAGGGGCTGTCACTGGGGGGGGGGGAGCAACCTATTTTTATTTATTTATTTATTTATTTATTTGTTTATTTATTTATTTATTTATTGATTGAATTAATTAATTTATATACCGCCCTTCTCCCAAAGGGACTCAGGGCAGTGTACAGCCAACATAAAACACACAAATATAAAATTTAAAAACAGTTTAAAAATATTAAATAGTTTGGCCCATATCTAATTAAAATAAAGCTACCCAATTTAGACATTTAAAATTAAGAATTAACGATTAAAAAAATTAAAATTAGGCCAGGCCAGCTTGTTGAAATAAAAGCATCTTGAGGGCCCGGCGGAAGGTACGTAAGTTGGGAATCCTCTGTATCTCGGGGGGCAATTCGTTCCAGAGGCTAGGAGCCCCCACAGAAAAGGCTCTCCCCCTGGGGGTCGCCAGCCGACATTGCTTGGCCGAAGGCACCCGGAGGAGCCCCTCTCTGTGGGAGCGAATTGGTCGGTGGGAGGCTATTGGTAGCAGCAGGCGGTCTTGTAAGTACCCAGGTCCTAAGCCATGGAGCGCTCTGAAGGTGGTAACCAACACCTTGAATCGCACCCGGAGGACTACCGGGAGCCAGTGCAGCTCGCGCAGGAGAGGTGTTACATGAGAGCGCCATGACGCTCCCATAACCACCCGCGCGGTCGCATTCTGGACCAGTTGGAGCCTCCGGGTGTTCCTCAAGGGGAGCCCCATGTAGACAGCATTACAATAGTCCAGGCGGGAACTATTTCCAAAACACCCAAAGCCAGACATGGAAGAATGGATAAAAACTGATCAAGGAAAGATTCAAACTAGAAATAAGGAGAAATTTTCTACAGTGAGAACAATCAACCAATGGAACAGCTTGCCTTCAGTAGTTGTGGATGCTTCATCACTGGAAGTTTTCAAGAAGAGACTCAATCAAGTGTCATAAATGGTATAGGGTCTCCTCCTGGAGCAATGGGTTGGATTAGATGACCAATCCACTGCTGGGTTGGAATAGGGACAAAATCCCCTCCAACTTTATTATTTTATTCTATGCTATCCCTCACTCATTTTTGATACTAAGACAAGTTTCACTAAAAAGAACAAGTAATTAAATGTTCAGCTGGGCTTACAATGAGAGACAAGAAATGAGATTCAATATTACTCAACACAAAGCAAATTTTGTGTAATAAGGGAGGAACTTTGTGCGAAACACTGTCCACAATGTGGGCATTAGCAAGTTTACTCCCCTATATGTAACCTTACATGATTTATAAGGCTAGTTCTAGTTCTGAAATCTTTCCCACAATCCGGACATTCATATGGTTTCTCTCCTGTGTGAGTCCTCCAGTGTATCACCAAATGGGAATTCCGACTGAAAGTTTTCCCACATTCAAGACACTTATACGGTTTTTCTCCACTGTGAATCCTCTGGTGTTTCACCAAGTAGGAATTCTGATTGAAACTTTTCCCACAATCTGGACACCGATATGGTTTTTCTCCTGTGTGAGTTTTCTGGTGCATCAGCCGGTTAGAATTCTGACTGAAAGTTTTTCCACAATACAGACACTCATATGGTTTCTCTCCCGTGTGAGTTCTCTGGTGTCTTAACAGCTTGGAATTCCGAGGGAAGCATTTCCCACAATCAGGACACTTGTACAGTTTCTCTCCTCTATGAGTCTTCTGATGCTTCACCAATTCAGATTTAATACTGAAACTTTCCTGACATTCTGGACATTCGTACAGTTTCTCTCCTGTGTGAGTCTTCTGGTGTATCACCAGGTGGAAATTCCAACTGAATCTTTTCCCACAATCCAGGCACTCATATGGTTTTTCTCCTGTGTGAGTATTCTGATGTTGCACCAGGTTGGCAGTCTGACTGAAACTTTTCCCACAAAACAGACACTCGTATAATTTTTCTCCTCCGTGAGTCCTTTGATGTATCACCAGATCAGAATTCCGAGGGAAACTTTTACCACAATCCACACACTGATACCGTTTGTCCTCGGTGTGAATAGCCTCGTGTACCATCAGGTGAGAATTCTGATGGAAACTTTCCCCACAATCAGTACACTTATATGGTTTCTCTCCTGTGTGAGTCCTCTGGTGTTTCACCAGGTAGGAATTCTGACTGAAACTTTTCCTACACTCTGAACATTCATAGAGTTTCTCAGCCATGTGAGTTTTCTGGTGTTTCATTAGGTAGGAATTCTGACTGAAACTTTTCCCACAATCATGACATTTATATGGTTTCTCTCCTGTGTGAATCCTTTGGTGTTTCACCAGGTAGGAATTCTGACTGAAACATTTCCCACAATCACATTTATATGGTTTCTCTCCTGTGTGAGTCCTCTGATGTATCACTAGGTTGGAACTGCAACTGAATCCTTTCCCACAATCTGAACACTCATACCCTTTCTCTTCCGTATGAATCCTCTGGTGTATTACCAGGTCACATTTCTGAGTGAAACTTTTCCCACAATCTGCACACTTATATGGTTTCTCTCCAGTGTGAATCCTGTGATGTCGCACAAGGTTGGAATTTTGAATGAAACTTTTCCCACACTGCAGGCACTCGTAAGATTTTTCACCTGTGTGAATCTTTTGGTGTGTTACTAGATAAGAATTGCACTTGTAAGCTTTTCCACAATCTGAACACTCATATGATTTCTCTTGCGTGTGACTCCTCTGGTGTTTCACCAGGTAGGAATTGTAAGTGAAACTTTTCCCACAATCAGGACAGTTATATGGTTTCTCTCCTGTGTGAGTCCTCTGGTGTTTCACCAGGTAGGAATTGTGAGTGAAACTTTTCCCACAATCAGGACAGTTATATGGTTTCTCTCCTGTGTGAGTCCTCTGATGTTTCACTAGGGCGGAATTGCAATTGAAATCTTTCCCACAATCTGAACACTCATACAGTTTCTCTCCTGTATGAGTCCTCTGGTGTTTCACCAAGTAGGAATTCTGACTGAAACTTTCCCCGCAGTCACGACATTTGTATGGTTTCTCTCCTGTGTGAGTCCTTTGATGTTTCACCAGGTCAGATTTCCGACTGAAATCTTTCCCACAATCAGGACACTCATAGGGTTTTTCTCCTGTGTGAATCCTCTGATGTTCCACCAGGAGAGAATTCCAATTGAAACCTTTTCCACAATCTTGGCACTGATATTTATTTTCTCCTTTGTGAGTCCCCCGGTGTATCTTCAGGCGACAGATCCAATTGAAACTTTTTCCACATTCGGAACATTTATATGGTTTCTCTGCCCTGTGAGACATCTGGTGTATCACCAGATCAGAATTCCGTGTGAAAATTTTCCCACAAACCGGGCATTCAAAGTTTGTGTCCCCAGTCTGAGTCCTCTTGTGTCTCACCACATTGGTGTTCATGGTTAATCTTTTATCACACTAGAAGCACTGATAGTTTCCCTCCAGTTTGGGTCATTCAATGAATCATGAGGAAGTTTTTCAAATAAAGCATTGGCCACACTCTAAATATTTGTATCATTTTTCAGTGGGTGGATCCTTTTCTGCATAATCAGCTGTGATCAGCAAGCTGTGTTTTTTCACAATAGGCAGTCTGTGGGTTTTTCACAACACTGATATTCTTGGATTCTTGAGGAAGCAAAAATATTTGGGATCCCTTACTTGGAGGTTCTTTGATTCAAGCCATTATTTCCTTCCTCAAAGGCTTTAATTAATGCCTGTCCATTTTGGCTATCCAGGGGATACTTTTATACTGACTTCCAGGTATTTCTCTCTTTTTCCTTATTTGGAAATTATCCTCCTTGACTTTTCATGTAATATTTTCTTGAATTCCAGATACTGTATTTATTTCCAGGTGAAAAAATTCTTGATTTAATTCTCTCCTTTGTCTTTCATCTGCTGAGGAAGGAGGAGTTTTTACAATTTGCAGAGGGGGTGGAAAAGATTTTGATTGATGACTTGTTTTACATTTTAATGCTGCTTCTCATTCTCTGTTGTCCAAAGTGCTCTTCTTGGCATCTTCTTTATCTGTAAAATATATATTAATCCATTAAGTTTCATTATTGTTTAAAAATTAGTGCAATACATGAGAAAGCAGCAAAAATGCCCCATACATTTGCATAAAAAAAACAAACACCAAAATTTTAGTTTAATATTATAAAATTCTCTTTTTGGCTTGGATAGATCACACAAATACACACGCATATTCATGCAGAAATAAAGACCTATGAATTTATGTTTGTAGACAATGCACGTATATTTATTTCAGTGTGCAAAATGTTCCCAAAGTGCATTTGCTCAAGTTTTATCTAAGTTTAGAAAGACGCAGGCACTAAGGGATGAAATGGTGCCCAAATCCTATGCAAGGTGTAAAATATCTCTTTTGCCCATGAAACGCCTCACTTTCCATCAAAACAACATGTCAACAATATCACAAGAAATCGATAAAACCGATAAAATTAGGAAGGAAATTCTTTGAAGAATTAAATAAAGTAATATTAACAAAATTTGGGGAGGGAAGGAATATGCAGCAGCAGCCGCTACGTTTCACCCTCGTTGCTTCCTCCCCCGTGGAGGAACCCAAAGGGCCCGGCTTGCTCCCGGCTTCTCCTCCGACCTTCCCTCCACTCACCTCCCAGGAGCCGCTTCGACCCCTTGAAACAGCACAAGAGGAACCAGCGACGCCATCTTCCTCCCCGTGGGTCAGCCGGAAGAGGAAGTTTTTCTGCTCGTCGCCTCCACATCTTCTCTAGCAATACAATGCTCTATGGTTTCAACTCGTTCCAGCCCAACCTCTCCCCCTTCCCTAGAAAAGCTCTGCCGCCATTGCTTCGTAGACGGGAGTCTTGCCTGTCTGGCGCCATCTAGCGACACAAGGCGGAAGGACATGCTCGTTCTACCCTAAGGCGTTTGAAGATGTTCTCATTGATTCCGTGCTTCCTTAAGTGCCATCAAGTCCTATTTGACTTCCAAGGAGCTCATCGATAGCTTTTCTCCCTGAGGCTCCATCCCCAAACCTTTTCTTTCAGGTCCCCCAAGAGGGAACTCCTTGTCTGTGAGCCTGACGTTTCGTTTTTTGTTTTTTTTAAATTTGATTTATATGCCGCCCTTCTCCGGAGACTCAGGGCGGCTTACAATGCGTTAAGCAACAGCCTTCATACTTTTGTATATTTATACAAAGTCAGCTTATTGCCCCCACAAACTGGGTCCTCATTTCACCTACCTTAGAAAGGATGGAAGGCTGAGTCAACCTTGAGCCTTGGAGAGATTCGAACCAGCAGTTTGTCAGAAACGGCAACTAAACCAAAGGAAAGTTGCCTTTCCATGTGTCGGTGGGGTGGGGTGGGGGAATGATGTACAAATTGGAAAGGAGAAAGGATGCCCTTGCATCAAGGCACTTTTTCCTCGTAGGGGTGGGGGGGGGCAAGATAACTCCTCGAAACCTGCCTCTGCAACTTAACAAAGCTTTAAATATGAAGCTTCACCCCATGTCTCTGCTGGGATTTTTTTTTTTTTTTTGCCCATGAAATTCCTCACTTGCTAGGAAAACAACATGTCAATAAAGTCACAAGGAATCAAGAAGACTGAAGGAAATGGGCCCTTAATCAGTATGAAAAATAAAGATTTTTTTTCTAATCTCCCAAATCTCAAATTCAGAATAGAGTGGAAAGGTCTCTATAGGTCTTCTAGCCCGACAACCTGCTAAAGCAAGAGACCCCCTACCATTTCAGCCAAGTGGCTGTTTCTTCTTAAAAAGTGATGAAGCACCCACAACGTCTGAAGACAAGCCCTTCCTCTGGTTAATTGTTCTCTCTATTAGAAGTTTCTCCTTAATTCCAGGATCCTTCTCTCCTTGATTTCTTTCCCACCAATAGCTTCTTGTCTCGTCTTCTGGTGGTTTGGAAAATAAGTTGATCCCCTCCATTTGTGGCAGCCCCTCAAATATTGCAATACAGCTATCATGTCCCACCTAGTCGTCTTTTCTCTAGAGAAGCCATATCTAAACTCAGCAACAATCATGTTTTTGTCTTGCAACCTTTAGATTTTGGTCTCTCCCATCTCGCAGAATTACAGGTAGAAGTTTAAAATTATGCAACATAAATGAAATAACATTTGGGAAGAGAAGGAATATGCAGCAGCAGACTACATATTTCAGCCTTGTTCCTTCACTGCTTCTCTTCAGTGGAGGAAACAAAATCGACCTATTGAAACCTCCAGGCTTCTCCTCCGACCTGCCCTCACAACTCATCTTCCACCTGCTGCTCACCTTTCAACTATCTGGCATTTCTAAGATGTCTTTCAATGAAGTGCCATTTTCCAACCACATCCATAACTTCTCTAACACCACCTAGCCCTAGTCTGTTTTTTGGTGTCTCGAAGGAACGCCCTTATCGTCACTGCAACTCAGCCAGGAGCTTCTTTTGCAAAAACTAATCCAAGGGAAACTTGCCTTGCAACCTAGTGAAGCTGTAAAAGTGAAACTGGCCCCTTTGTCTCTTCTGGGATTTTATTTTCTTTTACTTCCATGATTAGTTAACAAGCATGGCATTTCCTTTTGGTGTCCCATCCCTACCTAACAATGGAAATTCTGATGCCTATTGCTGTTGAAAGCTGAGAACCGCCCATATTTCTTTTCCAAGCTCAGGATAGGTCTGAAAGAGTCATTTCCCCCCATCTGGACAATTGGTATCCTGGCAGGCAATATACACTACCTCCAACAGCAGTTTCCTATGCATAAGGATATGATGAGAGGCTTTCCTAGCAGAGGTGTTCAAGGAATTGCAGCAGATTAAGATCTTTTCTAAGTGCAGTTAAGAGGGCAATGAAAGGTTGGCAGCCTGAGACTTCAACTCATCCTCTGCTTCCAGCTCTGACTTTGCCACCTGGGCTATGAAGGAGAAAGGCACCTGGGTCCTTCTCAGGTTGGGGCAGATCACCAAAATGCCATTGGTTGCAATTCTCATGGACTTTTGGAGGGTTGGCGATAGACGGGATGCAACCATTATGTCTCTCCTAGACCTCTCATTAGATTTCAATACCATTGACCATGATATTCTCCGCAGTGGTTGGATTAAAAGTTTTTTACTACCAGTTCTGTGGGAGCGGCTTGGTGGGTATGACAGGGGAAGGATACAGTAAAATCTCCATTCCCACCCAACTCCAGGGGAAGGTTACTGCAAAATCCCCACTTCCAATCAGCTGGGACTTGGAAGGCAGAAAATAGATGGGGGCGGGGCCAGTCAGAGGTGGTATTTACTGGTCCTCCGAACTACTCAAAATTTCCGCTACCGGTTCTCCAGAACTGGTCAGAACCTGCTAAATACCACCTGAATCTCCTGCATCGGCTTTGGGGACTGGGACTCGGAGGCACTTTGTTACTATGGTTCTACTTCCCCATCCATGCCCGGTTCCAGTCAGGATGGGTAGGAGAACTGAGGCCGATCTTGGCCCCTGCCATTTGGGGTGCCCCTGGGATCAAGCCTTTTGCAGCTCCTTTTTAACATCTACATGAAATCACTAGGGGAGGCCATCCATACTATGACACCCAACTATGTACAGGTAGACCTGGACTTATAACATTTCATTTAGTGATCATTTGAAGTTACAACAGCACTGAAAGAAGTGACTTATGACCATTTTTCACCCTTACAACCATTACAGCATCACCATTGTCACATGGTTAACATTCAGAGGCTTTGCAATTGACTTCATATTTGTGATAGTTGCAGTATCTTGGGGTCATGTGATCACCTTTGGCGACTGACCTGGTGCACAATCTGGGGGTCCTCCTGGACTCATGTCTCCTGCTTGAGAGTGTGACGGGGGTGGGGCTTTGCACAAATTCATCTATTGCACCAATTGTGACCTTTCCTGGACTGGGAGGCCTTACAAATGGGTCACTCATGCCTTGGTCACCACCTGTTTCGATCACTGCACCGGCCCACCAAAAAACTTGAACTAGTCCACAACGCAGCAGTGGACACAGTAATGGGTTGTCCAGTACTGTGTTGTCCATGTAACATCTTTGTGATGCAAGCTGAACTGGATTCATTTTTTTAAGGTGCAATTGAAAATGTTAGTTATGATTTAAATATAATCATTTATTATAGCAATAGCACTTAGAATTATATACCACCAGACAGTGCTTCATACCACTCTCAGTTTACAGTGTCAGCATATTTCCCCCAACAATCTGGGTCCTCATTTTAACAATCTAAGAAGGATGGAAGGCTGAGCCAACCTCGAACCCCCTCAGGGTTGAATTCCAGGCTGAGCAGAAACAGCTGGCAATACCGCATTCTACCCACTGAGCCACCAGGGCACCTGTCATTATTGCTCCGCCTTTATTATTTTTGCATCCATCTGTTCTACCAGGTCAGATAGGGTGGGCACACTCTTAGTCCCTTGCCTTAAATATTGCCATCTGATGTGAGCTAGGAAGTGAGCCTTTTCCGTTGCAGACCCTGCCCTATGAAACACTCTTCCCCCTGAAGTTTGGCAGGCTTTTATCCTCTGGTAAAGAACTACCTTTCCACCTAAGTACCGGGATAAGAAGAGAGGACTCCACATCAGAAGCTTGATTTGGAAGCAGGTGTTTGTTTATATTTATTGAATTTATAATTTATGAATTCACCTGTGGTGAATTTCTTCATTTTAACTCCTTGCAAGGTGAAACATAACCACTTTTGAGGATGAATGGCACCAGTCATGAACATAGTTGAACAAAAGCAAGAATCTCCTTTTTGGCATTCCCAAATGCCACCAACCTTGCAGGGCAAGTGCATTTTAAATGTGGAGCTTTTGCATTTTGCCATTTGCACTATATGGGGTTTATTAGTTTCTCTATGAAAGTTTTATTGCTGTAAATCGTGTGGAATCATATGAGATAGGATAGGACAGGACAGGACAGGATAGAATTCTTTATTGGCCAAGTGTGATTGGACACACAAGGAATTTGTCTGAGAGCATATGCTCTCAGTGTACATAAAAAGACAAGATACATTTGTCAAGTTAGGCTACATATACATTTTGTAATTGAATAAAAATACACGAATATCTACATATTTATATCCTTTTTTTATTATATGTAGAAATAAGTGAGGACAGCAAACATTGCCTAATATGGATCCCTACACTATCCTATCCTATCCTATCCTATCCTAATTTTCACTAAAAAGAATCATACAAGAAATTAAAAGGTAAATTGCTCAGCTGGGTTTCCAATGAGAGATAATTAACCAAATTCAAGATTCCTCTACACACTTCAAATTTTGCCTCAAGTGCAATTTCTTGTGTGTGACAAGGGAGCAATGTTGTCCAAAACAATATTTGTCTGCAATCTGGGAACTGGAATGCTTACTCCCCTATGTGTATCCTTACATGATTTATAAGGCTAGACCTAGTACTGAAATCCTTCCCACAATCTGGACACTCATATGGTTTTTCTCCTGTGTGACTCCTCTGGTGTACCACTAGCTTGGAATTATGCTGGAAACATTTCCCACAATCTGGACACTGATAGGGTTTTTCTCCTGTGTGAGTTCCCTGGTGTACCACTAGGTTAGCTTTCTGACTGAAACTTTTCCCACAATCAGGACATTCAAAGGGTTTCTCCCCTGTGTGAGTTCTCAGGTGTGTCAACAGCTTAGAATTCCGAAGGAAACTTTTCCCACAAGCTGGACACTCATACAGTCTCTCTCCTTGATGAGTCTTTTGGTGCTTCACCAGTTCAGACTTGCAATTGAAACTTTTCCCACATTGTGGACACTCATACAGTTTTACATCTGTGTGAGTTTTCTGGTGTATCACTAGATGGAAATTCCAACTGAACCTTTTCCCACAATCCAGGCACTCATATGGTTTTTCTCCGGTGTGAGTGTTCTGGTGTTGCAGCAGGTTGGCAGTCTGATTGAAACTTTTCCCACAAAATAGACACTCATATAATTTTTCTGCTCCATGCGTCCTCTGGTGTATTACCAGGTTAGAATTCCGAGTGAAACTTTTACCACAATCCACACACTGATACTGTTTGTTCCCTGTGTGAGTTCTCTGGTGTATCAACAGGTAACAATTCTGACCAAAACATTTCCCACAATCCTGACATTTATATGGTTTCTCTCCTGTGTGAATCCTCTGGTGTTTCACCAAGGCGGAATTCTGACCGAAACTTTTCCCACAATGACATTTATATGGTTTCTCTCCTGTGTGAGTTCTCCGATGTTTCAACAGGGCAGAATTGCAACTGAAACATTTCCTACAATCTGAACACTCATACGGCTTCTCTTGTGTGTGAGTCCCCTGGTGTATCACTAGGTCACAATTCTGACTGAAACTTTTCTTACAATTTGGACACTTATATGGTTTCTCTCCTGTGTGAGTCCTGTGATGTCGCACAAGGTTGGAATTTTGAATGAACCTTTTCCCACACTGCAGACACTCATATGGTTTCTCTCCTGTGTGAGTCCTCTGATGTTTCAACAGGGCGGAATTGCAACTGAAACCTTTCCTACAATCTGAACACTCATAGGGTTTCTCTTGCGTGTGAGTCCTCTGGTGTTTTACCAAGTAGGAATTCTGACTGAAACTTTTCCCACAATAATGACATTTATATGGTTTCTCTCCTGTGTCAGTCCTCTGATGTTTCACCAGGTCGGAATTACAACTCAAATCTTTCCCACAATCTGAACACTCATACGGTTTCTCTCCCGTATGAGTCCTCTGGTGTTTCACCAGGTAGGAATTATGACTGAAACTTTCGCCACAGTCACAACATTTACATGGTTTCTCTCCTGTGTGAGTCCTCTGATGTTTCACCAGGTCAGATTTCCGACTGAAATCTTTCCCACAATCTTGGCACTGATATGGATTTTCTCCTTTGTGAGTCCTCTGGTGTATCTTCAGGCGACAAATCCAATTGAAACTTTTTCCACAGTCGGAACACATATATGGTTTCTCCTGCGTGTGAGTCCTCTGGTGTATCACCAGATCAGAGTTGTGTGTGAAACTTTTCCCACAATTAGGACATTCAAAGTGTGTCTCATCTGTGTAAATCCTCTTGTATCTTAGCAGATTGGTGGTCATGCTTAATTTTTCGTCGCATTGGAAGTACTGCTAGATTTTCTCTCATGTATGGATCATGCCATGAATTATGAGGAAACTTTTCTGAGTAAAGTGTCAGCGTTCCAGAATAACCCTCAACTTTTGCTACACTGCAAACATTTGTTTCATTTTTCACTGGGTGGATCCCCTCATGCATAGTGAGCTGTGATCAGCAATCTGTGTTTTTCTTAGAATAGGCAGTCTGTGGGGTCTTTACAACACTGATATTTTTGGATTCTTGAGGAGGCCAAAAATATTTGTGATTTCTTACTTGGAGGGATATTTTTTGTTCCCACTGACCTCCTGGTATCTCCTTCTTTTTATTTGGAAATTATCCTCCTTGACTTTTCATGTAATGTTTTCTTGAGTTGTAGATACTGAATTTTTTTCCAGGTGAAAACTTTTTTCTTTTTATTCTCTCCCTTGTCTCTCATCTGCTGAGGAAGAAAGAGAGTCTTTACAATTTGCGGAGAAGGTAGAAAAGATTTTGATTGATGGCTTGTTTAACATTTTAATGCTTCTTCTCATTCTCTGTGGCCCAGATTGCCCTTCTTGGCATCCTCTTTATCTGTAAGATATATATTAATGAATTAAGTTTCATGATTGTTTAATACTAGCGCAGTACATGAGAAAGCAGCAAAAATACCCCATACATTTGCATGAAAAAAAAACAAACACAAAAATTGTAGTTCAATCTCACATAATTCTCTTTTTGGCTTGGATAGATCACACAAATATGCACGCATATTCATGCAGAAATAAAGACCTATGAATTTATGTTTGTAGATAATGCAAGTATATTTGTTTTAGTGTGCAAAATGTTCCCAAAGTGCATTTGCTCAAGTTTTATCTAAGTTTAGAAAGACGCAGACAATAATGGATGAAATGGTGCCCAAATCCTATGCAAGGTGTAAACCATCTCTTTTGCCCATGAAACTCCTCTCACTTTCCATCAAAACAACATGTCAATAATATCACAAGGAATCAAGTGTCACGTAAAAGGATGAGGGAACTGAGCGATTAAGAAATATGAAAACTAAAGAAAGTGTCCTAAATCTCCCAGCAGGGAATCAAAGGCAGAAGTTTTAAATCGTGCGGCATAAGGCTAACAAAATTTGGGGAGGGAAGGAATATGCAGCAGCAGCCGCTACGTTTCAGCTTCGTTGCTTCCTCTGCTTCATACTCCGTGGAGGAACCCAAAGGGCCCGACTTGCTCCCGGCTTCTCCTCCACTCACCTCCCAGGAGCCTCTTCGACCCCTTGAAACAGCACAAGAGGCTCCGCCGACACCATGATCCTCCGGTGGATGAGCCGGAAGAGGAAGATCCTCTGCCCTTCACCTTGTCTCCTCCATATTCTCTCTGGCTATCTAATACTCTATCGTTTCAACTCGTTCCAGCCCAGCCTCTTCCCCTTCCCTAGAATAGCTCTGCCGCCATTGCACGGTACTTGCTTTGTAGACGGGAGTGTTGTTTCTCTGTAGCGCGCCATCTAGCGACACAAGGCGGAAGGACATGCTTTTTCTACCCGAAGGCGTTTGAAGATGTTCTCATGGATTCCGTGCTTCCTTAAGTGCCATCAAGTCCTATTTGACTCCCATCGAGCTCATCGGTAGCTTTTCTCCCTGAGGCTCCATCCCCAAACCTTTTTTTTTCAGGTCCCCCAAAAGGGCATCCATTGTCCCTGGAGCTGCGCCCGAAGCTTCGTTTGCCGGGAACGGGAAATAAACCAAAGCAAAGTTCTCTTTTGGAGAGCGGGTGGAGGGGGAGGAGAGAGAAATGATGTGCAAATTGGAAAGGAGAAAGCGTACCTTCCTTTTGTTCCAGGCACTTTTTCGTCGGGCGGGAGCAGGGGGTACAGGATAACTCCTGGAAACGTGCCTCTGCAACTTAACGAAGCTGTAAAAATGAAGCTTCACCCCATGTCTCTCCTGGGATCCCCCCACCCCCACCCCCAATGAAACTCCTCACTTGCCAGGAAAACATGTCAATAAAGTCACAAGGAATCAAGTGTTACCTGAAGACTGAGGGAACTGGGCAGTTCAGAAATATGAAAAATAAAGACTTTAAATCTCCCAAATCTCAAATTCAGAATAGAGCTGGAAGGGTCTTTATAGCTCTTTTAGCCCAACCCCCTGCTTAAGCAAGAGACCCCCTACCATTTCAGACAAGTGGCTGTTCTGTCTTTCCTTAAAAACCTCCAGTGATGGAGCACCCACACCCAACTTCTGAAGGCAAATTGTTCCACTGGTTAATTGTTCTCTCTATTAGTAATTTCTCCTTAATTGCAGGTTGCTTTTCTCCTTGATTAGTTTCCATCCACTGTTCCTTGTGGTGCCTTTTGGTGCTTTGGAAAATAAATTGAGCTCCACCTCTTTGCAGCCCCTCAAATATTGGAACGCTGTTAAAATGTCACCCCAGTCCTTCTTTTCTCTAGACTAGCCGTACCCAAATTCTGCAACCCTTCTTCATGTTTTTGTCTTATTATCTTTAAATTTTAGTCTCCCCATCTCCCAGCAGAGAATTACGGGTAGAGGTTTGACCTTGATGAATGTAAATCACCGGGACCTGATTGACTACATCCCAGAGTTCTGAATAGCTGACAAATGTTATTTCAGAACCATTGTATCGTATCCTTGAAAAATCTTGGCACACTGGGGAACTACCAGCAGATTGGAAAAGAGCTGGTGTAGTTCCCATCTTCAAAAAAAGGGGGGGGGAGGGAAGAGACACAGGAAACTACAGACCAATCAGCCTAACATCACTATCTGGAAAGATACTGGAAAAAATAATTAAAAAACAGACGTGTGAACATCTAGAAACAAATAAAGTTATAACTAGTAGCCAGCATTGGTTTTTTAAAAGCAGATCATGCCAAACCAATTTTATTTCATTCTTTGATAAAGTCACTAAATTAGTATACCAGTGAAATGCTGTGGACATACTATACTTAGATTTCAGTAAGGCATTTGACAAAGTAGACCACAATCTACTTCTTGGTAAACTAGAAAAATGTGGGATAGCCAACATCACCACCAGATGAATTTGTAGTTGGCTGACAAACTGTACTCAACGAGTAGTCCTTAATGGTACTACTTCTACATGGAGGGAAGTAAGCAGTGGGGTACCACAAGGTTCTGTCTTAGGCCCAGTATTCTTCAATAGCTTCATAAATGATTTAGGTGAGGGAATAGAAGGAGAACTCATCAAATTTGCAGATGACACTAAACTGGAAGGAACGGCCAACACCCCAGAAGACAAGCTCAGGATCCAAAAAGATCTTGACAGACTTGAACAATGGGTCCTATCCAACAAAATGAAATTTAATGTGGAAAAAACCAAAGTTTTACACCCGGGCAGAAAAAACCAAAGGTACAAGTACAGATTAGGTGAAACCTGGCTCCAAAACAGTAACTGTGAGAAAGACTTTGGAGTCTTGGTGGACAATCACTGAAACATAAGTCAGCAGTGTGCAGCATCAGCAAAAAAAGGTTGTATAAACAGGCATAGAATCAAAATCAAGTGAAGTATTAGTACCGCTTTTTAAAACCTTGGTAAGACTACGCCTGCATTCAGTTTTGGTTACATTACAAAAAAGATGTTGAGACATTGGAAAAAGTGCAGAGAAGGTCAACGAAGATGATTAAAGGGCTGGGGACTAAAAACATATGAAGAATGGTTGCAGGATTTGGGTTTGGCTAGGCTAGAGAAAAGGACCAGGGGGGACATGATAGCAGTATTCTGATAACAGTGTTTGAGAGGCTGCCACAAAGAAGAGTGGGTCAATTTATTTTCCAAAGAAACAGATGGCAGGACAAGAAACAATGGATGGAAACTAATCAAGGAGAGAAGCAACCTGGAATTGAAGAGACACTTCCTAACAATAAGGACAATGGAACAGCTTGCCTCCAGACATTGTGGGTGTTTCATCACTGGAGGTTTTTAAGAAGAAACTGGACATCCACTCATCTGAAATGGTACAGGATCTCCGGCTTGAGCAGGGGGCTGGACTAGAGGACCTCCAAGATCCTGATTCTGATAAATATAATAAATTTGGGAAGAGAAAGAATATGCTGCAGCAGCCAACATGTTTCAGCCTTGTTCCTTCGCTGCTTCTACACCGTGGAAGAAACCAGGCAGCCCTATTTTCTTGGGGCTTCTCCTCCGACCAGCCCTCACAACTCACCTTCCAGCTGCTGATCATCTTCCAACTATCTGGCATTTCTCAGATTTTTCAATGAAGTGCCATTTTCCACTCTTAGCAACCACGTCCATAACTTTTCTAGCCCTGGTCTGTTTTTTGGGGTCTCGAAGGAACGCCCTTATCGTCACTGCAACTCAGCCAGGAGCTTCTTATGGAAAAACTAAACCAAGGGAAACTTGCCTTACAATTTAGCGAAGCTGTAAAAGTGAAGCTCGGCACTTTGTCTCTTCTGGGATTTTTTTTTTTTTTTTTACTTCCGTGTTTACCTAAGTAGCATGGTATTTCCTATTGAAAACCTATCCCTTAGGAATGGATATTCTGGTGCCAATTGCTGTGACAACCCGAGAACTACCCATATTTTTTTCCAAGCCCAGGAAAGGGCTGGAAGAGTCATTTCCTCCCCTTCTGGACCGTTGGCATCCTGGTTGGCTGGATACCTCCCAACAGCAGTTTGCATAATAAAAATCACGAGTCATGTGATCAACTTTATCGACTGAGCTGGTGCATAACCTGGGGGTCCTCCTAGACTCACAGATCCTGCTTGAGATCATGGCTGGGGGAGGGGCTTTGCACAGATTAATCAGGTGAGGCAATTGTGCTCTTTCCTGGATCGGGAGGCCTTGCACACGGATTACTCTTGCTCATACTACACTGACCACCCAGAAACTTCAACTGGTACAGAAAACAGCAGCGCACACAGTAATGGAGGCCTCTAGGTAGCCCATGTAACATCTTTGTAGTGTGAGCTGCACTGGATTCATTTCTTTTTTTCTTTTTTTAAAATTTGATTTATATGCCACCCTTCTCCGGAGACTCAGGACAGCTTACAATGCGTTAAGCAATAGCCTTCATACTTTTGTATATTTATACAAAGTCAGCTTATTGCCCTCACAAACTGGGTCCTCAATTTACCTACCTTAGAAAGGATGGAAGGCTGAGTCAACCTTGAGCCTGGCGAGATTCGATCTTACTTTAATTGCAGACAGCTGGTGTTAAATTACAGTGCTCTGTCTGTTGAGCTATCCAGGCTCCTAAGGTCATCACCTTTAAAGCATTTTTTTTTATTACAGCAATAGCACTTAGGCATATATATCACCTCACAGTGCCTTATAGCACTCTTGGCTTACAGTGTCAGCATATTGTCCCCAACAATCTGAGTCCTCATTTTACCGATCGCAGAAGGATAGAAGGCAGAATCAACCTCAAGCCACATCAGGATTGAACTCCAGGCTGTGGGCAGAATCAGCTGGCAATACCGCATTGTAATAACTATGGCACCAGGGCACCTGTCATTATTGTTCCATCTTTATTTTTGCATCTATCTGTCCTTCCAGGTCAGATAAAGTGGGCACGTTCTTAGTCCCTTGCCTTAAATATTGCCATCCGATAAGAGCTAGGAAGTGACCCTTTTGCGTTGCAGACCCTGCCCTATGAAACACTCTTCACCCTGAAGTTTGGCAGGCTTTTATCCTCCTGGTCTTCCATAAAGAAAAACTAGCTTTCCCCCTAAGCACAGGGATAGGAGAGGACTGCACGTCAGAAGCTTGTTTCGGAACCAGGTGTTTGTTTATATTTACTGAATTTATATGCCGCTAATCCTGTGGTGAATTTCTCCAATTTAACTCCTTGCAAGTTGAAAGATAACCACTTTTGAGGCAGAATGGCACCAGGCATAAACATAATTGAGCAAAAGCAAGAATCCCCTTTTTGGCATTCCCAGACCATCCAAATACCATCAACCTTGGTAGAACTGCCCTGTATTTGCAGGGCAAATACATGTTAAATGTGGAGCCTTTGCATTTTGCCGTTTGCAATATATAGGGTTTTTGGTTTCTGTATTAAAGTTTTATTGCTATATACCATGTGGAGTCATACAAGTTAGGCTGATTTTGTTACTGAATAAAAATACATAAATACATACATATTTATATTCCCCTTTATTATATGTAGAAATATGTCAAGGCAACAAACATACCTAATACAAATCCATGTATTCTGCTCTGCTCTACTCTGTGTTCTACTCTACATTACAACTATAATAAAACATGTTTCATTAAAAAGAATCATGCAAAAAATTAAATGGTAAATTCCTCAGCTGGGTTTCCAATGAGACAAGAAACCAAATTCAGGATTCCTCTACACACTTCAAATTTTGCCACAAGTGCAATAATTTCTTGTGTGTGATAAGGGAGCAATTTTGTGGAAAACTATCTTTGTCTGCAATCTGGGAATTGGAATGCTTACTCCCCTATGTGTATCCTTACATGATTTATAAGGCTAGACCTAGTACTGAAATCCTTCCCACAATCCGGACACTCATACGGTTTTTCTCCTGTGTGAGTCCTCTGGTGTACCACCAGCTTGGAATTCTCCTGGAAACATTTCCCACAATCCGGACACTGATAAGGTTTTTCTCCAGTGTGAGTCCTGTGGTGTACTACCAGCCTAGAATTATGCTGGAAACGTTTCCCACAGTCTGGACACTGATACGGTTTCTCTCCTGTGTGGTTTTTGTGGTGTATCACCAGGTTAGATTTCTGACTGAAACTTTTCCCACAATACTGACACTCATACGGTTTCTCTCCTGTGTGAGTCATCTGATGTACCACCAGGTTGGATGTCTGACTGAAACTTTTCCCACAATCCAGACATTCATATGGTTTTTCTCCTGTGTGTATCCTCTGGTGTACCACCAACTTGGAATTCTGCTTGAAACTTTTGTCACAATCCGGACACTGATATGGTTTCTCTCCTGTGTGAGTTCTCTGGTGTATCACCAGCTTGGAGTTATGTGGGAAACATTTCCCACAATCTGGACATTCATATGGTTTCTCTCCTGTGTGGTTTTTCTGATGTATCACCAGGTTGGATTTCTGACTGAAACTTTTCCCACAATAGAGACACTCATATGGTTTCTCTCCTGTGTGAGTCCTCTGATGTTTCACCAGGTCGGAATTGCAACTGAAACCTTTCCCACAATCTGGGCACTTGTACGGTTTCTCTCCTGTGTGAGTTCTCTGGTGTATCACCAGCTTGGAATTCTGCTGGAAACTTTTCCCACAATCTGGGCACTCATATGGTTTCTTTCCTGTGTGAGTCCTCTGATGTTCCACAAGGTGGGAATTCTGCTTGAAGCTTTTCCCACTATCCGGACATTCATATGGTTTCTCTATCATGTGACTCCTCTGGTGTATCACCTGGTCAGAATTCTGAGTGAAACTTTTCCCACAGTCAGGACATTCAAACAGTTCCTCCCTAGTGTGAGTCCTCTTCTGTCTCACCAAATTGGTTTGCATGCTAAATCTTTTGTCACAATGGAAGCAATGATAGAGCTTCTCTCCGGTATGGCTCCTTCCATGAATCATGAGGGAGCTGTTCCAAGTAAAGCTTTTGTCTCTCTCCAAACATTTGTATAGCCTTTGCCTGGCTGGATCTCCACATGCATATCAGTTGTGATCTGTAATCTGTGTTTTTCCCACAATAGGCAGTCTGTGGTGGGTTTTTTCCAACATTGATATTCTTGAATTCTTAAAGAGGCTAAAATATTTTTGATCTCTTACCTGGTGGTTGTTTGGTTCACTCTTTCCTTCATCAAAGGCCTGGCAGTTTTGGCTATCCACGGAACATATTTCTTCCCACTCACTTTTCTTTATTTAGAAATTATTCTCCTTGACTTCTCATATAATGTTTCCTTGAGTTCCACGTATTCTATTTTTTCCAGCTCAAAACTTTCTTCTTTTTACTCTCTCCCTTGTCTTTCATCTGTTGAGGAAAGAGAAGAATTTTTAAACTTTCTGGAGGAAATGGGAAAAAATGTTGATTGATGGCTTGTTTTGCATTTTAATGATGCTTCTCATTCTCTGTTGTCCAGCGTGCTCTTCTTGCCATCCTCTTTGTCTGTAAGATTCATATTAATGGGTTAGTTTCATTATTGTTTAAAAAATGGATGCAGGACATGTGAAAGCAGCAAAAAAAAAACACCCCAATATATGATTACGAAAATATCAAAATTGTAGTTTAACCTCTAACATTATGATTCATTTGGCAAGATTGTAGTTCAATTATTGACTTAATTATAAAATTCTCCCTTTGGTTTAGATACAGTATATATCACACACATATGGACACATAGGCCCACAGAAATACAAAGCCATAAATTTATGTATATAGAAAATTTATCGGTGTTTCAGTGTGTAAAGTATCCCAGAAGTGCATTATTTAATTTTAGAAAGATAGGGACATTAAGTGCTGAAATGGTGCCCAAATCCTAATGCAAGATTTAAAGCATCCATTTTGCCCAAGACACACTTTACTTGCCAGGAAAACAACATGTCAATAAAGTCATAATGAATCAAGTATTATGTGAAGACTGAGAGAGATGGGTGGATATGAAATATGACAAATAAAGATTTTTTAAATCTCCCAAATCTGAGATTCAGAATAGAGCTGGAAGGGTCCTTATAGGTCTTCTAGCCCAATGCCCTGCTCAAGAAAAGAGCCTGTAGTACAGTAGACTAAGCACTGTTATTAACATCTGCTGCTTGCAATTATTGCAAGTTCAAATCTCACCAGGCTCAAGGTTGACTCAGCCTTCCATCCTTTCAAAGGTAGGTGAAATGAGGACTCAGATTGAGAGGCCAATAAGCTGACTTTGTATAAAAAATATACAAAAGTATGAAGGCTATTGCTTAACGCATTGTAAGCCGCCCTGAGTCTCCGGAGAAGGGCGGCATATAAATTAAAGCAAAAAAAAAAAGCAAGACACCCTATACCATTTTAGACAAGTAGCTGTCCAAGTCTTTCTTTAAAAGCCTCCCATGATGAAGCACCCACAATTTCTGAAGGCAAGCTCTTCCTCTGCTTAGTTGTCCTTACTCTCAAGGAAGTTTCTCCTCAATTCTAGGTTGCTTCTCTCCTTGATTAGTTTCCCTCCATTGCTTGATTTTCCAGTTTCAGGAGGGTGCGCTGAATCCACAAAGGGCGGTAAATTGCTGCAGCGCTACCATCAAACAGATCAGCCGAGGCATTGGGGCAGGGTGATGGTGCCTCCACACCGTGGCCCCTGTATGATCCACCCTGCTGTCCAGCATCATCCTCCAGTGCTGCTCACCCTACATTTGTGGCACAGCTGGAGGACGATGTTGGACGGCAGGCACTATGGTGCGGCGCCACCCCTGCCCCACCCCATGCCTTGCCTAATTCGTTCGGTGGTACCGCTGCAGCAATTTGCCGCCCTGAGTGGATTCAGTGCACCCACCTGAAACTGTCTGCAGAAAAATTAACGCCGTCTCATCCAGTTGGCCTTTGGGCACAGCAATGGAAAGAGCCTTGGAGCCTCGAGTGGGTTTCTTGCCTTTTTTCCACTGCAGGAGTAAAGTGAACAAGCCTGGACGGGCAAAGCTAGAGAAGTGGCATAGGGGCTATGGTGTGGCGCCAACCCCACCCTGCCTCCTGCCTCGCCTGATCTGTTGGGTGGTAGTGCTGCACAACCTCATCAACAAGATTGCCAAAAGAGACACCGAGAAGAAGGAAGGGAAGGGGAAGGAGGGATATAAGGATAGGAAAGATGGCAAGGAAAAGGGAAAAAGCGAGGCCAAGAAAGAAGAGAAGGAGAAGAAGTGGTATTAGTAACCAGGTTTTCTATTTGTAAATTAAAAGCATTAAATTAAGACCCGTGCCCGCCACCTCCTGTGCTGCCCACCCCCACGGCTGACAGTGGGGGGTGAGGTGGCAGCGGTACAGCAGTGGCAGTATACCAGCCATTGCTGCAACAACCAGCAGTGGAACAGGAGCAGCGGCAGAAGGCGCCTCGCTGGCCGCTGCTCCCAGGTGAGACAGGGAAGGGGCTGCTTCAGTCACCGCTGCCATCAGCATCAGGACTCTGCAAATCCCGCTGCCCCAACAGTATGCTTGGTCACCCATCCGGACAGGGTCCATGCAGAGATGGGCGGCCTTCTGGGGCCCGAGGGGAGATGCGGCTGCAGGAATGATGGGAAGTGTCCAGCAGGAGCCAGCAGTCTCCTTTCTTGCAGGGAAGGCAGGGCAAGGCCGGCCGACATTTCACAGGGCAGCCTGCCTGTTTTCCCCGCTCTGTACTCCACCTGTCCACAATCCAATGACATTCCAATTCAAGTAGTCCTCACTTAGTGACTGCAATTGGGACTGGCATCTGTGTCACTAAGACGCCTGATCATTAAGCATGGTGTCACATGACAGTGCCAACCTGTATCTGCTCCTTTGCCACTGTTTAACCTAATCACTGACTGTGGGTTGTTAAAGGCAATTTCACATGACTGTGAGCAGCGACGTCTTGTCAGCATCCCCTGGTCAGAAGATAGCTGGGAAGGTCACAAACAGGATCATAAATGTGCACCTGTGGTAGATGGGTACAACTCCTCTTCCTGCGCCTTCAGAACCACAGTAAGTGTTGAAGTGCAGTCACTGATAAAATACCACCATGGCCACAAATTTGTAGACCAGGTGTATGTCTGCTTTTATAGGTAAAGGTAAAGGTTCCCCTCGCACATATGTGCTAATCGTTCCCGACTCTAGGGGGCGATGCTCATCTCCGTTTCAAAGCCGAAGAGCCAGTGCTGTCCGAAGACATCTTTGTGGTCATGTGGCTGGAATGACTAAATGCCAAAGGCGTATGGAACGCTGTTACCTTCCCACCAAAGTTGGTCCCTATTTTTCTACTTGCATTTTTTACGTGCTTTCGAGCTGCTAAGTTTGCAGAAGCTGGGACAAGTAACTGGAGCTCGCCCCTGTACGCGGCACTAGGGATTCGAACCGCTGAACTGCCGACCTTTCTACCGACAAGCTCAGCGTCTTAGCCACTGAGCCACCGCGTCCCTGATTTTATAGTGCCATAGTAACTCTGAAGACTCAAGGAAGAAATGGAAGCGAGGACTGCCTACACAAGTGAACCTCACAAAAGGTCCTCAACAGCTTTTTTTTTTTTTAAATTGCTGCCTTAAGCATAGTTAAATCTGGTTAATACATTGATGAGGCTACACTAGAAAATACCATGTTTGTTAGCTAAACATGGAAGTGGCACCCCCCACATGCCTCCATCCTCCTATAGGTGAGCTGGAAATTCCTCTGCCCGTAATCTCTCCTACCAGGGTAGATTTGATTTAAACCAGGGGTCTCCAACCTTAGCAACTTTAAGACTCCCAGAATTCCTCAGCCAGCAAAGCTAATCACTAGTAAAAAGGCTTTACTTAAATCATCTGGATTTAAATAATAATTTTTAAAGAGTAACTGTCATCTCTGTCCCACAGTAGCTTCTCCTCTGACGCGCTGTTGACTCACTGACAGTCCCATTCACTTTAATAGGATGGCTGGTGATGCGGCAGTGACACAACAAGGTGAGGGACATGGCGGGAAGCAGGTGAGTGGATGCCCGCTAACAGACGCTGCCATGATGGATCTGAAATGACAGGTGCTCTTTAAATGTAAGGACTCATTCTTGCTGGTAGTTAGAATCTTTAATATTATTACTTGCAAACAAAATGAAGGCTTCCTGTTTAGCTTGCAGAGCTTGGATTCATTGAGTTTACCAAAGGTGTAAATATTGTAGAATATACAGCCTCATGCTACATAACTAAACTCCATTTCATGCTGAATAAACTAAATTAATGTCTCTTAAAAAGAAAACTCTCTTTAGACAGAGTTTTACTTCAAAAGCATTTTATTAAAATACATTTGATAAAAATATAAAAAATCCAATTTAAAATTTAAAAATCCTATTTTTTTTTTAATTTAAAAAAAACATGGATTTTTATCCGCCCTGTCTCCTCCACATCCTTTCTAGCAACTTTCTAGCGATTTTAACTCCTTCACTCCCCTCGGATGTCACATCTCAGCCACCACTAAGACAGTTTTCCAGGCCTGGGGATGCATGGAGACTATTCCAGCCAGTTCTTCCTGTTGTGGGAAAACAACTACCCCAAAACTACCTCTGCAACTGAGAGAAGCTTGAAGAGTGAAGCTTGATCCTAATTAGCTTCATAAGATTACCAGCTGCTGCATCAGTTTTAAATGTTTGCTAACATCATCCCATTAATAAAAGAATAAAATAAAAAATATGGGACAAAACGTTGAATTTTCCCCAACCCCCCATTGCTTCCAAGCACATCTAGATGGGAGATATTATTTTTCCATCTGCATTCTTGCAGATATCTAAATCTCACTAGAGGGCACAATTGCTCTGAGGAGCCAGTCTCCAGAGGAGTCAAGATTCCAGCATTGAATATTCCCAGGCAGCTTGGGCAAAAGATTTGGAGGGTGCTAGCTGGTAGAAAGCTGATCTAAAGAGTCCTGGGCTTTAATATTTGGCTCACAATTCCTCTCCCAGGCCCAGAAAGGAGCAGGCCTGGAGACCATCCACTTGCCCGTAACTCTCAGCTGCTGGCCTGGGACTCCTACCTCTTCCCACATCCAAATCAAATGAGGTCCTCACTTAATGACCCACGGGGTCCTGGAATTGCAACAGCAACTGGAACTGCCAAAATTGCCCCCACGAAACAATGTGGTCATGTGATGTCATTTTTTATAACCACATTGAATAACAATGGAAATTCTGGCACCAATTGCTGTCACAACCCGAGAACTACCCATATTTCTTTTATAAACTGGCTTTATACCTCCAACAGCTGTTTCTTATGCATAAGAAAATCATGAGAGGTTTTCCTGGCAGAGGAGTTCAAGGTTTTGCTGAAGATTAAGGTCTTTTGTATGTGCAGCTGAAGAGGGCAATGAAAGGTTGGCAGTTCAAGTCACCCTCTGCTTCCAGCTCTGACTTTGCAACCTGGAGAAAGGGCTATGAAGGAGAAAGGCACCTGGGCCCTTCTCAGTCTGGCTTCAGGTTGAGGCACATCACCAAAATGCCATTGGTTGCAATTCTCATGGACTTTTGGAGGGTTTGCGATAGACGGGATGCAACCATTATGTCCCTTCTTAGACCTCCCATCAGGTTTCAATACCATCGAACAGGATATCCTTCTGGACCAGCTTTTCAGGACTGGAAATGGGAGGCATTTTATTACAGTGATTCTATTTCTGCCTCCATGGCTGGTTCCAGTGTGGGTAGAAAGGGACAAGTCTTGGCCCTGAAATTCGGGATGTCCCATGGCTCAAGCCTTTTGCTGTTGCTTTTTCATATCTACATGGAACTGCCGGGGAGGCCATCCACCTTATACCGAATTATGTACAGGTGATCTGGCACTTATAAGATTTCATTTAGTGACCATGTGATGGCTAAGTATTGGGGACAAAATTGGGTTATTCAAAGAAATGAGTGGTATAACGAAATTTGGAGTATGGCAACAAATTATAAATTAACAAGAGAAATTAAATTTTAAAAAGGGATAATTAAAGTAAATTATTATAATGAAATATGGGGGTGGAAGGCAAAGGGAATAAACCTACTTAAGAATATATGTTGTTTTGGAGTGGATAAGGGCACAATTGAAATATATTATATATCTTTTAGTTGTTATAGAAGAAATATAAGGAAAAAAATGTTCTCCCGGGGGGGGGTGTGTGCACTGTAATATTTGTATTTTTTTCCTTATTTTTTTCCTCTTTTTTTTGTATTTAGAGTTACAGTAGAACCTCTGGTCACAACCATAATTTGTTCCATAAGTTTGGTCTCAACCCAATCTGGTTGTGACCCGAACCTAACCAAAATTAATGAAGCGGCCACACGTGGGGCACTGTTGTTTGTAAACAAAAGGGTATTTGCCCAGAGGTTCTACGGTATATGTATTATGTTTGTATTATTTGTATGCAAAATAAAAAAGTCTTAGCCCTGAAATTTGGGATGCCCTTAGACTTAAGCCTGTTCCTGTGGCTTTTTCACATCTACATGGAACGGCTGGGGAGGCTATCCAGCCGATGATACCGAATTATGTAGAGGTAGTCTCAGACTTATAACATTTCATTTAGCGACCATTTGAAGTTACAACAGCACTGGAAAAAAATGACCATTTTTATCATAACCATTGCAGCATCCCCATTGTCACATGTTTAAAATTCAGAAATTCCATTCTATTCCAAAAAGAATCATAAGAGAAATTAAATGGTAAATTGCTCAGCTGGGATTCAAATGAGAGACACGTTTCTTCTACACACATCAAATTTTGACTCAAGTGCAATTTCTTGTGTGTGATAAAGGAGGAATTTTGTGCAAAACAATTTTCGTCGACAATCTGAGTATTTGAATGGTTACTCCCCTATGTGTAATCTTACATGATTTATAAGGCTAGACCTAGTACTGAAATCTTTCCCACAATCCGGACACTCATAGGGTTTCTCTCCTGTGTGAGTCCTCCAGTGTATCACCAAATGGGAATTCTGATTGAAACATTTCCCACATTCAAGACACTCATATGGTTTTTCTCCTGTGTGAGTCCTATGATGTTCCACTAGATGGGAATTCTGACTGAAACATTTCCTACAATCTGGACACTCATATGGTTTCTCTCCTGTATGAGTCCTCTGATGAATCACCAGGTTGGAATTATCCTGGAAACTTTTCCCACAATCCAAACACTCATATGGTTTATCTCCTGTGTGAGTCCTCCGATGTCTCACCAGGTGGGAATTCCGACTGAAACTTTTCCCACAATCTGGACACTCATATGGTTTCTCTCCTGTATGAGTCCTCTGGTGAATCACCAGGTTGAAATTATCCTGGAAACTTTTCCCACAATCTGAACATTTATATGGTTTTTCTACAGTGTGAGTCATCCGATGTCTCACCAGATGGGTATTCTGACTGAAACATTTCCCACAATCTGGACACTCATATGGTTTCTCTCCCATATGAGTCCTCTGGTGAATCAACAGGTTGGAATTATCCTGGAAACTTTTCCCACAATCCGAACACTTATATGGTTTTTCTACTGTATGAATCCTCTGATGTCTCACCACGTGGGAATTCTGACTGAAACTTTTCCCACAATCTGGACACTCGTATGGTCTCTCTCCTGTATGAGTCCTCTGGTGAATCACCAGGTTGGAATTCTGACTGAAACTTTTCCCACATTCTGGACACTCATATGGTTTCTCTCCTGTATGAGTCCTCTGGTGAATCACCAGGTTGGAATTATCTTGGAAACTTTTCCCACAATACGAACACTCATATGGTTTTTCTACAGTGTGTGTCCTCCGATGTCTCACCAGGTGGGAAATCTGACTGAATCTTTTCCCACATTCTGGACACTCATATGGTTTCTCTCCCGTATGAGTCCTCTGGTGAATCACCAGGTTGGAATTGAGACTGAAACTTTTCTCACAATCCGGACACTTGTATGGTTTCTCTCCTGTGTGAGTCCTATGGTGTACCACCAGGCTTGAATTCTGAGAGAAACTTTTCCCACAATCACAGCACTTATATGGTTTCTTTCCTGAATGAGTCCTCTGATGAATCACCAGGTGGGAATTCTGACTGAAACTTTTCCCACAATCTGGACACTCAAATGGTTTCTCTCCCGTGTGAGTCCTCTGGTGAATCACCAGGTTGGAATTCTGACTGAAACCTTTCCCACATTCTGGACACTCATATGGTTTCTTTCCTGAATGAGTTCTCTGATGAACCCCTAGGTGGGAATTCTGACTGAATCTTTTCCCACAATCTGAACATTTATATGATTTTTCTCCTGTGTGAGTCCTTTTGTGTATCACCAGGTCAGAATTCCTAGTGAAACTTTTCGCACAAGACGGACATTCAAAGAGTTTGTCCCCAGTGTGAGTCCTCTTGTGTCTCACCAGATTGGTCTGCATGCTAAATTTTTTGCCACATTGAGAGCACTGGTTGAGCTTCTCTTCAGTATGGGTGCTTCCATGAATTACGAGGAAGGTTTTTTGAGTAAAGGTTTCATCACACTCCAAATATTTGTATGGGTTTTCACTGGGTGGATCCTCTCGTCCATAATCAACTGTCATCTGCAATCTGTGTTTTTTCCACAATAGGCAGACTGTGGCGAGTTTTCCCACACTGATATTCTTAGACTCTTGAGGAGGCCAAAAATATTTCTGATATTACTTGGAGGTTTTTGATTCAAGCCAGCCTTTCCTTCGTGAAAGACATTCATTGATACCTGTCCATTTTGGCTGTCCAAGGAACCTTTTCGTTTCCACTGACTTCCAGTTATTTCCACTTTTTCTTTATTTGGATCTTATCCCCCTTGACTTCTTAGGTAATGTTTGCTTCAGTTCCATATACTCTATTTTTTCCAGCTCAAAACTTTGGTCTTGTTATTTTCTCCCTTGTCTCTCATCTGCTGAGGAAGGAGAAGAGTTTTTAAACTTATTGCCCTCCCCTCAGAAGCTTCATTTCGGCCTGCAATGTGCCAGGAACAACCGATGGAGGACTGAATGGAGCTCTGGAGGGGCTGCTTCACCCCTCAGAAGCTGCATTTTGGCTGGCAACGTGCAGGACGAATGTTGCAAAGCCTTTGCAGTTGTTCATAAGGGCAAACATAAGTGGTGCTGCAAGATTCGTAGTTTTGGGACTTGTTCGTAAACGCTAGGTGGCCATTATTACGTAGCTTTGAAAGTTCGCTAGGGGAACACTCGTAACCTGGAGACTACCAGTACAGGTAATCTTATAACAGTTCTTTCAAAAGAACTTGAAGTTATAACAGCACTGAAAAAGTACCTTATAACCAATTTTTTTGACACCTACGGGTCTTGCAGCATCCCTGTGGTCATGTATTGAAAATTCAATCACTTGGCAATTGACTCATATTTATGACTAATATTTACCATATTTTTCAGAATATAGAACACACTTTTTTCTCCCCTGAAAGTGGGTGAAAATTGTGGTGCGTCTTATACAGTGAATGTTGCTGAAGCCCCGCCCACCATTCGGCCCCCACCCTTTGGCCATTTTCGGCCTCCGCACGTCGCATTTTTGGCTTCCACACGCTCCATTTTAGACCCATTCCAGGCTCTGGGAACCACCACAGCACATTGCTGCCGATCGCTGCCTTCGCGCATCACGTTTTCAGCCTCCGCATGCCCCATTTTTGGCCTCCCCGCTGCCTGGAACCGGCCAAAAACCCAACACTCAGAGGTGGCGATTGGCGGCGATGTGCTATGGCGATCCCCACAGCCTGGAACAGGTCTAGAACGGAGCACGTGGAGGTTGAAGACGCAATGTGCAGAGGTGGCTGTGCTGATCTCCGCAGCGTGGAACAGCTGAATCAGGCTGCAATAACGTGCTGAAGTTGATCAGCCTGTTTGCTGTAAGGATGCTAGCCAGATGAATACCAATGTATGCTGGTAGGCAGAAGCAGAATTTTTTTTCTTGTTTTCCTGCCCAAAAACTAATGTGCATCTTATAATCCGGAGCATTTTATACTCCAAAAATATGGTATATTATACCCCTGTGCCCTGGGGTAACATGACCCCCTTTCGCAACCTTCTGACAAGCAAAGTCAATAGGGAAGCCAGATTCACTTCAACAGTTTGATTAACTACTGCAGTGATTCATTTAACAAGTACGCCAGGAAAGGTCATAAAATGGGGCAAACTGACTTAATATATGTTTCAGTTAGCAACAGAAATTTTGAGCTCGGTTGTGATCATAAATTGAGGATTAACTAGAATGAAATACAGAACAAATCCTTGAAGTGCCCACCCATGTTGCTTCCGAACACATCTACTGTGCTTCCCTGAAAACGAGACCCATCCAGAAAATAAGCCTTAGCTAAAGTGTCCTGTGTTGATGGCTCTCAAATCACCCTCAAAACCTCTCTACATCCCACCATTTTATGACTGATTTCTTTTGGCTCCAAAGGATTTAGGACACGGAAGCCCCAGCAGGCCAGAGGCGCCAAGGGATCTAGCCTCACTCCTGCTCATCAGGGCCATGTGTAAGATTTTAAGTCTGCTAAATGCCATGCGTTTCTGTATTTTCCTTAGCACAGAAATCTCCATTAAGTCAAAGTGAGTGAGACACAGCAAGGTCTAGAAAAAGGGAGCTGGAAAAGAAGCTGCCTGTGTTTGGTAAACTAAACTAAGACACTTTGGGAGCCTTGTAAAAAGAATGGTAGTAAATCACACATATATACATGCCTATTCACACAGAAATACACAACTAAGAATTTGTTCATGTGAACCATCATGCAAAATGCCCCAGAAGTGCATTCACTCAAGTTTTTTTGATCCAGTTTTGGAAAGGTGGGGGACACTAACAGATGAAATGATGCCCAAATCCTATGCAAGGTTGAATGCAGCCGTTTTGCCCATGAAACTCCTCGCTTGCCAGGAAAACATCATCTCAACAACATCACAAGGAATGAAAGTGTTACGTGCAGGGCGAGGGAGAGAGGCGGTTAAAAAATATGATTTTTTTAAAAAAAATCTCCCAAAACTCCCAGCAGAAAATCACAGGCAGCTGTTTCAAACCATAGAGCATAACAGCATTTGGGGGAGAGAAAGAATATGCAGCAGCAGCAGCAGCCCCCATGTTTCAGCTTTGTCCCTTCGCTGCTTCTACCTACAACATGGAGGAACCCAAAGGGCCCGAGTTGCTCCCGGCTTCTCCTCCGACCTTCCCTCCACTCACCTCCCAGGAGCCGCTTCCATCCTCCAAGCAGCACAAGAGGCTCCGCCGACGCCATTGTCCTCCCCGTGGGTCAACCGGAAGAGGAAGTCCCTCTGCCCTTCGCCTCCTCTCCTCCACATCCCCTCTAGCAATCCAATACTTTATCGTTTCCATTCATTCCAGCTCAGCCTCTAGATCCCACCCGCAGTAGACTATCCATGCCACTACTATGGTACTGTATTCGCTGCTGTCTTAGGCGCGAGAGTCGCTTCTTTGAAGTGCGCCATCTAGCGACATAAGGTTGAAAATCACGCTCGTTCTATTTCTACTCTAAAGCAAAATGTTTTCATTGATTTCCGTGCTTCCTTCGCTGCCATCCAGTCGCATCCGACTCGTATTCAGCACATGGATAGTTTTTGTGCAGGACAAACTATCCGAAACCTTTTCTTTCAGGTCTCCCAAGAGGGCACCCACTGTCCCAGTTGCTCCACCTAAACCCAAGGAAAGCGTCCAAGGCGACTGGACGGAGACAGGGCGGATAAAAATCCATGTTTTTTTTAAATTAAAAAAAATGTAGGATTTTTAAATTTTAAATTGGATTTTTTATATTTTTATCAAATGTATTTTAATAAAATGCTTTTGAAGTAAAACTCTGTCTAAAGAGAGTTTTCTTTTTAAGAGACATTAATTTAGTTTATTCAGCATGAAATGGAGTTTAGTTATGTAGCATGAGGCTGTATATTCTACAATATTTACACCTTTGGTAAACTCAATGAATCCAAGCTCTGCACGCTAAACAGGAAGCCTTCATTTTGTTTGCAAGTAATAATATTAAAGATTCTAACTACCAGCAAGAATGAGTCCTTACATTTAAAGAGCACCTGTCATTTCAGATCCATCATGGCAGCGTCTGTTAGCGGGCATCCACTCACCTGCTTCCCACCATGTCCCTCACCTTGTTGTGTCACTGCCGCATCACCAGCCATCCTATTAAAGTGAATGGGACTGTCAGTGAGTCAACAGCGCGTCAGAGGAGAAGCTACTGTGGGACAGAGATGACAGTTACTCTTTAAAAATTATTATTTAAATCCAGATGATTTAAGTAAAGCCTTTTTACTAGTGATTAGCTTTGCTGGCTGAGGAATTCTGGGAGTTGAAGTCTACAAGTCTTAAAGTTGCTAAGGTTGGAGACCCCTGGTTTAAATCAAATCTACCCTGGTAGGAGAGATTACGGGCAGAGGAATTTCCAGCTCACCTATAGGAGGATGGAGGCATGTGGGGGGTGCCACTTCCATGTTTAGCTAACAAACATGGTATTTTCTAGTGTAGCCTCATCAATGTATTAACCAGATTTAACTATGCTTAAGGCAGCAATTTAAAAAAAAAAAAAGCTGTTGAGGACCTTTTGTGAGGTTCACTTGTGTAGGCAGTCCTCGCTTCCATTTCTTCCTTGAGTCTTCAGAGTTACTATGGCACTATAAAATCAGGGATGCGGTGGCTCAGTGGCTAAGACGCTGAGCTTGTCGGTAGAAAGGTCGGCAGTTCAGCGGTTCGAATCCCTAGTGCCGCGTACAGGGGTGAGCTCCAGTTACTTGTCCCAGCTTCTGCAAACTTAGCAGCTCGAAAGCACGTAAAAAATGCAAGTAGAAAAATAGGGACCAACTTTGGTGGGAAGGTAACAGCGTTCCATACGCCTTTGGCATTTAGTCATTCCAGCCACATGACCATAAAGATGTCTTCGGACAGCACTGGCTCTTCGGCTTTGAAACGGAGATGAGCATCACCCCCTAGAGTCGGGAACGATTAGCACATATGTGCGAGGGGAATCTTTACCTTTACCTATAAAAGCAGACATACACCTGGTCTACAAATTTGTGGCCATGGTGGTATTTTATCAGTGACTGCACTTCAACACTTACTGTGGTTCTGAAGGCGCAGGAAGAGGAGTTGTACCCATCTACCACAGGTGCACATTTATGATCCTGTTTGTGACCTTCCCAGCTATCTTCTGACCAGGGGATGCTGACAAGACGTCGCTGCTCACAGTCATGTGAAATTGCCTTTAACAACCCACAGTCAGTGATTAGGTTAAACAGTGGCAAAGGAGCAGATACAGGTTGGCACTGTCATGTGACACCATGCTTAATGATCAGGCGTCTTAGTGACACAGATGCCAGTCCCAATTGCAGTCACTAAGTGAGGACTACTTGAATTGGGATGTCATTGGATTGTGGACGGGTGGAGTACAGAGCGGGGAAAACAGGCAGGCTGCCCTGTGAAGTGTCGGCCGGCCTTGCCCTGCCTTCCCTGCAAGAAAGGAGACTGCTGGCTCCTGCCGGACACTTCCCATCATTCCTGCAGCCGCATCTCCCCTCGGGCCCCAGAAGGCCGCCCATCTCTGCATGGACCCTGCCCGGATGGGTGACCAAGCATACTGTTGGGGCAGTGAGACTTGCAGAGTCCTGATTGACAGGACAGTGACTGAAGCAGCCCCTTCCCTGTCTCACCTGGGAACGGCGGCCAGCGAGGCGCCTTCTGCCGCTGCTCCTGTTCCACTGCTGGTTGTTGCAGTAATGGCTGGTATTCCTGCCGCTGCTGTACCGCTGTCACCTCACCCCCACTGTCAGCCGTGGGGGTGGGCAGCACAGGAGGTGGCGGGCACAGGTCTTAATGCTTTTAATTTACAAATAGAAAACCTGGTTACTAATACCACTTCTTCTCCTTCTCTTCTTTTTCTTGGCCTCGCTTTTTCCCTTTTCCTTGTCATCTTTCCTATTCTTATATCCCTCCTTCTCCTTCCCCTCCTTCTTCTCGGTGTCTCTTTTGGCAATCTTGTTGATGAGGTTGTGCAGCACTACCACCCAACAGATCAGGCGAGGCAGGAGGCAGGGTGGGGTTGGCGCCACACCATAGCCCCTATGCCACTTCTCTAGCTTTGCCCGTCCAGGCTTGTTCACTTTACTCCTGCAGTGGAAAAAAGGCAAGAAACCCACTCGAGGCTCCAAGGCTCTTTCCACTGCTGTGCCCAAAGGCCAACTGGATGAGACGGCGTTAATTTTTCTGCAGACAGTTTCAGGTGGGTGCACTGAATCCACTCAGAGCGGCAAATTGCTGCAGCGGTACCACCGAACGAATTAGGCAAGGCATGGGGTGGGGCAGGGGTGGTCCCGCGCCATAGTGCCTGCCATCCAACATCATCCTCCAGCTGTGCCACAAATTTATTTATTTATTTATTTATTGCGATTTATATGCCGCCTTTCTCCCTAGGGACTCAAGGCGGCTTACAAAATGACAACTTCAATACAAATACCAAATTAAAATCAGTAACCCAATTAAAAATGATTTAAAATTATACCAGTGTACCCCCAAACGGATCAGTTTAATTGGCGGATGAGCCACGTCTTCAGCTCGCGACGGAAGGAAAGAATGTAGGGTGAGCAGTACTGGAGGATGATGTTGGACAGCAGGTTGGATCATACAGGGGCCACGGTGTGGAGGCACCATCACCCTGCCCCAATGCCTCGGCTGATCTGTTTGATGGTAGCGCTGCAGCAATTTACCGCCCTTTGTGGATTCAGCGCACCCTCCTGAAACTGGAAAATCAAGCAATGGAGGGAAACTAATCAAGGAGAGAAGCAACCTAGAATTGAGGAGAAACTTCCTTGAGAGTAAGGACAACTAAGCAGAGGAAGAGCTTGCCTTCAGAAATTGTGGGTGCTTCATCATGGGAGGCTTTTAAAGAAAGACTTGGACAGCTACTTGTCTGAAATGGTATAGGGTCTCTTGCTTTTTTTTTTTGCTTTAATTTATATGCCGCCCTTCTCCGGAGACTCAGGGCGGCTTACAATGCGTTAAGCAATAGCCTTCATACTATTGTATATTTATACAAAGTCAGCTTATTGGCCTCTCAATCTGAGTCCTCATTTCACCTACCTTTGAAAGGATGGAAGGCTGAGTCAGCCTTGAGCCTGGTGAGATTTGAACTTGCAGTAATTGCAAGCAGCAGATGTTAATAACAGTGCTTAGTCCACTGTACTACAGGCTCTTTGCTTGAGCCGGGCATTGGGCTAGAAGACCTATAAGGACCCTTCCAGTTCTATTCTGAATCTCAGATTTGGGAGATTTAAAAAATCTTTATTTGTCATATTTCATAACCGCCCATCTCTCTCGGTCTTCACATAATACTTGACTCCTTATGACTTTATTGACATGTTGTTTTCCTGGCAAGTAAAGTGTGTCTTGGGCAAAATGGATGCTTTAAATCTTGCATTAGGATTTGGGCACCATTTCAGCACTTACTATCCCTACCTTTCTAAAATTAAATAATGCACTTCTGGGATACTTTACACACTGAAACACTGATAAATTTTCTATATACATAAATTTATGGCTTTGTATTTCTGTGGGCCTATGTGTCCATACATGTGTGATATATATATCCAAACCAAAGGGAGAATTTTATAATTAAGTCAATATTTGAACTACAATCTTGCTAGTCTTCTATCTGCCAAATGAATCATAATATTAGAGGTTAAACTACAATTTTGATATTTTCATAATCATATATTGGGGTGGGGTTTTTTTTGCTGCTTTCACATGTCCTGCATCCATTTTTTAAACAATAATGAAACTAACCCATTAATATCAATCTTACAGACAAAGAGGATGGCAAGAAGAGCACGCTGGACAACAGAGAATGAGAAGCATCATTAATTAAATCAAATTTAAAAAAATGCAAAACAAGCCATCAATCAACATTTTTTCCCATTTCCTCCAGAAAGTTTAAAAATTCTTCTCTTTCCTCAACAGATGAAAGACAAGGGAGAGAGTAAAAAGAAGAAAGTTTTGAGCTGGAAAAAAATAGAATATGTGGAACTCAAGGAAACATTACATGAGAAGTCAAGCAGAATAATTTCTAAATAAAGAATACCTGGAAGAGTGGCGTAGGAGGCTAATGCCTCCTAAGGCAGCATTTAACATCCAGCTGCCTGCAATTACTGCGAGCTCAATTCTCACCAGGCTCAAGGTCGACTCAGCCTTCCATCCTTTCTAAGGTGGGTAAATTGAGGACCCAGTTTGTTGGGGCAATAAGCAGACTTTGTATAAATATACAAAAGTATGAAGGCTATTGCTTAAAAGCATTTTAAGCCGCCCTGAGTCTCCGGAGAAGGACAGCATATAAATCAAATAAATAAATAAATAAAGTTTATTGACGTCATCCAATATAGGTAGTCCTTAACTTATAAAAGTTAATTTAGTGGCCATTTGAAGTTAGAACAGCACTGAAAAAAGTGGCTTATGATCATTTTTCACACTTATGACTACCACACTGATGGTCATGTGATTTATTTTTATTTATTTATTTATTTATTATTGAATTTCTATACCGCCCTTCTCCCTGAGGACTCAGGGCGGTGTACAGCCAGAATCAAAAAACATGCAGGACAAATATTAAAAAACAATTAAAAGATATATAAATTTGGCCCAATTAAAACTTACTACCAATTAAAACATTTAAAACGTTGCAGCCCTTTCTGGATCGGGATGCCCTGCGCACGGTCACTCATGCCCTTGTTACTTCCCGGTTGGACTATTGTAATGCTCTCTACATGGGGCTCCCCTTGAAGAGCACTCGGAGGCTCCAACTGGTCCAGAATGCGGCCGCGCGGGTGGTTATGGGCGCAACCCGTTGTGCCCATGTGACAACCCTCCTGCGCGAGCTGCACTGGCTCCCAGTGGTCTTCCGGGTGCGATTCAAGGTGTTGGTCACCACCTTTAAAGCGCTCCATGGCATAGGACCCGGGTACCTCCGAGACCGTCTTCTGCCACCAATAGCCTCCCACCGACCAGTCCGTTCCCACAGAGAGGGTCTCCTCAGGGTGCCATCAGTCAAGTTATGCCGGCTGGCGACGCCCAGGGGGAGGGCCTTCTCTGTGGGAGCCCCAGCCCTGTGGAACGAACTGCCCCCGGAAATTCGTAAGATCTCTGACCTCCGGGTGTTTTGCTGCGCATTGAAGACCCTGTTGTTCCGCCAGGCCAGACTATCAACACAATAGTTTTAAATTGGGGTATTTAAATTTATTGGGGTTTTAAATCTGAGCCACTTTATTTAATTATTTTAAATTTTATATTGTTGTTTTGTCTGTGTTTTTAAATAGGCTGTACACCACCCTGAGTCCTTCGGGAGAAGGGCGGTATAGAAATAAAATAATAATAATAATAATAATAATAATAATAATAATAATAATAATAATAATAATAATAATTTATTATTATTATTATTATTATTATTATTATTATTATTATTATTATTATTATTATTATTATTATTATTATTATTATTAAAAACATTTAAAAATTTCTTCTTAAGCCAGCCCGGCTTGCTTGAAAAAATGGGTTTTAAGGGCACGACGGAAGGCACTGAGGTCCTGGATTCTCCTTATCTCTGGGGGGAGCTGATTCCAGAGGGTAGGTGCCCCCACAGAGAAGGCCCTCCCCCTGGGGGTCACCAGCCTACACTGTTTGGCTGATGGCACCCCAAGGAGGCCCTCTCTGTGGGAGCGCACGGGTCGATGGGAGGTCGTCGGTAGCAGCAGGTTTACATTTGGATGCTTGACGACTGGTTCGTGTTTATGATGGTTGCAGTGTCCCAGGGTCATACGATCATCTTTTGTGATCTTCTGATAAGCAAAGTCAATGGGGACGACAGATTCACTTAGCAACCGTGTTACTAACTTATCAACTGCAGTGATTCGCTTAACAAATATGGCAAGAAAAGTGGTAAAATGGGGCAAAACTCATCTAACACAAATTTCTCACTTAGCAATATATATTTTAGGGTCAGTCGTGGTTGTAAATCCAGGACTACCTGTATGCAAGTAACTAGGGCATGATTGACCGTAACCAGGGCCTGCAGATCCAGGAACAGCCCCAACTGTCTCTGAAGTAAATCAGTAATAAAAATGTTAGGATGTAGAGAGTTTTTGATCTCCAGTGACAGCCAAACCCTCCCAAAGTGCTGGAATCTTTAGATCAGCTTCCAATCTGCCAAGTAATAGTCCCCAGGTGTTTTGCCCAAGCAGCCTGGGAATTCTCAGGGCTGAAAGTAATGTGGAAAATGGGAAATCTAGCGAGATTTGCACTCCCCAATAATACAATAATATCAATAATTATTGGTACAAAGAATACCAATAATACATGATAGTATCTCCTATTTAGATGAAGTTGGAAACAACGTGGGTAGACAATACCAGGTTTTGTCCCGCAGTATTCTAGGAATAGATGGCAGGCTGTCAATCATTTAGGGGTTGCGGATAAAACACAAGAACTTCGTGAACTTTTTAGGACCCAGCCAGCACCCGGCTAATCTTATGCAGCTAGAGATAGGATGATCTGGCCATGGGTCGCTAGATGGCGCTCTACGATTAGGCAACAAAGCACGCCTGGAGAGTCGCAAATACAGTAGCAAAGCGCCTGTAGCCGAACTGAAAGGAATTGAGACCACAGAGTCGTGGATTGCTAGAGGGAATTAGGAGGAGAGAAGCACAGGGAAGCCTGTTTTCCCACCTGCTTGAAGTGGCGAAGCGGCTCCTGGAAGGTGAGTCGGAGGAGAAGCCGGGAGCAAGTCGGGCTCGTTTTATCCAGCAGTAGGTAAACTTACTGCAATACATTTTGGAGACAGAGCCCTGCAGTTGGTAGATTCCAACCACTCTTTGAGACTCTACCTAACTTAAACTCTTTTATTTTGAGTGATGATGATTTTATTTCTTGGATGGGAAGCCAAACATCTCAGATGAAGCATCTTTGGTCCAGTGGCTACGATTTAATCTTTTTATAGATAATTTTGGTTGGATGATTTGAGTTTTGATTGGCATATTAGACTTACATACCGCTTCACAGTGTTTTTACAACCCTCTCTAAGCGGTTTACAGAGTCAGCCTATGGCCCCCAACAATCTGGGTCCTCATTTTACTGACCTTGAATGAATGGAAGTGTAAGGTCTCAAAATGTACTTGAGTCACCAGAATGCCAAAGAGAGAGAGAGACTCAAGACAAGGCTTGCAAAAAAGAAGCAGATTTTATTAAGGGCCAAAAACAAAATACTGGATGAAGTTATATCCAGAACATACAAATATAATGCATGTGAGGAATAGCCACACCTTGGGAAAGGTATGGCACGTTTTATACCTTCAAAGGTATAAGGTTAGTACCCAATTCTGGCCTCTCTGGCCCATGCTTTCCTTGTAGCCCTGCATTGGCTGTGCAGCATGGAACAGGGGGAGCTGAGTGCTTAGCAACAGAAGGGTTGGGTGCTTAGCAACAGAGGTATTTGCCCGGTGTAATTTTTTTTTTTAATTTGATTTATATGCCGCCCTTCTCTGGAGACTCAGAGCGGCTTACAATGCATTAAGCAATAGCCTTCATACTCTTGTATACTTATACAAAGTCTATTGCCCCCACAAACTGGGTCCTCATTTTACCTACCTTAGAAAGGATGGAAGGCTGAGTCAACCTTGAGCCTGGTGAGATTCGAATTTACAGTAATTGCAGACAGCTGGTGTTAATCACAATGCTTTTAGTCTGCTGAGCCACCAGGCCCTTTTTAATCCTGCCAAACTATGACATATTCCGTTCCATGCACCGAGATGTACAAAAAAACAAGTTAGATCACTGGCAATTCCGATTCTTAGCAAAGCAATTCTTACAGAAGCAAAACAGCAAGTCAAACCAATTCTACTGAGACTACTATTATTATGTCTCTACAGAAGGCTGAGCTAGTCAAATAATTCCTGGCACTGAGCAGTGATAGCCTTTAATACTTCATTCTAACCACTGCTCCCCCACAGCCTAAAACCGTTGCTTTAAATCTTGCCTTGGGCACCATTTCCTTTGTTAATGCCCACATATTCTTTGTACCTATTTCTGAAAGTTTTTGCAGACAGAAAATACACACATATTTTCTACATGCGTACGTACATACATGCATAGGGGCGCATTTCTGTATTTCTTTGAGCATATATGTTTCTCTGTATAATCCATTCTCAGTATTTCCCGGTATATATGATAATAACAATTTGAAATGCTAACATTTTGAAATTCACCCGAGTCACCAAGAAAATTTCACAATTGTGAGAATATTTGAACTTGGATCTTACTATGTGTCATGATGAATGTTAGCAGTTAATGTGTTACTTTAATTTTTCATTGTAATATATGCTTTTTTTTTCTTGTTTCCACATCTTGTGCAACCATTTTATAAATAGTAATTAAAATAACCCTTTTATGTCAATCTTATAGACAAAGAGAATGCCAAGAAGAGCCTTCTAGACAGCAGAGAATGAGAAGCAGTACTCAGAAGGAAAGCAAATCCTTTCCTGCAGAAAGCCACAAAACTTCTTCTTCCCCAGCAAGTGAGCAACAAGTGAGGAAAAAAAAAATAGGAAAAGAGTTTTGAGCTGGAAAAAAATATTTTATCTGGAACTCAAGGAAACATTAAATGAAAAGGTAAAGGGGGAACATTTTCAAATCCACAAAAAAGGGAAAATATCTAGAAGTCTGTGGGGTGGAATCAGTCATTTCAGACAGTAATGCAGGCCCCACCCTATGAGGAAGAAAACAGCTTAAATCAAAGTACCATCCAAGAAGGGATCACAAATATTTTTTACCTCCTCAAGAACCCAGGCATATCAGAGGTGGAAAACCTCCACAGATGTGCATATTGTGGGAAAAGCGCCGATTGCAAATCAGAGCTGATTATGCATCAGAGGACCCACACTGGTGAAAAACCATACAAATGCTCTGAATGTAGCAAAGCCTTTCCCTACAAGTCCCAACTTCTTGAGCATAAGAGAACCCATACTGGAGAAAAGCCCTACCAGTGCCCACAGTGTGACAAAAAGTTTAGTAAGCATGCCACCCTGGTGATACACAAGAGGACACACACCGGAGAGAAACCATTTGAGTGTCCAGAGTGCGGGAAAAGTTTCAGTCAGAATTCCAACCTGGTGATACACCAGAGGACTCACACTGGGGAGAAACCATATGTGTGTCAGGATTGTGGGAAAAGTTTCCGTCAAAATTCCAACCTGGTGATACACCAGAGGACTCACACAGGAGAGAAACCATATGTGTGTCAAGATTGTGGGAAAAGTTTTATTCGAACTTCTGACCTGGTGATACACCAGAAGACTCATACAGGAGAGAAATTGTATGTGTGTTCACATTGTGGGAAAAAATTCATTCGAAATTCTGACCTAGTAACACACCAGAGGACTCACACTGGAGAGAAACCATATAAGTGTCCAGATTGTGGGAAAAGCTTTAGTCAGCATTCCCACCTAGTGATACACCAGAGGACTCACACAGGAGAGAAACCATATGAGTGTCTGGAGTGTGGAAAAAGTTTCAGTCGGAATACTGACCTGGTGATACACCGGAGGATTCACACTGGGGAGAAACCGTATGAATGTCCAGATTGTGGGAAAAATTTTACTCGAAATTCTGACTTGGTGATACACCAGAGGACTCACACAGGAGAGAAACCATATGAGTGTCTGTATTGTGAGAAAAGTTTCAGTCAGAATTCTTACCTGGTGATACACCAGAGGATACACACAGGAGAGAAACCGTATGAATGTCCAGATTGTGAGAAAAGTTTCAGTCGGAATTCCAACTTGATTATACACCGGAGAAGGACTCACACGGGCGGCATACAGTATGAGTGTCCAGATTGTGGGAAAAGTTTGAGTCGGAATTCCAATCTGATGATACATCAGAGGACTCACACTGGAGAGAAACCATATGATTGTCCAGAGTGTGGGAAAAGCTTTAATACTAGATCAAATCTGACCAGCCACATGAAGTTGCACACAGGAGAAAAACCTTATGAGTGTCCAGACTGTGGGAAAAGTTTTAGTTGGAAGTGTGACTTGCTGATTCATCAGAGGATTCACACAGGGGAGAAACCGTATGAATGTCCAGATTGCGGAAAAGGATTCAGTACTAGGTCTAGCCTTATAAATCATGTAGGTTTACATACAGGGGAGAAACCATTCAAATGTCCAGAATGTGAACGATGCTTCTCACAAAATTCTTCCCTTGTTGCACATAAGAAAATCCATTTGGTGCAGAAAGTGATGGGTGTAGAGAAGAACTAAATGTCATTTTTAATTTCCATTTTGAAATGTTTCTGAGAAATTAGTTAATGTCTTACTTGATGCTTTTTAGTTGTCATGTATTAGACATGATGGAAGAGAGAAATAATTGGAAAATTTTATTTTGATTTTATTATACTTATTTTATTATAAATTAATGCATATATCTGGCTATATGAGGATTTATAGAATGTCAGGGAACCACGCAGCTGGTGTCCAAATGACGTCATAGACACACAGACTTGTAATTTTATGTAAATAAATATATTTTACATCTAATTTACAGCAAACAAGAGACTCAGGCAAACAGGAACATCATGAGTTAAATCACAGAGCACACAGAAGAAAAAAGAGGGAGGGAAAGGAAGTTCCTTCATACCCACAGCAACCAATCACAGCACAGATTGCCTCAAACAGAAGCCAGCACTCTAACCAATCAATTATAATTGTGTGTTCTGGCTCATTGTACAACCCCACTGTTCCAGCTACTAAGTTTAAATAACAAGATATTTAACAGAAATTGTGCAATTGCTGCAAAAATGGCTTTAGGGGTGTTTTTTGCTTTGTGATCAGAAATGATCATTGAACTGCAAAGTTTCAGCCGCCTTCAACCTGAGTGACCACAAAATTTCAAGCTCCATAAATCCCCAGCTAACAGAAAATAACGGAATCATAGGAGGTGGACAGAGGAGTTACATTGGGGGAGTTAGCTGTGGGACGAGTGGCATATTCATTTGATAAAGAAATGCATTGTGCCTCAAGCAACTTGCAGATGGGCAGTTTAACAGGACCAGCTTTTGATTCATCTCTGTTGCTTTTGATTTATTTAAAACATTTACATAGCCATCTGTGTTAAGAAAACTTTGGCCAGCTCCCTGTCAAAAATTAAGACAAAAACCATACTATTAAAATCATACGCATAAAAACAAAAACCTGGTGCCAAATCCAGCTTCTGATGTGCAGTCGCCTCTTCTTATCCCAGTGCTTTGTGGGTGGGTGGGAGTTAGGGTTTGATGACGTTTTTATAGAACACTAAAGGCCTGCCCAATGTCAGGGAGAAGAGGGTATATAGGAAGGGGCTGCAATGAGAAAGGCAGACTTCCGAGCTCCCATCAAATGACAATATTTAAAGAAAGGGACTAGGAGTACGCCTATCATATCTGACATGTTAGGACAGTCAGATGGAAAAGTAAGGTAGGTAGGTAGTAGATAGATAAGTGAGTGAGCGGGCAAGACAGTTTTAAAGGTGATGAGCAGCATTTTGAATTGTCCCTGGAAAAAACAATCCAGTGTAGCTTGCATAATAAAAAACGTTACATGGGCAACGTAGGTCCCCCACATTACTCTGTGTGTTGCTGTATTCTGGAATAGTTGAAGTTCCTGAGTGGTGTAGGCCAGGGGTCACCAACCTTCGGACCTCAGGAACCACTAAATTCATAATTTTAAATCCCGTGGACCACTAATACGAATCCAGTGTGCCGCTCACTGAAGCGCCTGGACTCCCAGTGACGGGATGGGGTCCTTCAGGCAGTTAGTTTGACCGCCTGTTTCTGCAACCTTAAACACTCAAAGAGCCATTTGGACCTGTTTCCCACAGAAAACAAAACATGGGGATCTCTCATCTCTCTCCCCTCTCTCTCTCTGTCTCTCTCTCATCTCTGTTTCTCTCTCCCCCCCCCTTTGTCTGTCTGTCTGTCTCATCTCTCTGGATTTCTCTGAGGAATGGATTTCAGGCCAGAATCCATTTTTAAGAAGGTTTTCTTCTGGTCAGCTGAGGAGATACAGTTCTCAAACAGGAATGTGTATAACAATTACTTGATAGAAAGAAGGAAGGAAGGATTCAAACTGCTAAACTGCTGACCTTTTGATCGACAAGCTCAGTGTCTTAGCCACTGAGCCACCGCATCCCTCTGCACATGCATATTACTATCCTTTTCACAACGCTTTCAAGGATTTCTTTGAAAACTATTAGTTTTGTTTATCAAATATAGTTAGCTTCTTTCCGAACTCCCTTTCTCCAGGCCCTGGTATGTACTGGTAATCCTCGATTTGCAACAATTTATTGTTTTCAACGGCACTGAAAAAAGTGATTTATGACCATTTTTCACACGACCATTGCAGCCTCCCCATGATCATATGATCAAAATTTAGACTGTTGGCAATTACCTCATAGTTATGATGGTTACAGTGTTCTGAAGTCATGGGATCTCCTTTTGCAACCTTCTGACAAGTCAACGGGGAACCCAGATTCACTTAACAACTGCATGACTAACTTAACACCAGCAGTGATTGGCTTAACAACTCTGGCCAGAAAGGTGGTAAAATGGAGCAAAAGTCACTTAATAAATATCTCATTTAATAAATGTTTCACTAAACAGCAGAAATTTTGGGCTCAGTTGTGGTTGTAAGCCGAGGGCTACCTATATGTGTCTCACTTACTTTGACCTAATGGAGATTTCTGTGCTAAGCACATGGCATTTAGCAGGCTTAAAAGTTCCTCCTACAAGAACAAAGCTAGCTTGTGGGGAATCTTAGCTTCAAGATCCTACCTAGGATTGAGGCTAGATCTCTTGGAGCCTCTGGCCTGCTGGTGATTCCATCGTAACATTTTGGGATGTAGAGAGGTTTTGAGGGTGAGCTAAACCAACTACATAGAACTCTTTAGATCAGCCTTCAATAAACTAGCGCCTTCCAAATGTTTTATCCAAGCTGACTGGGAATATTCAGTGCAGGAATCTTAACTCCTCTGGAAATTGGGAAGGCTGCTCAGAGGAATTCTGCCCTCTAGTGAGATTTAGGCCCTGCAAGAATGCAGATGGAAAAATAATATCTCCTGTCTAGATAGGTTTGGAAGCAATGTGGGTGGGCACTTCAATGTTTTGTCCTGTATCATTCTTCTATTAATGGGATGAAGCTGGCAATTGTTTAGGCCAGTCTCTCGTTTCCTATTTGCACATCATTCCCCCAAGGGTGCTTTTCTTTGGTTTAGTTCCCGCTTCTTCCAAACGATGCTTGCACTCAGCTCCAGGGGCCATGACTGCCCTCTTGGGAGACCTGAAAGAAAAAGCGTGGGATAGATGGCCATGGATAAAAACTACCGCCGAGCTCGGTGGAAGTCGAATAGGGCTTGATGACACAGAAGAAAGCAAAATTCAATGAAAGGGCGAGCGTGATTTTCGATCTTATGTCACTAGATGGCGCTCCACAAATAAGCGGCACTGGAGCGTAGAAAGCAGTGAATACAGTACAGCGGCTATTCTAGGGAAGGGGCAGAGGCTGAGATTGAACGGGTTGGAACGATAGAGTAATGCATTGTAGAGAAGACGTGGAGGAGAGGAGGCGAAGGGCAGAGGGAACTTCCTCTTCCGGCTTACCCACAATGGCGTCGGCGGAACCTCTTGTGCTGCCTGGAGGGTGGAAGCGGCTCCTGGGAGGTGAGTGGAGGGAAGGTCGGAGGAGAAGCCGGGGGAAAGTCGGGCCCTTTGGGTTCCTCCACGGGGTATGAAGCAGAGAAAGAAAAGAGGCTGAAGCATGGCGGCTGCTGCTGCTTCATATTCTTTCCCTCCCCAAATTTTATTCCTCTGAGGCTGCACTACTTAAAACTGCTGCCTGTGGTTTTACCAATGGGAGATTTGGGGGATTTAAAAAAATCTTTATATTGATTTGTTTCATATTCCTTAACCTTACATCTCCCTCAGTCTCCACATAACTCTTGAATTCCTTCTGATTTTATTGACCCGTTTTATTGACCTGTCAAATGTGGACTTTCATGGGCAAAACATAAGTTTTAAATCTTGCATGGGATTTGGGCATCATTTCATCCGTTAGTGTCCCACCTTTCTAAAATGAGATCAAATCATTTGAGCGAATACACTTCTGGGACATTTTGCAGACTGAAATAAACAATAAACAGGAATATTTTATAACAATTTTCAATGCTAATATGATTTACACAGTGCAAAAAGAAAAGGATTGAGTGGAGTTTTGAACTTAGATTTTTTAATGTGCCAAATGAACCATAATTATTACAGGTTAAAGTACCATTTTGATACTTTTCCATGGTAATAAATGTGGGGCTTTTTTTTTTTTTTTGGTGTTTCCTCATGTTTCTGCAGCCATTTCTTTTTAACAATAATGATACTAACTCATTCATATGGATCTTACAGATAAAGAAGATTCTAAGAAGAGGACTGTAAATAACAGAGAATGAGAAGCAGCGTTAAAACAAAAACAAAAAATCAACCAAAATCTTTTCCACTTCCTCCAGAAAGTATAAAAACTCTTCTCTTTCCTCAGAAGACGAGAAACAAGGGAAAGAATAACAAGAACAAAGTTTTGAGCTGGAAACAATGGAGTATGTGGAACTCAAAGAAAGATTACATGAAAAGTCAAAGGGGATAATTTCTAAATTCAGAAAAAGTGGAAATAACGAAGCCTGTGGGAAGGAAAACTTCCCTTGGATAGCCGAAATGGAATGGCATTAATGAAAGCCTTTGTAAGGGCTTTCAAAGTACCTGCAGGTAAGAGCTCAGAAATATATTTGGCCGCCTCAGTTATGCAAGAATATCAGTGTTAGAAAAACACACAGTGGGCCTATTGTCAAAAAAACAACAGATTGTAGATCACAGCTAATTATGCAAGAGAGGGTCCACACCAATGAAAATCCATACAAATGCTCATAGAGGGGCAAAAGTTTTACTCAGAACAGCTCCCACATGGAAATACTCACACCGGGAGTAGGCCTACCAGTGATCCCAATGTGGCAAAAGCTTTAGGATGCCACCCCACTCTGGTGAGACACAAGAAAACTCACATTGGAGTGAAACCCTTTGAATGTCCTGATTAAGTTTCACTGTGAATTCCCACCTAGTGATACACCAGAGGATTCAAGCTGAAGAGAAACCATATGAGTGTCCTTATTGTAGGACTTATATTTGAAGTCTGATCTGATGAAGCATCAGAGGACTCGCACGGGAGAGAGATTGTATGAGTGTCCACATTGTACAAAAGGTTTTAGTCAGACTTCCAAACTGGTGATACACCAGAGAACTCACACAGGAGTGAAACCATATGAGTGTCTGGAGTGTGGGAAAAAATTCATTCAGAATTCCAAGCTGTTGAGACACCAGAGGACTCATATGGGAGAGAAACCATATGAGTGTCTTTATTGTGCGAAAAGTTTCACTCGGAATGCCACACTAGTGATACACCAGAGGACTCACACAGGGGAGAAACCATATGAGTGTCACGATTGTGGGAAAAGCTTCACTCAGAATTCCAACCTGATGATACACCAGAGGATTCACACAGGAGAGAAACCGTATGAGTGCCTGGATTGTGGGAAAAGTTTCAGTCGAAATTCCCACCTTGTGGAACACCAGAGAACTCACACAGGAGAGAAACCATATAAATGTCCTGATTGTGGGAAAGGTTTCTTTTGGAATTCTAAGCTGGTGGTACACCAGAGAACTCACACAGGAAAAAAACCATATGAGTGTCTGGAGTGTGGGAAAAGTTTCAATTGGAATTCCGCTCTGGTGAAACACCAGAGGACTCACACAGGAGAAAAACCATATGAATGTCCAGATTGTGAGAAAAGTTTCACTCAGAATGCCAGCCTAGTGATACACCAGAGGATTCACACAGGAGAGAAACCGTACAAGTGCCTGGATTGTGGGAAAAGCTTCACTCAGAATTCCAACCTGATGATACACCAGAGGGTTCACACAGGAGAGAAACCGTATGAGTGCCTGGATTGTGGGAAAAGTTTCAGTCGAAATTCCCACCTTGTGGAACACCAGAGAACTCACACAGGAGAGAAACCATATAAATGTCCTGATTGTGGGAAAGGTTTCTTTTGGAATTCTAAGCTGGCGGTACACCTTAGGACTCACACAGGAGAAAAACCATATGAGTGTCTGGAGTGTGGGAAAAGTTTCACTCAGAATTACGACTTGGTTATACACCAGAGGACACACTCAGGAGAGAAGCCATATGAGTGTCCGGATTGTGGGAAAAGTTTCAGTAAGAATTTCAATCTGGTGTTACACCAGAGCACTCACACAGGAGAGAAACCATATGATTGTCTGGACTGTGGGAAACATTTCAGTCGAAATTCCCACCTGGTGGAACACCAAAGAACTCACATGAGAGAAACCATATAAGTGTCTGGATTGTGGAAAGAGTTTCAAGCAGAATTCCAACCTTCTGATACACCAGAAGACACATACAGGAGAGAAACCATATAAGTGTCCTGATTGTGGGGAAAGTTTCTGTCGGAATTCTTACCTGGTGTTACACCAGAGAACTCATACAGGCATCAAACCATATGAGTGCCTGGATTGTGGGAAATGTTTCACTCAGAGTTCCAACCTGGTGATACACCAGGGAATTCATGCCAAAAAACCATATGAGTGTCTGGAGTGTGATAAAAAATTCATTCAGAATTCCAAGCTGGTGATACACCAGAAGACTCACACAGGATCGAGACCGTAATGAATATCTGGATTGTGGGAATGATTTCAGTAATATGTCTACCCTTATAAATCATGTAAGGTTACACATAGGGGAGAAACCATTTTAATGCCTAGATTGCTAACAGTGTTTCAGACAAAATTCCTCTCTTATCATACAGAAGATATTCCACACGGTGTAATTTGATGTATGTAGAGATATCTTGAATATCATTTCTGATCTCTCAATGCAAGCTCAGCTGAGAAATTAACCATTTTAATTTCTCAGCTGATTCTTTTTAATCAAACATGTCTTTGTGTTAAACATGGTAAATATGGTGGGCCAGCGAAAGAAACCTGCCCAGCAACAAAATTCAGCTAAGCAACAGAGATGAGCACTGCCTCCTAGAATTGGAGATGACAGACAGAGGAAACCTTTAGGAGGAAAAAGGCCTGCCAAATTTTATGGGAAAGAGTGTTCCCATAGGGATGGAGCTGCAGTAAAAAAGGCTGACTTCCTACCTCCTATCATCAAAATGTAAAGGAATGGACAAGGATCATGCCTACCTACCCCCATCTCAACCAATAGAACAAGTAGATGCAAAAATAATAAAGGTGGGAGAATAATGTCAGGTGCCCTATTGACACAGTGCTTAGAATGCAGTATTGCCAGGCTGACTCTGCCCACAGCCTGTCATTTGATCCTGACGGGGGTTGAGGTTGATCCTTCTGGGATCTGTAAAATGAGGACCCAGATTGTTGGGGGAAATATGCTGACTGTAAAGGGAGACTGCTGTAAAATATTCTGTGGTGGTATATGTCTCTATATGTTACTGCTATAATAAATAGGTTTAAAGGGGATGACCAGTAATTTGAATTGTACCTGTAAAGAAATCAATCCAGTGCAGCTCTCATCACAAACATGTTACACAGGCAATCTAAGGACTCTCATTACTGTGTGCACATTATGTGAATTTTCATAATGAGCTTATAAAAAGTGACCACATCATTTAATGAGGGCAATTCCAGCAGTTCCACTTGTTATTATAACTCCAGGACCACGTGGGTCATTAAGTGAGTATTTCATGTGACTCTGATGTGGGAAGAGGTAGGAGTCCCAGTCAAGCAGGTCAGCAGCTGAGAGCTATGGGCAAGTGGGTGGTTTCCAGGCCTGCTCCTTTCTGGGCCTGGAAGAAGAATTGGGAGCCAAGTGCTAAAGCCCAGGACTCTAGAACAGCTTTCTACAAGCTAGCGCTCTCCAAAGATTTTGCCCAAGCTGCCTGGGAATATTCAGTGGTGGAATCTTAACTCCTGGAAATTAGGAAGGCTGCTCAGAGGAATTCTGCCCTCTAGTGAGATTTAGGCCCTGCAAGAATGCAGATGGAAAAATAATATCTCTTGCATAGATGTGTTTGGAAACAAGTGGGGTTTTTTTGTCCCTTATTTCCTTTTATTAATGGGATGAAGCTGGCAATCTTCATTTAAGGCTACACATACACACAAGACCTTTATCAATTTTTATGATGCAGCACCTGGCTAATCTTGTGAAAGTAAGTATGGTCAGGCGTTGATCTTTTTTTTTTTTATGATTTTTTATCACAGACTTTGCTCTTCAAGCTTCCCTCAGTTACAAATATAATTTTGGGGAGTTATCCTGCACCCCTAAAGGGAAGAAGAACTGGCTGGAAGACTCCACTGATCTCCAAGGGAGGTGCGCTTTCTTGTTGCCTGATGGCACATTGTGTTCTCCCCACGGATTGCTTTCCCTTGTTTACTTCCTGCAAAAGAAGCTCCTGGCTCAGTTGCAGTAGCGATGTGGGCATCCCTGCGAGACCCCAAAGGACAGGCTAGGGCTAGATCATCCTAGAGAAAAAAACTTATGGATGTGATGGCTAAGAGTGGAAAACATTAAAAAAAAGAAAAAAAACACCTTAGAAACTCCTGATGTGCGTATTTTCAGCCTCACGTCACTAGGGGGAGCTCTAACAACACGAGCGTCTGGCAATCCGTCAATATAATAGCGGTATCCTTGGTGGCTGAGATCCGACATTCAACTGGAGGGGGCGCAGCTGAGGTGAAAGGCGTTAAAACCAGCGAGTATTGAGGAGAGGAGAAGAGCAGAGGAACTTCCTCTTCCGGCTCCTCCATGGAGTCGTGGAGAGCGGAAGTCCTGCTCTTCCCAGGGTGGAAGCAGCAGCAGCTGGAAGGCGAGCTGTAGGCAGATGGGAGGAGAAGCCTGGAGCAAGTGGGGCTCTTTGGTTTCCTCCAAGGGGTAGATGCAGAGGAAGCAACGAGGCTGAAACTTGGCTGCTGCTGCTGCTTCTGCATATTCTTTCTCTCCCCAAATGTTTTTATCTTTTTGCTGCATCATTTTAAATTGCTGCCTTTGATTTTTTTTTTTTTTTTTTGCTTGGAAATGGGAGAGACTATAATTGAAAGGGGACATATGAAGAAGACTTGCAGATTTGGGAATGGTTTAGTCTAGACCAGTGTTTCTCAACCTTGGTAGCTTGAAGATGGGTGGACTTCAACTCCCAGAATCCCCCAGACAGCAGCGCTGGGAGTTGAAGTCCACCCATCTTCAAGCTACCAAGGTTGAGAAACACTGGTCTAGACCAGTGGTGGGTTCCTCCCGGTTCGCGAGAGCCGGTAGCGGTGACAATATGACGTCACCGAACCGGTTCTCTGTCTTCGGGAGCTGGGCCCTCCCGCCCGCCCCAGCATTATGCCGACCTTAAATTTCTTCTTTTTTCGCCCAGCTGAGAGGTGCGGCAGAGCGGATTGCCGCACCTCAGCTGGCAGATTCGCAATGCGCCTGCGCAAAGCACAAGTTCGGCACGCAGGCAAGCAAACCGAGCATGCGCATGGCAATCGCGCACAAAGTGTGCGACCGAAGAGGTGATCACGCATGAAGCGTGCGCACAAAGAGAACCAGTAGTAAAGCTGGTTAGAACCCACCCCTGGTCTAGATTTAGAGAAAAGAAGGACTAGGGAGGACATGATAGCAGTATTCGAGTATTTGAGAGGCTGTCACAAAGAAGAGGGGGTCAATTTATTTTCCAAACCTCCTGCAGACAGGACGAAAAACAATGGATGGAAACTAATCAAGGAGAGAAGCAACGTGGAATTAAGGAAGAAACTTCCTAACGGTGAGGACAATAAGCCAGTGGAACATCTAGAAATTCCATCTAGAAGTTGTGGGTGCTTCATCACTGGAGGTTTTTAAGAAGAGACAGGACAGTCACTTGTCTGAAATGGTATAGGGTCTCTTACTTGAGTGGGGGGTTGAGCCAGAAGTTCAAAGACCCTTTGACATCTGGGAGATTTAAAAAATCCGTATTTTTCATAACTCTCATCTCTCTCTCTCTCTCTCTCTCTCTCTCTCTCTCTCTCTCTCTCTCTCTCTCTCTCTCCCTCTCCCTCTCCCTCTCCCTCTCCCTCTCCCTCTCCCTCTCCCTCTCTCTCTCTCTCTCTCTCTCTCTCTCTCTCTCTCTCTCTCTCTGTCTGTCTTCACGTAATACTTTATTCCTTGACATGTTGTTTTCCTGGTAGGTGAGGAGTTTCATGAGCAAGGTAGATGCTTTAAATATTAAATAGAGCCTGGTGGCACAGCAGACTAATAGCCTGTTATTAACATTCAGCTGCCTGCAATTACTGCAAGTTCGAATCTCCTGTTTCAAAGCCGAAGAAGAGCCGGCGCTGTCCGAAGACGTCTCCGTGGTCCTGCGGCCGGCATGACTCAATGCCAAAGGCGCACAAAACACTATTTACCTTCCTACCCAATATATGATTACGAAAATATCAAAATTGTAGTTTAACCTCTAACATTATGATTCATTTGGCAGATAGAAGACTAGCAAGATTGTAGTTCAAATACTGACTTAATTATAAAATTCTCCCTTTGGTTTGGATATATATCACACATATATGGACACATAGGCCCACAGAAATACAAAGCCATAAATTTATGTATATAGAAAATGTATCGGTGTTTCAGTGTGTAAAGTATCCCAGAAGTGCATTATTTAATTTTAGAAAGGTAGGGACAGTAAGTGCTGAAATGGTGCCCAAATCCTAATGCAAGATTTAAAGCATCCATTTTGCCCATGACACACTTTACTTGCCAGGAAAACAACATGTCAATAAAGTCATAAGGAGTCAAGTATTATGTGAAGACCGAGAGAGATGGGCGGTTATGAAATATGACAAATAAAGATTTTTTAAATCTCCCAAATCTGAGATTCAGAATAGAGCTGGAAGGGTCCTTGTAGGTCTTCTAGCCCAATGCCCTGCTCAAGCAAAGAGCCTGTAGTACAGTGGACTAAGCACTGTTATTAACATCTGCTGCTTGCAATTACTGCAAGTTCAAATCTCACCAGGCTCAAGGTTGACTCAGCCTTCCATCCTTTCTAAGGGAGGTAAATTGAGGACCCAGTTTGTGGGGGCAATAAGCTGACTTTGTATAAAAATATACAAAAGTATGAAGGCTATTGCTTAATGCACTGTAAGCCACCCTGAGTCTCCAGAGAAGGGCGGCATATAAATCAAATAAATATATATATATATTGCATAGGATTTGGGCACCATTTTTTCTGTTAGTGTCCCCATCTTTCTAAAATTAGATTTAAAAAAAATTGAGAAAATGCACTTCTGGCATGTTTCGCCGACTGAAATACACACAGATTTTCTACATGCATAATTCATATGTGTGTATTTCTCTGTGTATATGCGTGCATGTATCAATCAGATTACAGCCGGAAGGGATTTTGGAGGTTGTCTACTCCAACCCCCTGGTGAAGCAGGAAACCCTTTACCATTTCAGATAGGAGGCTGGCCAGTTTTTTCTTAAAAACCTCCAGGAATGAAGCACCCACAACTTCTAGATGGAATATGTTCCACTGGTAAATTGTCCTCCCTGTTAGGAAGCGTCTCCTTAATTCCAGATTACTTCTCTCCCTGATTAGTTTCCATACATGGTTTCTTGCCTTGCCTTCTGGATGCTTTGAAAATAAGTTGATTCCCTCTTCATTGTGGCAGCTCCTCAAATACTGGAATACTGCTATCATGTCCCTCCTAGTCCTTCTTTTCTCTAGGCTGGCCATACCCAATTCCTTCAACCATTCTTCATATATTTTAGTCTCCAGCCTCTTAATCATCTTAGTTGCTCTTCTTTGCATTTGCATCCTTTTAGAGCATGGTGTCAAACTCGCAGCATCACGTTGCTGTCACGTGATGTTTCATGATGTTTTTCCCCTTTGGGGAGCTGGGGTGGGAGGTTTATCTATGACCTCAGGGTTACCTGGGTAGTGCAAATGGATGAGTAGCCTTGGAACTGCTGAAATGACTGTTGTAGACTGGAGATAGATGATGTCATATCCCTCCCCCTCTGTTGAGAGAGGGCTGTTCAATTTTGAGGCCTCGAAAGAGGAATTCAGCAGGTCCAAGAAGGCTCCACACCCATTTCTACTACCCAGGTGACTGAAGACACAGATAAACCTCCAAGTGGCCTCACCAACTCTCCAGCTGTCTGCAAGGAATATAAATCGTTCCATTCCCCACCATCCAGTCAGAGCTGAATAAGCTTGGAGGAGAAGTGAAATGTCTTCAAAGAAAAACAAGAAAGTCCAGTTGCCTCCTTAAAAAGCACTTTTGGGACAACCGTGATCTGGATGACTGAGAATCTCCATAGATAATTGGTCTCCAGTTTTCCGGGTCTGGGTTTTTTTTATTATTATTATTTTTTGAAGATGGTAACCACATCAGCTCTTTTCCGATCCTCTAGTACAGTGATGGCTAACCTTTTTGCTATTGCATGCCAAAAGGGGGGGGATATGGGGGGGGGTCACGCATGTGTGTGCGCACACCCATAATTCAGTGCCCCCCCACGCATGCATCCGCGACCCCCCTCCCGCTCTCTCCCTGCTTTTGGCACGCAATGGCAAAAAGATTACTGGTGGGCCTGGTGGGCTCGTTTTTTCCCCTTCCCAGGCTCCAGAGGCTTTCTTGGAGCCTGGGGAGGGCAAAAATGTCCTCCCCCACCCTCCCGGAGGCTCTCTAGAGTCCAGAAATGGCTGTTTCCCAACTTCCAGTGGCCCGGAAGGCCCGAAAATCAGCTGGCCAGCACACGCATGCACGCTGGAGCCCAGTCAGGGCAAAGCTCGCATCCCCACAGATATGGCTCCGCGGGCCACAGATTCGCCATCACGGCTCTAGTAATTCCCCAGTGCTCCAGGATGTTTTAAAGATATGGTACAATGGTTGTGAAATAACATCTATCAGTTCCTTCAGAACTCTGGGAAGTGATTTATATTCATCAAGATCAATCAGATAGGTGTCCTCTTTTTCTTGCTTATTTTAATTTTTATTTCTTATCTGTCTTTTACGGTTATGTTTTTGGTAGGTTGGGCTATAGTTTCATTTTGATGAAGATTGATGCAAAGATAAGAGTTAAGCATCTCTGCTTTCTCTCTACTGCCTGTTACAGTAACAGAGTTGGAAGGGACCTTGGAGGTCATTGCAACTATCGCCATCTGCTAGTATTTTATCTGAATCGCACCGACCCAGAGCAGAAAGGTGGAGAGATGTAGTGATCTTTTATATATAATGCAACTCCACCTTCTCTTTTGTTAGAGGAGGTCGAGTTTCTGTTTCTTTTGAATAGTTTGTATCCCTCTATCAGGACATTCCAGTCATGAGTTTCATCCCACCAAGTTTCAGTAATGGCAATTATATCATATCTGCCTTCATGTACTAATACTTCAAGTTCACCCTGTTTGTTCCCTAAACTTTTAGCGTTGGTGTATGGGCATTTGAGTCCTTTATGGGTCTTGGATATGTTTCTTATATCTCTTACTTTGTAACTGGGATTTACATCCTTTCCATCAGTCTCAATCAACTTCATTATGTTTTTCTTCTTTTTATTTCTTTCTCTTTACTCCCTATGTGATTGGTTATTTAGTGGTTTTTGCTTGGAATTACGTTCTAAAGGTCGTGAAGATTGGCTCTCCCTCCCCCTCAATTTCAGTTTAAAGCCCTTCTGAAAAGATGAGCCAGTCATTTTCCAAATATATTCTTTCCAGTTCTTGTGAAGGTTCACTCCATCCCTTGCCAGTAGCCCTTCATGTAAGTAATGCAAATCATGGTCTAGGAAGCCGAAGTCCTGTTGACAACACCAGTTTTTAAGCCAGTAGTTCATTTCTAAAACCATTTGCGGGAGCATCATTGGATGTTGGCCTTTTGTTGGAAGTATAGATGAAAACACCTCTTATGCTCCTACTTCTTTAACTTTCTTTCCTAGGTATTCGTCATCTCTTGTTTTCAGATTCATTGTTGTGTCATTGCTCCCCACATGTAGGAGAAGAAAGGGATAGTAAACCACAGGGTTATTTTAGTGATATACCGTTTCCCCCAAAATAAGACATCCCCTGATAATAAGCCCAATCAGGCTTTTGAGCACATGGCAATAGGGCCAAGTGCTTATTTCAGGGTTCAAAAAAATAATAAGACCAGGGTCTTATTTTCGAAGAAACACGGTAGAGTAGTAGAGATGTAGAATAAAAGAGAGAGATATGTGTGGTCTATTCAAGTTAAAAAGAATTTTATGATTCAGTCAATATTTCAACATGAATCCTGCTATTCTTCTATATGCCAAATGAATCATAGTTAATGTTAGAGCTTAAACTAGAATTTTGATGCTTCATGGTAATATTTGGGGATGTTTTTTTGCTGCTTCCACATATCATGCAGCCATCTTCTTATACAATAATGAAACTAATCCATTAATATGAATCTTACAGACAAAAAGAAAGCCAAGAACAGCAATCTGGAGAACAGAAAATGAGAAGCAGCCTTAAAATGCAAAGCAAACCATCAATCAAGATCTTTTCTACTTTCTTCAGGCAGTGTAAAAACTGCTCTTATCAGATGACAAACAAGGGAGAGAATAACGAGCAGTTTTGAGCTGGAATAAACAGAGAATATGGAACTCAAGGAAATATTACATGGGACGTGAAAGGGGATAATTTCCAAATAAAAAGTAGGAAGTACCTGGAAGTCAGTGGGAAGGAAAAGGCCCAGATGGCCAAAATGGGCAGGCATCAATTAAAGCCTTTGAAGAAGGAAAGAGCGGCATAAATCAAAGAACCTCCAGGTAAGAGATCAGAAATATTGTTGGCCGCCTCAAGAATCCAAGAATATTAGTGTTGGAAAAACCCTACAGACAGCTTATTGTTTGTAAATCACAACTGATTATGGGAAGAGGATCCACCCAACGAAAATCCATACAAATGTTTGGCGTATAGCAAAAGCTTTAATCAGAACAGCTTTCTCATGATTCGTGGAATGATTTCTACAAAAGAGAAGCTCTACCAGTGCTCCCAATCTGTTAAGTTGAAACACGAGATGACGACCATGGGGAAAAAAACCACATGAGTGTCCAGATTGTGGGAAAGGTTTCAAGCAGAATTCTAAACTGGTGCTCCATCAGAGGACTCACACAGGAGAGAAACCATTTGAGTGTCTGTATTGTGGCAAAGGTTTCAGTCAGAATTACAACCTGGTGATACACCAGAGGACCCACACAGGAGAAAAACCATATGAATGTCTGAATTGTGGCAAAGGTTTCAGTCACAGTTCCTCCCTGGTGAAACACCAGAGGACTCACATGGTAGAGAAATTGTATGAGTGTTCAGATTGTGAGAAACGTTTGAGTTGCAATACCCATCTGATGGTACATCAGAGCATTCTCACAGAAGAAAAAACCTATGAGTGCCTGGATTGTGGGAAAAGTTTCAGATGCAATTCCTACCTGGTAGAAAACCAGAAGAGTCACATGGGAGAGAAACCATATAAGTGTCCAGATTGTGAGAAAAGTTTCCAGCATAATTCCAAGCTGGTGATACACCAGAGGACTCACATGAAAGAGAAACCATATAAGTGTGAGGATTGTGGGGAAAGTTTCAGTCAGAATTCTTTCCTGGTGAAACACCATAGGACTCATACAGGAAAGAAACCATTTGTATGTCTGGATTGTGGCAAAAGTTTCAGTCAGAATTACTACCTGGTTATACACAAGAGGACTCACACAGGAGAGAAACCACATAAGTGTCCAGATTGTGGAAAACGTTTCAATTGGAATTCCGAGCTTGTGGTACATCAGAGAACACACACAGGAGAGAAACCATATAAGTGTCCTGATTGCGGAAAAGGTTTCAATCGAAATTCTAACCTGGTGGTACATCAGAGAACTCACACGGGGGACAAACAGTACCAGTGCCCAGATTGTTGTAAAAGTTTCACTCAGAATTCCTACTTGGTGAAACACCAGAGAATTCACACAGGAGAAAAAACACATCAGTGTCCGTTTTGCTGGAAAAGTTTCCTTCGTAAGTCCGGGTTGGTGATACACCAGAGGAGTCACACAGGAGAAAAACCATATGAGTGTCCTGACTGTGGAAAAGGTTTCATAAGGAATTCCAGTTTAGTGATATACCAGAGAACTCACACAGGAGAGAAACCGTATGAGTGTCCAGTTTGTGGGAAAGATTTTGGGACCAGGTCTAGCCTTATAAATCATGTAAGGTTACACACAGGGGAGAAACCATTCAAGTGCCCAGATTGTGGAAAGTGTTTCACACAGAATTCAAATTTTTTCATACACAAAAAATCACACACAAGCCAAAATTTGATGCATTAATTTCTTGCTTGATTCTTTTTAGTCAAATGTGTCGTAGTATCAAAATATGAGGGGGGGAGATGTGAGCTTTCTTTCTCTGGTTCAGTGCTGCAGTTTCCTTTCATGGAGTCGAGGTGCTGGGCCAGGGAAAGCAAGCTTAGATCTGTATTAGTTATATTTGCCGCCTTGAGGTATTTGTACATATCATAAAGGGGGATATAAATATGTATAAGTATGTATGATTTATTTTAAAAATGTATATCGCAGCCCAATTCCTGTTGACTTTGGGCAGCTTGCAGCAATAAAACCCTACTACAGAAATCAATAAACCCTACATATTGCAAATGGCAAAATACAAAGCCTCCACATTTAACATGTACTTGTCCTGCAAGTACAGGTAATGCTCGAGTTACAAATGTAATGGAGCCTCACCATTCTATTTGTAACTTCATTCGTAGGAGTGAATCTTGTACGTTGAAGTTTTGTCTGCTTGTAAATGGGGCGTTTGGAAACTGAGTGATTCGCTCCATTTTCAATTGCCCCATTTGCACACAAATGAAGCTTCTAATCTCCATCAGGTCTCTAGGTGAAAAGTGTCCCGGTGGTGGCGGAAAGGAGATGGCGGATGGAGAAGCAGGAGACAGGCACCGTAAACGCTTTTTGTGTGGAGAATAAAAGTTTCTGGGGTCCGTGAACTCACAAGAGTTCAGGCACCCAGTTTCTGCAAAAGAGGATGGGGGTGCCAGAACTCTTGTGATATTACAGCACTGAGAGTGGAGAGGAGAGTTCTTTTGACTCTCCTCTCCCTCAAAGGCAAAGAAACCTTTGAGGCAGAGTGGAGCCAGATCTTGTTAGTCTGGCGTGGCAGGATGGGAAAGGGAAGCAGTTGTGGGGAGAGGGGGGTGGGAAATAGGTGTGAATGTTGCACACCCTCTGCAGTCTTCATAAGGCCGAACAACTGCTGTGGCGCTGCAACATTCGTAATTTCGGGACTTGATTGTAAACACTAGGGGGCATTTATCTCGTAACTTCGAATGGGCGCTAAATGAATGAATGCTCGTAAATTGGGGATTACCTGTATAGGACACTTTTAGCAAGGTTGATGGAATTTTGATGGTCAGGGAGCTCCAAAAAAGTCCACGACTGCCTGTATATAATTAGATATGTTAAAAAGGAGGAGCAAAAGGCTTGAGCCACGAGACATCCCAAATTGAAGAGGCCAAGACTCAGGCCCTCTTTTACCAATACCCACTGGAACCAGCCACGGAGGCAGAAGTAGAACCACAGTAATAAAGTGCCTCCCATTTCCTGTCTCCAAAGCTGGTCCAGAAGGATATCCTGGTTGATGTACTGAAACCTGATGGGAGGTCTATGAGGGATATAATGGTTGTAGTCCCATCTATCTCAAACCCTCCAAAAGTCCATGATAATTGCAACCAATACCGTTTTGGTGATGTGCCCTGGCCTGAACCCAGACTGAGAAGGGCCCAGGTGTTTTTCTCCTCCTGCACAGCCCTTTCTCCAGGTGGCAAAGTCAGAGCTGGAAGCAGAGGGTGAATTGAAGTCCCAGGCTGCCAACCTTTCATTGCCCTCTTCAGCTGCACTTATAAAAGATCTTAATCTGCAGCAATGCCTTGAATTCCTCTGCCAGGAAAACCTCTCATGATTTTATTATGCATTACAAACGGCTGTTGAAGGTGTAAAGCGCGGGGATGGGGTGGGGAATTACGCTTCCAGCCCTCTCTTGAGCTTGGAAAAGAAATATGGGTAGTTCTCAATTTGCGACAGGAATTGGTGCCAGAATTTCCATTGCTAAGCAGGGGTGCAGCACCAATAAGAAATACTGAGCTTGTTAGCTGAACATGGAAGTAAATGAAAATAAAATCACAGGGGCGAGGGGTCAAGCTTCGTTCTTACAGCTTCACTAAGTTACAGAGGCAGGTTTTTGAGAAGTTATCCTGCTTCCCTCCAGAGGAAAAACTGTCTGGAACCAAGGGGGGAGGACTTTCCCCCCTTCCTATTTGCAGCCCCACCCCACCCCCTCCAAAGGGCGCTTTCCTTTGGTTTAGTGGCCGTTCTTTGCAAACGAAGCTTCGGGCTCAACTCCAGGGACAATGGATGCCCTTTTGGGGGACCTGAAAGAAAAGGTTTTGGGATGGAGCCTCAGGGAGAAAAGCTACCGATGAGCTCGGTGGGAGTCGAATAGGACTTGATGGCACACAAGGAAGAACAGAATCCATGAGAATATCTTCAAGCGCCTTAGGGTAGATAGAACGAGCGTGGTCTTCGGCCTTTCGTCGCCAGAGGGCGCCCTACTCGCGTCCAGGAATAAGGTACGGTACAGCGGCGGCAGAGGTATTCTAGGGAAGGAGCAGAGGCTGGGCTGGAACGGGTTGATAACGATAGAGTATTGTATTCCTAGAGAGTTCATTGATTCGCCCTGGGGCCGTATTCCTAGAGGGGATGTGGAGGAGAGGAGGCGAAGGTCAGAGGAACTTCCTCTTCCGGCTCACCCAAGGATAATGGCGTCGGCGGAGCCTCTTGTGCTGCTTGGAGGGTGGAAGCGGCTGCTGGGAGGTGAGTGGAGGGAAGGTCGGAGGAGAAGCCCGGAGGAAGTCGGGCTCTTTGGGTTCCTCCACGGGGTATGAAGCAGAGGAAGCAACGAGGTTGAAACATGGGGGCTGCTGCTGTATATTCTTCCCCTCCCCAAATTTTATTCCTCTGGGGATTTAAAATCTGCCTGTGATTTTCTGCTGGGAGGTGGGAGATTTTTTTATTATTTTTTTTAAATTAGATTTATATGCCGCCCTTCTCCGGAGACTCAGGGCAGCTTACAATGCGTTAAGCAATAGCCTTCATACTTTTGTATATTTATACAAAGTCAGCTTATTGCCCCCACAAACTGGGTCCTCATTTGACCTACCTTAGAAAGGATGGAAGGCTGAGTCAACCTTGAACCTTGGAGAGATTCGAACTTGCAATAATTGCAGACAGCTGAATGTTAATAACAGGCTTTTAGTCTGTTGAGCTATCCAGGCTCCTGGATAGCTATTTTAAAGGCTATTTAAAGAAATATTTATATGTTTTTTATAGTTTTTAAGCGCCCATCAGTTTCATGGGCAATGCGGATGCTTTAAATCTTGCATAGCATTTGGGCACCATTTCATCTATTATTGTCTCCACCTTTGTAAATTTAAATAAAAAGTTTGAGTGGATGCACTTTTGGGACATTTTGCACATTGATACATATACATTGCCTACATACATAAATTCATAGGTTTTTATCTCTGTGCAGAGAGGCGTGCATATTTGTGTGATCTATCCAAGCCAAAAAGAGAATATTGTAATTGATTCGATATTTGAGCTTGGATCTTGCTAGCCTTCTATATGCCAAATGAATCATAATTAATGTTAGAGCTTAAACTACGATTTTAGTCTTTGTTTTTCCATGTTAATATTTGTGGGTGCTTTTCCTGTTTCACATGTTCTGCAGCCATTTTTTAGACAATAATGAAACTAACTCATTCATATGAATCTTACAGACAAAGAGGATGGTAAGGAGATTACTGTGGAAAACAGAAACTGAGAAGCAGCATTAAAAAGGAAAACAAGCCATCAAACAAAAATTTTTCCCTTCCTCTGGAAAGTGAAAACCTCTTTTCATTCCTCAGCAGATGAGAGACAAGGGAGAGAATAACAAGAACAACCTTTTGAGCTGGAAAAAATAGACTTTATGAAAGCATTAAATGAGAAGGCAGGGAGGATAATTTCCAAGTAAAGAAAAAGTGGGAAATTCCTGGAAGTCAGTGGAAAGGAAAAGGTCCCTTGGATAGCCAGATTGGGCAGGCATTATTTGAATTCTTTGAGGAAGGAAAGAATGGCTTGAATCAAAGAACCTCCAAGTAAGAGATCAGAAATATTTTTGGCTTCCACAAAAATCTAATAATATGAATGTTGGAAAAACAACACAGACAGCTTAATGTGGGCTGAAAACATATTGTAGATCACAGCTGACTATGCATAAGAGGATCCACCAAATGAAAAACCATAGGAATGTTTGGAATGCAACAAAAGCTTTACTCCGAAAAGCTTCCTCATGATTGATGGTAGAGAATCTCTACCAGTGGCAAAAGGATTACAATGCGCATACATGTAAGACAAAAGAGGACTTGCACTGGCGAGAAACAGTTTGAATGTTCTGATTGTGGGAAATGTTTCACCTGGAATTCTGAGCTGGTGATACACCAGAGGACTCACACGGGAGAGAAACCATATGAGTGTCCAGATTGTGGGAAAAGTTTCAGTCAGAATTCCAATCTGGTGAGACATCGGAAGACTCACACAGGAGAAAAACCATATGAGTGTCCAGATTGTGGGAAAAGTTTCTGTCAGATTTCCTACCTGGTGAAACATCAGAGAACTCACACGGGAGAGAAACCATATGAGTGTCTATATTGTGGGAAAAGTTTCAGTCAGAATTCCCACCTGGTGGAACACCAGAGGACTCACACAGGAGAAAAACCATATGAGTGCCTGGATTGTGGGAAAAGTTTCAGATGGAATTTCCACCTGGTGGAACACCAGAGGACTCACACGGGAGAGAAACCGTATAAATGTTTAGATTGTGGGAAAAGTTTCGGTCGGAAGTCTCACCTGGTGGTACATCAGAGAACTCATACCGGAGAAAAACGGTATCACTGTCCAGATTGTGGGAAAAGTTTCGCTCGGAATTCCCACCTGCTGATGCACCAGAAAACTCACACAGGAGAAAAACCATATCAGTGTCCAGATTGTGGGAAAAGTTTCAGTCAGAATTCCTACCTGGTGAGACACCAGAGGACTCACACAGGAGAAAAACCGTATAAGTGTCTTGAATGTGGGAAAAATTTCAGTTGGAATTCCAATTTGGTGATACACCGGAGGACTCATACAGGAGAGAAACCGTATGAATGTCCGGATTGTGGGAAAGATTTCAGTACTAGGTCTAGCCTTATAAATCATGTAAGGTTACACATAGGGGAGTAATCATTCAAATAACCAGATTACAGACAGTGTTTTGCACAAAATTATTCCCTTATCACACACAAGAAATTCCATCTGAGGCAAAATTTAATGTGTGTAGAGGAATCTTGAATTTTGTTTCTTTTCTCTCATTGGAAGCTCAGCTGAACAATTAACTATTTAATTTTTTTGCATGATTCCTTTTAGTAAAACATGTCTTAGTATCAAACATGAGAGTGGAATAGAATAGAATAACAGAGTTGGAAGGGACCTTCTATGCCATCTAGTCCAACCCATTGCTCAAGCATGTTATCCTATACCTGTGATGGCGAACCTATGACAAATGTGCCAGAGGAGGCACGCGGAGCCTTCTCTGGGGGCATGCAGGCTGTTGCCCCAGTTCAGCTCTGCTGTACATGCACGCGCGCCTCCCACTGGTCTTTGGGTCTCTGCCGTGCATACGCGAGGGGCGGGCAAGGAGGCAGTGCATGCACGCTCAGGAGAGGCGCACGCATGGGCGGGTGTTGGGACGCATGGGGAGGCTGCACATGCATTGCATTTTGGGGGTTCAGGCGCGCACACGCGCTTTGGGTACTCGGTCCGAAAAAGTTTAGCCATCACTGTCCTATACCATTTCTGACGAGTAGCAGTCACATCTCTCCTTGAAAGCCTCCAGTGATGAAGCACTCACAACTTCTGAAGGTGAGTTGTTCGGTTGGTTGGTTGTTATCACTGTCTCAGAATGTCTCCTTATTTCTAGGTTGAATCTCTCCTTGATCAGTTTCCATCCATTGTTCCTTGTCTGCCCTTTGGGTGCTTTGGAAAATAGACTGTCCCCCTCTCTTTATGACAATCCCTCAAATATTGGAAGACTGTTGTGTCACCCCTGGTTCTTCTCTTCACTAGACTGGCCATGCCCAGTTCTTCTAACCGTTCTTCGTATGTTTTAGCCAGGAGGCCTCTAATCTGATTTGAACTTCCTTTTTCATTCTTTGTTCTTCGTTTCTCTTTCTTTTCTCTAACCTTATCTGACCTTCCTTTCTCTGGCCCAGTGTGGTCGTTCCTTATCACGGAATCAAGGGGAACTGCTATGCTGGGCCAGAGTAAAGGAGCTTACATCTCTTGTTACGTATGTTTACCGCCTTGAGTTATTTCTACATATAATAAAGGATATAAGCATGTATGTATGTATGCATGTATTTTTACTTAGCATGAAAATATGTATGGCAGCCCCACTCATAATGACTCCACATGGTTTACAGCAATAAAACTAATACAGAAATCAATAATCCCAATATATTTCAAATGGCAAAATGCAAATCCTATATTTTTAACATTTACTTGCCCTGCAAAGAGAAGGCACTTCTAACAAGGTTGATGGCATTCGGATGGTCATTCGGATTCCAAAAATGTGATTCAATTTATAAGTTAACCAGGGCTCCTGGCCTTATTAATTATATTCATGTCAGGTGCCATTCTTGCCCAAATCTGGTTATCTTTCTCCTTGCAAGGAGTTAAATTGGAGAAGTTCACCGCAGGATTAGCAGCATATCAATTTGATAATTAAAGAAATGCATAGATCTTCAGAGCCTCAAGCAACCTGCAGATGGGCAGCCTCAGTAGCGCCATTTTCCAGATTAATCTTTTTCCTTTGATTTATTTAAAATATTTATGTAGCCATCCATGTTATAACAAACTGGCCAGCTCCCAATCAGTAATTAACTTAAAAACCATATTAAAACTAAATGCATAAAAACAAAAACCTGGGTCCCAATCAAGCTTCTGATGCACAGGCATCTCTTCTTAATCCCAGTGCTCAGAGGGAAAGCTAGATCTTCTTTCCTTTACGGAAGACTAGGGGGATAAAGGCCTTCCAAATGCCAGGGGGAAGAGTGTCTGATAGGGCAGGAGCTGCAACGGAAAAGACTCACTTCCTAGCTCCTATCAGATGGTAATATTTAAGGCAAGGGGCTAGGAATGTGCCCACCCTATCTGACCTGGTAGAACAGGTAGATGGGGAAAAAAAGGTGGGAAACTAGTGACATATGTGCCCTGGTGGCTCAGTGGTTAGAATGCAATATTGCTGGCTGACTCTTCCCACTGCCTGGAGTTCGATCCTGATAGGGCTCGAGGTTGACTCAGCCTTCCATCCTTCTGAGACTGGTAAAATGAGGACCCAGATTGTTGGGGACAATATTCTGACACTATATATCGAGAGAGCTATAAAGCACTGTGCAGTGGTATATAGGTCTAAGTGCTATTGCTATAGCTATAATAAAGAAATAGCTTTAAAGGTGATGACCATCTTCAATTGCACCTTAAAAAACGAATCCAGTGCAGCTCCCGTGACAAGTATGTTACATGGGCAACTTAGGGGCCCCCATTATTGTGTGCGCTGCTGCGTTCTGGACCAGTTGAAGTTTCTAGTTGGCCCATTGGTCCAGTGCAGTAAGCCAAAACTAGGTGAACAAGGCATTAATGACCTGTGTGCAAGGCCTCTTAACTGTCTGAAGTTTGATCACATGACCATGGGCATGCTGCAATGTGAAAAATGGCCATGTCAATTTTCAATGCCCTTGTAACTTCAAATGGTCGCTGACTGAAATGTTGTAAATCAAGGACGACCTGTACATAATTGGGTATCTCAGGATGGATGGCCTCCCCGAGCAGTTTCATGTAGATGTTGAAAAGCAGCAGCCACAGGCTTGAGACCCGGGACACCCCAATTTCAGGGGGCCAGAACTCTGTTCCTCTTCTACATGATGATGTTTGTCCATCGTGTTCGAAGAGGACCTTGACATCTAACGGTTGTGGGCTGTCCACGGTTTGTCTACAGGTGGCTGGTAAGGCCTATACGGGCACGGGATGTTCTGCCACATGTTGGGCAGATATGTGTGGGCACCATTGTTGCAGCATTTGCAGCTCTGGCTTTGCAGAGTGCTCGCTCCTCTTGTGCTGTGGATCTTTCTCTGTCTTTAAATGTCTGGCAGTGGATCAACGTCTGCCATGTCAATCAGTCTTGTACCAGGGTTTCCCAGGAGGTGATGTCGATATCCAGGGACTTGAAGGAGGCTTTCAACCTGTCTTTCTATCGCTTCCTTTGTCCCCCGTGTGATCACTTACCTTGAGACACCTCACCGTAGAGGAGCTGTTTAGGGATGCGATGGCCTGGCATCCTTGCATCCTGCCCAGTATGTCTGGGCTTTCATATCAGCAAGGTGTGAACTGATGGCAGGCCTGCTCTGGAGAGGACTTCTGTGTCTGACACCTTGTCCTGCCACCAGATTCTCATAAGTCTGCAGAGGCAGGTTGTGTGGAAGTGGTTCAAGAGCCATGGGTGGTGCAGCTGACTAAGTACTGTTAAAGTAGCACCAGCTGCCTGCAATTACTGCAAGTTCAAATCTCACCAGGCTCAAGGTTGACTCAGCCTTCCATCCTTCCGAGGTAGGTAAAATGAGGACCCAGATTGTGGGGGCAATAAGCTGACTTTGTATAAAAAAGGACACCGCTGGGGGGGCCGAAAGCCCTACTAAGCAGGTATATACGAAAGTATGAAGGCTATTGCTTAACCCATTGTAAGCCACCCTGAGTCTCCGGAGAAGGGCGGCATATAAATTAGACCAATAAATAAATTGCCTAGCATGCCTTCTGTATACGGTCCAAGTCTCACTGGCATACATCAGGTGTCCTCTTCTACACACGCCAACTGAACATAGAAATAGAATCACCATAATAAATTGCCTCCCATTTCCTGTACCCAAAGCCGGTCCAGAAGGATAGCATGGTCGATGGTGTTGAAATCTGAACTAGGAAAGACATAATGGTTGTGCCCCATCTATCCCAAGCCCTCCAAAAGTCCATGAGAATTGCAACCAGTGCTGTTTTGGTGATATGTCCTGGCCTGACCCCAGGCTAAGAAGGGCCCAGGTGGCTTTCTCCTGCACAGTCCTTTCTCCAGGTGGCAAAGTCAGAGCTGCAAGGTGAGTGAGGGTGAATTGAAGTTCCAGGCTGCCAACCTTTCATTGCCCTCTTCAGCTGCACTTAGAGAAGATCTTAATCTGCAGCAATGCCTTGAACTGCTCTGCCAGGAAAACCCCTTATGATTTTATTATGCATTACAAACTGCTGTTCAAGGTATAAAGCTTGCCAGGATGCCAACTGTCGGGGGGGCGGATTACTCTTCCAGCCCCCTCCTGAGCTTGTAAAAAAAAGGGGGATATTTCTTGCATTGTGACAGGAATTGGTGTCAGGATTTCCACTGCTATACAATGTGGTCATAAAAAGTGATGTGACCAGATTGCTTAGTGAGGGTAATCCTGGCAGTTCCATTTCATTAGCCTCTTCAACTGCACTTACAAGTGATCTTAATCTGCAGCAATGCATTGAACACCTCTGCCAGGTAAAGTTCTCTTGATATCGATCGCTTACAAAGCTATCCATACCACTTGAAGGCACATCAGGAAGCAGGGAATCCAGTAAAACCTCTTGCAAACCTCTTAGGGTTGAAGTAGTAGAACGAACACGTTCTTCAGCGTTATGGCGCTAGATGGCGCTCTACAAAGAAGCAACACTCGCGCCTAGGCAGCAGGTAGGGTACAGGGGCAACAGAGCTACTCTAGGAAAGCGGGAGAGGCTGGGCTGGAACGAGACGAAACGATAGAGTGTTACTCTTCCCAAAGGATTTATAACGGAACTGGCTTGTCTACAAGGAGTATAAATAAACCCTTCCATTCCCCACTATCCAGTCAGAGCTGAAGAAGCTTCTGGGATGAGGAGCGAAACGTCTTTAAAGGAAAAGCAGAAAATCCAGTTGCCTCCTGAAAAAGCACCTTTGGGACGACCGTGACCTGGATGACTGAGAATCTCCAGAGGGGAGATAAGAGTATCGGATTGCTAGAGGGGATGTGGAGGAGAGGAGGCGAGGGGCAGAGGGGCAGAGGGGACTTCCTCTTCCGGCTGACCCACGGGGAGGAAAATGGCGTCGCTGGTTCCTCTTGTGCTGTTTCAAGGGGTGGAAGCGGCTCCTGGGAGGTGAGTGGAGGGAAGGTCGGAGGAGAAGCCGGGAGCAACTCGGGTCTTTTGGGTGCCTCCACGGCGGGGAAGCAGCGAAGGGACAAGGATGAAAGATGCGGGCTGTGCTGCATATTCTTTCCCTTCCTAAAGTTTTAAAGTTTGATGGCTGTGATTTTCTGCTGGGAGATTTAAAAAATAATATGTATTTTTCATATTTCCTAACCGCCCATCTCCCTCAGCCTTCACCTCACACCTCATTCCTTCTGATGTTATTGACATGTTTGCTTTCCTGGCAAGTGAGGAGTTTCATGGGCAAAAACGGATTTTTTAAATCTTGCCTAGGATTTGGTCCCCGCATTTCATCTGTTCCCCGCCTTTTTCAGCTAAGATCAAAACGTTGGAACCAGGGTGGATTTGATTTAAATCGAGTTGATTTAAATCACTAGTAAAAAGGCTTGATTTAAATCAACTCGATTTAAATCATAATTTTTAAAGAGCAACTGTCATCTCTGCTACTCCTTTGACCCGCTGTTGACTCACCGATAGTCCCAGTGTTGCAGAATATACAGCCTCATGCTACATAACTAAGCTCCATTTCATGCTGAATAAACTAAATTATTTATGTATCTTAAATAGAAAACTATCTTACGATAGATTTTTACCCCAAAAGTTTTTTATTAAAATAAATTCGATAAAAATCAAAAAAATCCGATTTAAATCAAAAAAATCCTATTTTAATCAAAAAAATACATTTTTTTAAATTTTTTTAAAAAAAATCATTGATTTTTATCCACCCTGGTTGGAATGAATAGAATTCTGGGACATTTTGCACACTGAAGCGCATATAAATTGTCAACGTATATAAATTCATGGGTGTGTATTTCTGTGTTCCTATGTTTTGAGTAACAGAAGAACAGAGTTGGAAGGGACCTTGGAGGTCTTCTAGTCCAACCCCCTGCTCAGGCAGAAAACCTATATCATTTCAGACAAATGGTTATGCAATTTCTTCTTTAAAACTTCCAGTATTTGGAGCATTCACAACTTCTGGAGGCAAGGTGTTCCACCGATCAATTGTTCTCACTGTCAGGAAATTTCTCCTTAGTTCTAGGTTGCTTCTCTCCTTGATTAGTTTCCGTTCAGTTTCTTGTTCTGCCCTCAGGTGCTTTGGAGAATAGCTTGACTCCCTCTTTGTGGCAGCCCCTGAGATATTGGAACACTGCTATCATGTTTCCCCTAGTCCTTCTTTTCAGTAAACTACTGTGTTTCCCTGAAAATA